AGAAAAAAAACCCGGAAGAATCAAGCGAAACGAAATGATAACTGTAATGCGACTCAGTCCACAATGCAAAGTTTTCAGACACAAACTCAACTCTTGATAGACCAAGCGAACGTTACTTTCATCGCCACCGATGATCTAATAATGTATTTTATCATAATCATTCCTGTATTTGAAGTTCAATTGCTATGTGTGAAGAAGACACATTGTTCAAAACAAATATTGTAGAGCTGGTGTCAACATTAACAGTGTTAAGTTGTAGGGTATATACGTACCCAATCTACAAATGAAATGAAATGGGGTTTAACGCCCTACATACCCACTCTAGAACACCTTGTGTTACTACCATTGTGTTGCGAGTTCATTGAGGTTTTTTGTATTGTGATTACTTTTCACATCGAATTTGCTCGTATCTAACTCACTCTCATATATAAAAGTTCTAAAATCAGTCAATAGTAGCCTACATAGAAAAAAAACACCCATCTTGTCAACACATAAATTTAATTCCTTTTTTCAATGCTAGCGTAATTGAGAAATTTACCCAGCTTGATATTGTTTCAGAGCAGACTTGAACGTCATAAAAAAAATCTAACATGTTCACCACTGCCTTTGTAACTGGGAAAATTGCTCATTTATTCCAGGATATTAAATATAAATACAATGGAATTTAGATCCTTTTTGTCGCTTGTATAAATCACATGGTTACAAAATAATTGAATGTACGCATACCCCCGACTATGACAATTTGGAACTGTTTCCAAGATGGACTATATCAGACAGTGAAAGGCTTATTTTAAAGGTAATGTTTGGTCGATCATGGGGCACACATGGACTATAACAGACAGCGAAAAGCGCTTATTTTAAAAGTAATGTTTGGTCGATCATGGGACACACGCTACCGATACTCATATAACACATGGGGAGCTATTGTGCTAATGTGCCGTATTTTGAATACACTCAGCAATGAAAGTATTCTGGGGTTTTATAGGTACAAGATTGACATTAAAGATATACTGAAGAAAAACATCCCATAGATCAACGGATAACATTGATACTCGTTGTAAATTGCAGTCTGCAAGTCACGCCATATTGAAAATGATCTATGTGCAAGACTTAACTCGACGAAAACAATCTTTCGCACAATGTTCCGAGTAATTAATCACTGTGCCTAATTATAATCGAATCTATTAAATATTGGACAGTTTGATATACTCACTAAATAACTACGGTAATTACACTTCAAAAAGAACAATATCTCGACGATAAATTCACGTCTGCTCGAGCCAATTTAGCGCCATTTTACTAGTTTCGCGCCATTAAGTTAACGCCCGCTGTCCAGTTGTTATCTGTATCTGCTGACCAGCTTGAAGAATAGATTAGAATGAACTCAAGATTTCTAATGTTAACGTGTGAAAATATTGGACTCGTTTCCTTTCCCTAGCTTCTGGTCTAACAATCATTACTAACGTGTTAACTAGACTACAGATTTTATTCTACAGCATGCAAAGATTATTGGGCAAGGCCCATCCCGGCATATTCAGAGAACCTACTGTTCTTTGAACTGTTTTGAGTTAGCCTATTTAGGTTTTACATTATGCCATACCAATACCAAGGTACAGTTGAAATTTATGTGATTTTGGAATAATTACTCAAATGGAGAGTGGCATCTGGTTCTCTATGGAATTTCCTTAAAAGTGATACCCTGCTTCGTACACTATCCTTACCAATGTTAACTGCTTCATTGAATATAATCGGTCAAGTCAAATATCCTTTTTTTATTTAAGGAGAAAGGCTATAATATATAATGTCTTGTGAGATGAGTTACGTTTTATTATTTATGATACACTTAGTGATAGAATTGAATTGCTGATATTTTATGATAGCTCTACATTTTCCATAGCACCCAAACACTCTGGTTAGGTCAGTTCTTGTTTCGGGTTTCACTCTATCTTGATGCTTGGTACAATAAAATCGTGAGAAAATGAAATGGAGAAGGGGGCGGTATTTCGAACTTTTTAAATGTCAAGCGAGATCTCGGATAAACCACGTGATAACTATCATGACACATGTTGTGTTTACACCCGATACGCCCACTTAGTACCTTCATTGTTTAATGTTATAAACAAACGGTGCATGCTACCTGTGATGTACGTGTAAATAACGATACGTTATTGACAACTTGAGGAGGTCTATTCATACAAACGTTGAGATTGAACGAAATGTCACTGTGTTATTACAAATACAAGATGATTTGATGTTAGTATACGGAGACGTTTCGTCAATAAATACAACACTGTACGATATACTAAGACGAATCGTCAACAAATACAGCACTGTGTGAGGTATTGAACTAGCCACGTGTATAAATACCAGATAGAATGACAGAATAAAACGAAATAATTCGATCATCAAAATAGGTGAATAAACAAACAAACGACCGCCCACACATTGTTTGTCCTATAAATTAGCTTTGAATTAACCCCTTTCTCTTTATTTATAGATTTATAAAATGCGAAGAAGTTGTTTTTTGGACTGCAGTGGTATAAAACAAATGATCGTCCAGAACAAATTATCTTCAGTAATTATATAAACAAATTGAAATGTTAATCGAATCTATAAAGATACTTAGTTTTAGATAATTATTCTGTTTCCTGCGGTTAACTAGACAACCAAAGTATTGAGAAGCGTAAATTTGGATTTGACAAGGACTGTGGTGGTGGGCTTAATTTGTCTGACTGCCTCCCCCTGTACGAAAAACTATTCTTCCACTCCCGATTTACTCCACTTATGTTCTTTGGATGTACATTAATACCTCGATTTAGAGGTAATCTTATTTGCCATCCCAATAAGATTCTATAGATTTATCTATCTATCCAGGTGGGCCGTTAGTGTTGTTATTTATCTTTGTCTATTGTAACTAATTTCTACCTGATTAAAGATAAACTAGAAAGCATTTATCGTTTCATTTTCTGGCTGATTAAATCACAGTAAATCCGTAATAAAAGAAAGAATAGACGAATAAAAGTAATAATCTCTATATTTATCAAGCCAGTTTACCTGGTTAATCCCATCTATTGTTTACTTGTTTTTATTGTCCGTTAAGTACAGACAAGTGCAAAATAATTTATTATTCCATTAATATGGCTACATTGTCCCTGTGGTATTCAGCAAGGTGCTCGTGCTTGTCCTATCTGATTTATTGATTATACAGACGAATTACAGGGTCATTTGGATGGTGATAATAATTATTTGCTAAAAAAAATTCAAACAGAAATGAAACCTCTATAAATCCCGTACATGTATGAACATTTAAGCTTGTCTTCATGGTATATTAACGATAAATATTAATGCTTCATTTTTTTTTTCATAGCATGTTCAAAGGTTCTTTCGAGTGCCTCAGCTTTATGCTGTCGAGTGGGCTATGAGAGAGCATGTCAGTGCTCAGCTATAAAAATCTATTTCCATGTTTAAAATGAACTATTGATATGAAATCTAATTGGACAGAATGCATCTTTTCTCTGCACTTAACCGAAATGAATGACCTCCTAGAACGTGCTGTTACAATGGATACTTGATGTCGGTGTTAGAGCCAGAAAGCAGTCTTTTGTAATTTAACAAGGAATGTGATTTTAACATTTATTGATATTTTTTTCACTTTCTTAAAATCATCATTAAATTGATTTTGATGATTTTTTTTATATTCATTCTATGTATATTTCATTATACAAATTGTCACGGACTACAATCTCAAGACTGAACGTAAATAAAACAAAAATACATGTTTAAATTGAGGAAAAATATTTAGACATTTAACTATGAGAGTTAATGATTTCCAGGCACTTGATAGAGAATCTCAATGGAAATATTATTTCTCCATATCTATAAATGTATCATGTCAAAGTAAAAATCTAAAAATAACAATTTATTTTATTTACTGGCATTTAAAACTCGAACAATAATGTTTTTGATTTTTTTTTTTGTTACTTCAAGGACTTGTTTCCTTGCTGTCAAATATGTGTTTTCAAAACATGCAAAACGCGGCAAGAGTTGAAACTGGCAACAGTATAAAAAACATGAAGTTATAATGCCCCATGAATAATGCACGATGTCTTAATGGGATCCTGCTGATATTTCAAGAGCTTTATGATGAAACTTATAAATTATTTCATTAGTTTTCATTAGCTTTTTCGTTTTATGGAACTTTTTTTTTATATAAAGCTTGTTTGGTTTGTGTTTTTTTCAATTAGCATGATTTGATTTTTTCATGTTTTGTTTTTAAGTTAATATTAAAATATTAATAACAGTTCAAGAGATGGACAGACATTTTGGTAATAAATTGAAATGCTTAAAAAATTAAAGGTTCGCTTTTTTTAATGATTAAAGTCATTTTGGGATTATCATATGGTATATTTTTATTTCAATAATTCGTTTACTCGTTGGAAGCAGTGGGAAGAAATCGTGTCGCGCGTGGGCTCGAAACACCTGGAACTTGTATCGAGTGCAGTTTAGGCCCAATCATCTACAGGTGACGCGTAGAAGAAGAATTGTCATTAGAAGAAGGATTCTGCTGTGTTGAGTAGCCGTCAATCCCCATTTTTTGCTTTATACTTTCTAATGATGAGGGAAATACAAAATTGTTAAAAATGTTTGACAACTATGGGTCTAGAGAACCATTACTTGGGTTTTCAGTTATGTTAAAAGTCTTTCATAGCTCTAAAATAGTTGATTGACAATTTACACAATTCCCTATGGATCCTCAGACAGTTTAGCTCGCGGCCGGGTTATCAATGTAGTGTTCAACATAGAGTAAGAAAACCTTTCCATTCTTTATTGTTGATCATGTGGACAAAAATAAAGAGGTTGGAAATTGCGTCTAATAGTATGAATGTAATTCAGTAAGTGCTGCCTGAAGAATAAGAAAAGAAATCTCAGAAAAAATGTACTATATTATGCGGTTTTATTCACCATGGTCGTATTTTATTCAATTTTTATCTTTTTTTCAGAAGCAGAATGGCGTTTTGAAGACAACATCCATCAGTTCTGCGACCACACCCACTTCACCTACCAAAGCTGTTTCAACTTAACCTGTTTTAATTAAATATATGATTATAACCGATTCATTTGAGTGATTCTTTTTACATTGACTGTATGAATGGTTTTATAGCTTTATTTTGAAAGAATTAGTTTTGATATCAGATCAGACGAGAACTTTTAATAAGGAGACGGGCCTGTTTGATTTAGGTCAAAATAAAGTGTTCGGTTGGGTTGATCAGCCTGTCAACGCGAGCCAAATTACAGTATTTACATTATTATGAACCGCACCATGCGTTTAGGGGCGGATTTTCACCTAAAAGTGTGTAGGTAGTTACCCATATCGCAAAACAAATCATAAGTAAACATAAGATTGAATCAAATTCTACACTTCATTTTCACCCAAACCAAAGAGGTTGAATCCTTTAAATTGTTGAATAATTTAACTTGAAAATGTTTGTAATTTTTCACATTGTAATATTCACGTCATCTTGGATAATGGTTTTATGCACCAGGTCTTCATAAGCAGAAATACCACCATTCATTCGGGTTACACAAAGATGTACACATAAAAGGAAACACTGTCAACGACAGACCCTGGATATAACATCGGTCGTAGTGGCCCATATAGTAAGACACAAGGAATGTTGGTGCAACATCGAACAATATTGGCTCCTTTTATGAAATGAAATAAAAATCATCTAATAAAATACATATATACAGTGAACACCATGTGTATTAAACTGTCCTGTTAATTAACACTGGGCTCTTTTCATTACAATATTGTATATTTTATTACAATTTCGTGCTTTTACAGCAGATAGTCTTCTAGTAAAACCCAACGGTTGTCCTCTTTAAATGTGTCCCTGTATATAATTGATTTTGAAAGACGACATTTTATCCAAAAATAGAAAGGGACTGTCGAACAGACAGCCCGTTTTGTTTTATATACGATTTAAATATTTAATAAAGATTTTTGAAACCTGTATGTGACAATATCTAGATCTTTTATGCTTTCCTAATATGTTTGATATCAAGTTGTTTCTATAATATGTAAATTATTTAAGGCTTATAAAGATTGGTTGTGTATTTCAGTGCTATAACTAACAATGTTTGCTTATATAAAGATTATTGAAAAATTGTGATGGCGCATTCTGTTAGTTTTGTTTTAAATTCTATTTAGCTATTTCGAATAACGTATACTTTCTTCCGTCAGATGTGTATGACATATATTTTCCCAGCGAGCACGTGGATCGTCTAAGTCAGTAAGACCGAATCTTGGCGGTTAATCCCACCACTTCACAAAAGGTACAGTCATTACACAAAGAGCTTTATATCCCCAACGTCTCCATTATTTTATTTAAAATGAAATTTTAAACATACATTATGCAAGAGCTAAATCTGCCTATTGTAGGTCTTTCTTTAGGCCTGAAATTTTATCTAAATTATGAATTAGACATTAATTAACTTATCCAGACAATAATCAACTCTCGATGTCATGGATAATCGAGACTATGTTTTTATCGTATCGACTTTAGTAATGATGGTCGAGGCTAGGCAGAAAATTCAATCGATAAATTCTCGGTTACAGAGTGGATCAATTTGACTGAAAACTTCAGCAAATTCCCTTTACATTATCTAGTTTTTAACTATTATTGTGAGAACTGCCAGCTCTTTATCTAATCTCCCATAATATAACTTTAAGTATTACCGCTTCAATATCGAACTACATTGTTTCCAAATACGATCTAGAACAGTTTAATATTATAATCGCTGTCCAGCTGGAAGCCACTAACCAGGAGTTCCCGTGGTCGATATCGATGTTTGTCAGTGGTGGAGGGCGGAGAACCTGGCAAAGGACAGCGTCTAGTTTAGTGCAGGGCACGTAAAATAACCATTGGTATTTGAAATTCGAAGAAGAGCAGGCCGAATCTCCGCTGTCCGGGCAATATTTCAACTCCACGAATAGAATACTGTATGACGTTTGTCAGACTCCATTAGCCCCGGGGAACAGATATGTAGGACGTTAAACCCCATTTCATCTCGCTTTCTAGCTTAATTAGAAGTCACGCTCAATATGTAGGTAAAATCAACTACATGTATAAATGGATACCGGAAACATGTCATCGTCTTCAAGATTGAACTACGTTGTTTCCAAAGAAACTTTTTTGTATTATTTAGAGAACTATCAGGGTTACTAAAACTTGTATGTCTACAAACAAAGGTTAACTAACCACACATTAGAACAAAATGAAGACATTGATTGCGATACATGACCACTTCATTACCACAAACATGGCATCGGCTCCGGGGACTGACAAGCTCAATACGTACATTTACTTTCTACTTTTGACATTTTGCACAAAGGGTATGTTTATGAGTCTGGCAGAACGAGCCACCATCGTGTCTGGTACTAGGGTGTTAAATCTGACAGCACTAATTGGTCGCTATTGTTTCTTACAATATCTTTATGACTTGTTATTGGCGTTCATTTAGCTGCCTTTAACTCTCGTTATCACAATACTAACATTAACAAGAACCACGGTTTAGTCCATTTCTACCGATAATAGATAAGTTAACACCATTTATCATTAGTACTGATATAAAATGGACCATCAATTGATGTTTGCGAATGGCCATCTTACTGAAAAGTGATATCCGCTTGGGGTGCTTGACAAGAGGTCGTTAATTCCATCCTAAGTAGTTATAGTGTGTATTATTTAGGAGATTTTACCATCGGACATTGTATATTCTCTAAACACTACAGTTTTTGTTTTTGTAGCAAACGGCAAAACGGCGGTTAGTTCTTCACATCCCAGCATTGATACACATTGCCTTCTTAATAATTTAACAATCTTTGTGATTGGTGTGACTGGAAACTGAAATACTCTAACTTTACATAAATCATTAATTAAGAATGGAGTCTAATTAATATGATATATTTTGTAAACCCTAACGATATAAGAAGCATAAACGCAAGTCGTTTGATTGAAATGTGAAAGATACAGAAAGAAATTTCCATTTCTAGGCGATTCCGATTAAGATTAGAACCTAACTAACACAAAGTTGAATTAAAGTAGACAATTTAAAAGCTCTTAAACGCTTTTTATCTAATGAAACATACTCGAAGAATATAAGATTGTAGACATCTTAATGACGTTCGAAACGGTGAACTTTTTAACAAGATCCCCCAAAATATCTTCAGCTGACAGGCTCGCCAAATTTAGTATAGCCTGAAGTATGTCTGGTAAAAGATAAATCGATGAAAATATTAGATTGAGAAAAGACGAAACAACAAAAGAACCGCGACAAGTAGCGACACCTGGAACATTTCTCCTGGGGGTTATAATCTGGGTACTGTTAACCTTCAAACCTGATATTTTACCTGAATTCGTTGTCAAGTTGATAACAGGCGGCTCCAAGGCAAATTCTACCCTACCACAATTTGACCTCACATATATTTCCTTACTTCTTTAACATTTGTAATCTGTGGAAATCACGGTGTTTGATAAATGCCACACGTGTAGCTTAAATATCTGATTCATCAAGCTGATTATTGATGAACAAAATGTCACTTTATATAATTCTTAGATAACATATTTGAGAAATATAACACAATCTATTGAATTGGGATTCATTGGGAGCTGCAGCTGCATTTCAAGACCAATTCGTCTGACCATCGTTTTATTTTTGCTAGGTTCCAATGAGTTTAACGCAAGCTGGCAAACAATTCCTTGCCGGAAGAAGCTATGGTTATTGTAAAGATGACATCATTTTAAATTAATTCTCCTGGTGAGAGTAATTAAGAGTAAAAGAGATGTCTATTCATGCTTTGGTTTTATAGATGTTTTGTTCGGTAAATGTGTTGGTCGCTCGTCACTATCCATCATTTCTCTCCCTTGATCCTTTACATTTACTTATCCTTGATAATAGTACGTCTGAAGCCAACCAAAATGTCGAGTTTGGCAGCGACGCCAATGCGATAAAACTAATAGCCTGACTATTACCAAGAGGAACTAACTGTAGCGGGCCGACGGGAAAGTCAAATGGCGACAGGACGATTTACCCAATACTACCCAATAGTAATTAAATACTACCAAATATCTCCACACCTTATTATCGCGAAAAACTAACATAATTATATAAAAAAGATGAGTTGATTAATTAAGTCTATTTATAGTATCAGTAGGCCTACCCGGTAGCTTAAACGTCTGAAAGTCTAACCAAATATGATCAAATATCTCCCTATTTTATCCCAATACTACAAAATACAACCATATACTCCTTATTATTATTCAAAACTGACAGAATTCTGCAATTACTTCTATATCAATGTGTTAAACTATAAAATGATCTTGTCCTTCATAAATCATGACCTAAAACAGTCACCGGTCCATATTGGTTAATTTGATACCACACGTGCGGGGTGGGGCGCGAACACCCATACACACTTTGATATATTTATATAGATCATTGAAGTATTCTGTTAGTTTTTCACAATATTGATGTAGAATGTTATGGTATATGGTAGTATTTAGTTAGTATTTGGTGGTATTATTGGGCACACATTCGAATCTCTTATGTGGTCTTACATAAATTGCCGATCACTTCTACTAAAAATTGTAATTTTAACCCTTCGCAATTTCAAACTTTGTAGAATCAAGAGACATGCATCAGTTCTCTCACATACATTGAAAATGCCACTATTTGTTTTAAAAGTGTTTGCTCTGGTCACCCTTACGCAGTGACAAGCCTCAGTGGATAATATAACAGGACGCCGAGGGTGATTTGGCTTATTGATTAAGATAGTATCGCATAATAATAAGAAAAAAATATCTGTAATTGTTCAACGGCTAGACTTTATGTAATTAGTTTTAATAAGCCTGATAATATATAGTTAGAAAAACATATCGCAGACTTATTCAAAATAATTATAGAGGTATAGTCTGTACAGCTTGGACAAGGCGTGATCAAAATTTTAAACGGGGCGGAGTTGCCAATGGTGATTTGAATTAGAATACGTCCACTTGTCTGACGTTGAAGTCAATCATTGTGGTATTCAGACGAATCGCTTCAATAATATTTCAGTTTCAAATCTTGGCAAGGTTTACGAAAGACTGAGGACGTAGATTTCATTGTCCAGACGATCAACCAAAAAAATCGGTTAGATCTATTTGATAAGGCCAACTTCAAGTTTGGTCAAAGGTCACGAGTTGTAAACAGAGCTAGCGCCAATCCTAACCCTAACCATAATCCTGGACCTCGCCCTAATGCTTACCATAAACCTAACCTACAATCCCACCAACAATCACGTGCTTTAAACTAATTTACATCTCCGCGACCTTGGCGAAAATTGAGCTGGCCTTAACAAATAGATTTAGCCCAAAAATATCCCACCGTATTTATAACAATTACTGACTCCCGTACTAGATCCCGACAGGCGCAGACAACCTAATGTTATTAACGTACCAGAAAGGGGGTTTAATCTTGATATAAAAGCAACAATTCATTCTTCTTCAATCAATTAGTCCAACTTTTCAATCAATTATATAAACCATTTAAGCATTTCAAGATTTACGACTTCCAGACAATAATTGCATTATTTAGACGATAATTTTCATCAACTGAAACGATTAAGTTCACCGAAGAAACACAAGAAATATTTTAATACAGTGTTGAAAACCAAAATATTCACTTATGAACGTTATAAATCGGTTAATCGTATTTCAAACCTTGAGAATTTTACTGAAACGTAAATCGCTTTGGATTTAAGATCTATCAGAGCGATGGTTTGTTGTAGGTTTCGACATGATCGTCACACTCGGTTTATCCTATTATATTGACTTATGGAGTTTGTTCCTTAAAATGTCGTTTTAAAGGGTTTTACCACCCAATTTTACATTTTGTTCATGCTGCATCGTCTGTTTAGTTAAGAAACTAAATGAATTTGACATTCCATAAATATGACCGTCAGTGCGTTATGTATTATCCATAAAACAAACTGACATTTCACCAAAAGCTTTTTCAAAAGAAGGTAGTGTAACTACAGCCAAAGGGAGACAACTTAATTTAAAAAACTATAGCAGGATTCAGACCACTTTAGTTTTTTCTTCCCCGGCTCCAACTTTTCCCAACATTTTCGTTTGGCTTAATGCTTTTCACTACAGACAGAGAACAAAATTAATGGCCATGTCTTTGCACCAACTGTTGTATGAGGTTGATCATCAAGCTTTTGGGGGGATCACGTGGCTAAGTAGGTAAGACGCTGTCTCGCTAGCCTGGAGATCGGGTGTTCGCTCCGTGCATTGGCCGATAACGTTCATCCAGGTTTTCCGGCGTGATTTCCCCTTGTCAGTGATGCAGGACGGAGGGCCTGACAAGGACAGCTGTCTAGTCGTTCGGATGGGACAAAAAACCGAGGTCCCGTGTACGTATTGGCGTGAACGTAAAAGATCCCTTGGCAGTTGGAATTCGATATAACAGTAGGCCGTAGCGCCGCTGCCCGGGCAAAATTTCCCTCATAGCACACTGTATGGCGTATGCCCGTCTTCATTAGCCCAGTTTAGGAGCAGAACAGTAGGACGTTAAACCCCATTTCATTTATCAAGCTTTTGAGATACACAAACTTGAAGTGGCATACTAAAACATGTAACTATTCACCGTAACCAACCTGTTAACTCTGTTATTCCTCCGCCTGTAAATCATGAATAATTACCAAAACCTGGCAGAAAATGTTAATTAAAACCATCGTCGCCCATTCTAGACCAAAGAATCAACAATAATGGGCATGCAAAAGGGTGGAGGGAGAATTACTATTGATAGGCGAACCACAATTTGTTAGATGGTGACATTTAATGATGGTCTGCCTCCAGCAGGACTACTACTAGTAATTCTGTCCAAGTTGACATGTTAAATCCATTTTTGGAACATTCTAATGATTTTAATCTTTATAATCACAACGAGTCCAACACATCACTATCATTTAATCAAAAGGGGTTGATCGTTTAAATTTTCTTCTACGCCTAATGAAATGAATCTATAGGATGGGTTATAGTTCGTTGTATGCGATTTACATAATCGAATTTGGTTTACCGTCTGACCCCCGCCTCAAAATCATGAATATTCATCTTCTTCGATTCTAGAGAGGAAAAGAGACTGCTTAAATAGACAAACGATGTGTCGATCATGAAATAAGGGAAATGAATGAAATTGAATTGTTGTCATATTAAACTTTATTGCACAAGCACACATGAATTATAATGTTTCACAGATGAGGATATTTTCTACATTCAGCGGTTGTCTTGTTTTGTGGACAATAAGTGATCCCTAACTCATCAAGTCTCGCTGTGTGCTTTTGGCGAGCTATATTGATGATATCGAAGGCATTCAGTTTTAGAAACTTGCAATCTTCCCGACGAACAAAAAATGGAGAATGAAATTCGCTTTCCTCAATCATTAACATTCCACTTCCGTAATACTGTTTACAAAATGTTTCAACTTTTGTACGAATTGTCCGAAAATTGCGAACCTCATGTATAAACTTTGGACCGGCTGATTTGATTTTTGTAATTAAAATAGTTTTAAAATGATTGTATAAGGCATAATCTAACTTGGCCCATCGTCTATGAATTATTTTTTCTGAAAGACTAAATGTTAAATTGTGCGATTTTTTAAATGAATTTCGTTTAATGTAAATAATGTCCTTTATGTGCCATTTTAGGAGCTTCATCATAAGAATCAAAGACTCGTCGAAGAGTTCAACGACCATCACAAAATTAATATCTTTGTCAAGTTTTTGTAAAAATTCTCGGAATTTGGTCATATTGTTAAAATCCACTCCTGGATAACCAAAATCAAACGCCATTCTGTTATTTGTAAACGAATGTGGCAGCTTTTTCGCTTCGTATAAAACGGGATCACTAAGATAGGTTTTGATTGGATTATCACCCGGGATTTTAACCAAGTATTTTACCTGATATAAATTCCTGTAATATACAAACGCTGATACAAACTGATCGAATGGTTGTCGAACTATTCCTATATAAACTGTGTCTATTGGAAAGAACGGCGCCATGATTTCTTTATTGAATATCACGTGATTGCAGAATACGTCAAACATTCGTTTATCCTCATGAAATGACGGCAGAGCCTTTCGTGAAATAAGTTGGTTATACTGACTAAACATGTTTCCAGTACGAGGTAACATAATGGATAAATTCCTACTGATAGCAAACCTCATTATTATATTCATCACAGTCGTTCCCGCTGCTTTGTGAACTTTTAAAAAAACAATATGGCGTACTTCTGCATGCGGGAGGGAAGTGATTAAAGAGTGATTTCCCTTGTCCACCATATTGGATTGTGTCTGTGAGATAAGTGTTCCATTGCTGCTGACGAGTGGCGTGTGTAATAAAAGTGCAGGTGGAAATATGAACACGAGATTCACTAACACGATCACAATAATTATTACGAAACATCTATATCGATTATTTCTCTTTCTTAGTAACATATTAGTCCTGAAATAGATCATCACGTGCATTAGATTAAGTAGACCTAGGCAGCGTTCATTATGGGACAAAAATACCAAGTTACAAATTGTTGTTTTTCTGTACAAACATTATAGACATAAAGGTAAATACGAGGCACGTGTAATGAGGGTTCAATTGAATATTTTAAATACTGATCAAATAAACGTATTGAACATTATCAAGCAATATTAACCCCCTCTATATACATGTATATATCCCATAATGCACAGTCAACTTACCAACCAGGACATCAGCCAATCAGATAATTCTTGTATCCTGATAACTGTGATATTTCCAAAGTCAAATGAATTATGAATGAAAAGCATTGTGTGCTTGTAAAGTAAGCTCCCAGAAAAAATAGGAAAATGTAATTACCTGAGAATAAAGCAAAAATATCTTCTTTTCCAGGACATGACTTATTTCATCTGCGTCATTATTATACCTTTAAACCAACTGTGCTGCCGTGCTCAGATCAGACTTTCTTCTGGGTAGATTCCCTGATATAGCTGATGCTGACGAAACAGAACAATCAGTATAAAAATACGAGAAAGTAATGTCAATTTATTAAAACTAGTAATCCATCCATGTACATCAGTATGAAAATTGTCAATCTAAACTAACCCACTGTGTGTGTCAGTGTATCAATCATTTCAATAGTCATGCGATGTGAACTCACCACAAACCAGCAGCCCATTCATCGAGCCATCCGGTACTGTGTTCAAGCTATTTCTTCTGTAGAACTTGTCGTAATAGAGTCGATGTTGTACAAGTTACGTTGAATCAATAATGAGACAATGCAGTAATATTATTTATAAAATATTAATAACGGTCTATTCTATGCTTGCTTATCTTGTCGCTTCACATGTTCTTTTTTCAATAAACTTGGCTGGCGTTCACATTGATTTTTATAAGCAATAAAAGTATTAGATCAGAAGTACAACAAGAACTGCTCTTGTCATTACCGTGGGAAAGTTGACCCCGGGGCCATAGGCCACCACAGAGTTACAACAAATATATGTGACCTTTATGGACTCATTCAATGAGAAGAATTGCTGTCTCTTGCACCGAACTAAGCACCATTACCCTGTCAAGGACTATATATGGACCATCAACGCTACTTAATATCCCCAGAAAGCTTCAAACACTAGATCTCTGATACAGTATATATTTTAATACGGTGGTTGAAATGTCTGATAACAGAATCAATTATTTCAAATTTGCATATTTTCATTATATACATGTTTCGGTTTATAATTTATCTTCGAGTCGAGTGTTAATACAACAAAGGTCGATTATTATGTTCGATTTTCATGTTGATCTGTGTAGTCTGGTTTTAACTAAGTCTGATATCGACGGAATAGTCGTTTTGAACAGGGTGTAGCTGGGTTAAAATCATTTATTATTAAAGATTACACTTTTATAATAAAAGGTCTGGTCTAATCATCATCCGTATAAATATTACAGTCTTCTAGAAGATTGTTCCGTCACATGCACCAGTAAATATGGTTGGCTAAATAGCGATTTACATTCTAAGTCAAACATGTGTCCCAAAGTACTGACACTGATCAATAAAGATGGGGTGGGGGGGGGGTCAATGTAGGTCCTTCGCGGATACCAGGTCACAAATTGCCAGTGATTTGGATTTCTACATTTATGAAAGGATTTGAACCATAAATTCCTTGTTTTCAGCGATCAATAAATGCATTTACATTTGATAAACCGATTATCAATACAGTCCCATAATGGTAGAGAATAACTTAAATACTACAGGTAAACACACACTAAAAATAGCATCAGCATGGTAGACTATTGGGTGGTATTTGGTAAAAACAATTATCATCAGAAACCCCCTACCTGCAGGGTTATCTTTAATAAAATCATGAAACAGGTCTATCACTTAATGACCTTCAGGTCAAAAAAACATACACTTGGCAAACTTGACAATGACAAACAATATTTAAGAACAGTAAATACTTTATGGCCAAAATAAAACCATAAGACGATAAATGAAATTGAAGAAAATACATAACTTACCACCAGAATGTACAGAAATAATCTTGAATAAACCAACGTCAAATATTATCTCGGATGTAAGGATAATGTATATGTTTTCTAATCATCTTAATGTCAACATATGGTAGTTTAATTTAAAACAGGAATAAAAGGAAGTTCGATCTGTTTTCATACACTCACGTCTTTGTTGATGAAATCAATTATCTTATATTGAACAGGAATAAATTATGTCCACATGTTGAATATAGAGTGCTGGATAAAGTCACATACATCTAGTATGTGGGTTTTTTTTTAAAGTGACAACTAGCTAGGAACAATGTCACAGTGGGATGTGAAATGAAGACGACATTGGGATATAAGTTAAGGTCTCATCTCGTCAAAATTTTACTAGGGTTGATTAGAAACTAACACGTAGTGATTTTTCATTTATGTGTTTAAGTGTACAGCACAGGGGGTTGTCAGGGGTGGCCTAGTCGTTCTAATTGCAAAATATGTACGAGAGCTACACACGTGCAAGAAGAGTGTAGGTCGAAGCGCCCTTTTCAAAAAATAATTATTTCGATCGCACTGCACACGAGCGTTGTTTTTTGCTGCGTTGCGTTGACTTGAGCTGTATCGTGTTGTGGCGAGCTGTGTCGTGTTGTATCGACAGGTCGTTTAACACCATTTCATCCCCTGTATCCAGGTGGGCTTAATTACAACAGAATAAGGGAAATTACAGATTGCTTTAATTACAATGTGATAAGAGCCGTTACATAAAAATATGGGATTCATTACAATAGTATAACAGTCGGTACAGATGGGCTTAATTATAAAAGTATAATAGTCGTTACAGTTGGGCTTAATTACTTAATTATAAAAGTATAACAGTCGTTACAGTTGGGCTTAATTACAATAATAAATTAGTCGTAGCGGATGGACTTAAATACAATACTATAATAGTCGTTACAGATGGGTTTAATTACAATAATATGCAAGTTGTCACAGATGGGCTTAATAACAATAATATAATAATCGTTACAAATGGTTCTAATTACAATAGTGTAATAGTCGTTACAGATGGGCTTAATTACAATGAAATAATAGTCGTTACAGATGGGTTTAATTACAACAGTGTAATAGTCGTTAAAGATGGACGTAATTACAATAGTGTAATAGTCGTTAAGGATGGGCTTAATTACAATAGTATAATAGTCGTTACCGATGGGCTTAATTACAATAGTATAATAGTCTTTAAGGATGGGCTTAATTACAATATTATAATAGTCGTTACCGATGGGCTTAATTACAATATTCTAATAGTCGTTACATATGGGCTCAATTACCATAATATAATAGTCGTTACAAATGGGCTTAATTGCAATAGTATAATAGTTGTTACAGATGGGCTTGATTATAATAGCCGTTACAGGTGGGTTTAATTAATATAAATAGTAGTACATAGTTTTCAGGTGTGGCGGGTGGGTATAGATCATAACGCCTGATATTCATGCAAAGCATGGGTTAGATTCCCCGCTATACGTGAGTTGGGCGCATATCTTACCACATGCGTTATAAACCATCCGATCTACCGTCTCTTTAAGTTTTATTTATCCTGGGATTGAAAGAAGGTCGATTTATGTTATTTGGTATTAGAGATTCCCGTTTTTAGTTTATCACCGACATGGCTAATAAGATGTATTGTATACATTGAGATATTTCCAGGTGTGTAACTTGAGGGTCTAAATAAGAGGACATAGTTCATTTCACTGTGATAACATCTGTCGTCAAATTGTGGAAAAGAAAATTAAAACGTTGTTGGGTCAATAATAAGGAAAGGGACATTTGTTAAAGACTTTTTGGTTTTAATAGTTCCAGAAAGACAAGAAGACGTAGATACGGTGTATATTTTATAGTATTATTCTCCATGTTCTGTGTTTGCAGTTACAAGCAACAGATAGGTAAAATGAAAATAGGCCTGTTTAAACAAAAGCAGTGGCACTTAATATTAAATTGATGTTTTTAGACCATAGGAATTGATAGGCCTACAAAATAAATTGTTTCACATTTCATTTCGGTAAGTATACCTTTAATTCGAAAAGTTTATTTTTTAAATTCCGACTATAAAGGACGCCCAGAAGAAACTATAGGCTCTACCAAGACTTATGAAAGAAACTACCAAAAAACCCCAAAAAACCTGTGTATTGAAAAGATTCGCCTGGAAATTCAAACTGGAGCAGGTTTTAAGTCATTGAATAGATTGGAGCTTGGATTTAAATATAAGAAATTCCTTTTGGACGTTAGTATATAAATCAAATCGCAATATTCTATAGATGAATTCATTGGATTATTTCATTTTTTACAAAAGGGATTGGATTACAACTAATTATGACTTAAGGTCATAAATCGTTTATAATAGAACTTTTACTGTCTTACAGAATGCGGTCGTATCATTTTAAAACGAGAACTGTGATAATTGTGTTGGTTGTTATATCCTTTGTTTTACTGTCACTTAGTTTGGTTCAACAACTTCACAATCAACGTAAGTAGTTATTGTTTCTTGGTCTTCTTTTTCTTCTTCTTTTATTACTTTACAAGATTGGTTAGACACCAGATTGTGCTCATCATTAATACTGTATATATTGCACGAGCAATGAAATTGGATTACTGTTCAAGTATAGTATACTGTCTTAGACAGATTCTGAAATTGCTGTAAAATTGTAATTTTTTTAGCAATCATAGAAATACAATAACTGTATGACATTCCCTTCTCTTTTTAACTGCATAGTTTGTGATAAATTATTTAATATTATAGAAAATTATTAGGTCCAATTTACAGTTTCTTCACTTCGAAATGCACGTTTTTCTGTATTACCGCTACCAATAGGCCTACTTGTTACTTAAAGATACATTCCCGCGTACAAACGGGGTGATTTGATGATATATTTGGACTAAAAACATATTCAAACTAATTAATTTATCATAATTTTGCTTCAAATCCTTCTAAAAATATTGCAATTGCCAAGGAATACCCTTACTATAAAAAAAATCGACCAAAAGAGGTCATGTTTGCGTCACGTGACTTACCTCTCTCAGTACCTAGCAGCGGGGGCGAAGTCGGAGAATTCATTGCATAACAAGACGATGTTGTCTTTAATCGTTAAATTACAAATACCGAAGCCTAATTAAATTCTCGGATTATCCACTGCCCAAGTTTTTTTCTGTGGTTTTTAACTCAGAAACTGTTGTACGTCTAACTCTTAATAAAGTTTATCAACATGTACATCAAGAGCTCAATCTCCGCGTGCGACCTTTGACGTCACGCGTGCAGACACTTCTAATCGTCGGGTTGTCGATTAGGGAAACCCTTACAGTTTTGTCCTGTATGCGCTCCAGGAGTGTTTTTCAGGGCATCCAGTATTTTTCTAGTAAGATTGGATATTTCTATTTTCCATATATACCAAAATTGCCATACTTTTATTGGAAATAGCCACCCGATAAATACTTTTCTGGGAACCTATCTTTAATTGATATAGAAGTGAAATTACATATTGTAATACTTTCATTACAGATAATGAATTAAATCTACAGCCGGTCAACATTCCAAAACTACATAAAACAAAAACTGTACGATTTGAATTTCTGAAACGTCAGCAAAGAACTTATGACACATGCGTACAGGAAGAAGTCGGTATTGTCCAGTCGGTATTTACATACGCACCGAAATTTTTAGCATTTTGCCCAGTCGCTAAAGTAGGGTCTACTTTCTGGAAAAGGATCTTATTATTTCTACACAACGATACAAATGGATTGAAATTTAACCACCCATTCGAAATACCTCGTATGTTAACTCACTATGGTCCACGCCAGTCCATGAAGAGCCAAGCATTTGATAGATTATCACGGCCGATATTACGAAATATGACCCGAGTACTGTTTGTTCGAGATCCTTATTCAAGATTGTGGTCTGCTTATTTGGATAAATTCTTTTTGCCCGACTTTTGGAGAACTTATGCTAAAAATATTGTTTTGCGCCGCCACGAGCGTTCACTGAAAGCTGGCATATGCCATCACGACGTCACTTTTGAAGAATTCTTGGCTTATGTCGTTGACTTGAAAGACGAACCGGGCGTTCTAAATGAACATTGGCGTCCTATACAGCATATCTGTAACCCTTGTGAATTCAGACCCCATTTATTAGGAAAGCAAGAATCTTTCGCCCAGGATGCAAAATATGTGTTAAATTATTTTAATTTAGATTATCTACTTCCGTCCTACGATCATAATGTGTACGTAGAGGAGGAACTGCACATGTTGATAAATTACAATTATAAACTATTAAAACAGAAACATTACGACGGATGTATAACAAAGCAGGAATTAGCAGGAAAACTGTGGTCCGTGTTTGAATTTAATGGTTATCTCCCTTTGGGTTCAAAAACAATTCTAGATGCTACCAGTAATTTTACTATGAATTCATTTACTGACTTAGTTCTAAAAACACATAGAAATAGACCTAAAACACCAGCCGAGTGGAAGAGACAGAGAATAGAGGCCATGACAGCTGCCTACAAATCGATATCTAATTACGTCATAGAGGGTTTACAGGAGACCTTTAAAATGGATTTTATACATTTCAATTATGATCCAATTCCTCCTGGGAAGAGAGTGTGATAACAGATGTACTATAAATCAATATAATGATGTTCGATCATGAACTAAAACAGGTACACGATGGATGTTCGGAAAATCTTACCTTTCATACATACTCACTGCTGTAGGTCTACTTAATTTTTTAGTAGTGGTCAAATAACTCACTTCATGAAAGTTTTTACATATTGTCCGCTTTGTTACTAATGTAAAGCCAACAGACGCAAGACTATTAAGACGTACAAAACACATTTATTATATTATCGCCAAAGAGTACAATACTTGTGTACATAAAATCATACAAATATTTTAACATGTGTTTTAAAATCTGTAAAAACAATAACATCCATTTTGTTCTATGGCAATGGTAATACATAAATCGTTAAAAATGTATATACATGTATATATATATATCTATTGATAAAATCTTTCATCGGTCAAATCTTAAAATCAGCAGATAATATGATACACAGCCCCGTTTATAACCTCTACAGATGTCTTCCCTTTTAAGTTTCAACTTTGCAATATTGTAGTTTGTACGAAATTCAAAATCCGTGAAATGACGATCAGTGGTAGGCAAAATAATTACCATTTCCCTACCTATTACTGCTACATTATTATAATAAATAATTTCTACTTCTCTATATGTTTTGCCTAATTATTTATATAATATAAATATGATCGGAGCTGAGGTCACCGAAAGTATAAATAAAACTATTTTTTTCACTCAACTTAAGAATTATGCAAATCTATAACTGTAAAATCTTCAACATTTTTTTTAACCGTGTTGATACAAATATATTGAAATTATACAAAGCATTCAAAAAAATATAATCTGCATTGTATTATATATCTTTAGCATCGCATCAATCGACTAAAATTTGAGTGAAACTTGAGTTAAGCAAAGAAACGGGTTTTATGATCTCAGATTGCTATGTATCACTTAATAGATTTTGGCATACAATAAACTATGTGTTCATATTTAAAGTTATCTAAACTATATATTGTTTTAAAAATGTCACATTTCTCTCTAATAAAGCATAAAGTCATTATTAAAATCATTTACAAATTAAAAATATCTTTGGCACCATGAGCATGTAGTTTATAAACTTTATACAAATAATATACAAAAACATCTACAGAATGAGAACAAACATTATTTGGTTTTGTATTTGATACACCAGCAACCAACATAATGAGATTCGTTTACATAACGGTAGGCAGTGAAACAAAAAATTAACAAAGGCGAACAATTACTCTGAATTTCGCCATTTTGAAATCGGCCATAAACAAAAACAATATTGATCAAATTACTTCTTTCATTAACAGTAACAAAATAATAAAATCAAATACAAATCAAAGAATTTCTTTCCATGATTTTCAGTTTACAGAACATAACTTTAATAACCAATTTTACTAGAGGTGGAACCCTATCACATATTGATCTTGAAAAAAAAACCAACATACGCTAACAATTCTATTGTTAACGAAAGGTCAACTCCAATACGACATCACTTTTCTTTGCACTGACGTGTGCTTTAGCACTTAATAAATTCCGATTAGCTCGAATCGTCAGTTCAGAATACCGTACATCATTTCTGACAAAGTATTGTGGCCTGTTCAGTTCTTTGTTATTTTTATAGCCCTACACATATAACCATCACGCAGCAATATGCAGTTACCTTACAGGTACCAGCAGGTCTAAAGTTATTGATCATTACCGGAAGCTAGAAGTTCAAAGCTAACATACTAGCATATATCGGCAGTTACATGATGTGTATCCATATCCTTTTATCCAAATAACCGGAGACGTTGAAATAAAGGGACCACAAATATGACGAGTTTAAAATCCAATTTGCACTCTATGTCCATAGGCTTACAGCCTCTGTTAACAGTGATCAAATTACTACGTCAATTAGGCTTAATCTCACAACAACAAAAAAACACGGATTTTCTTTAAGAAAACATGCATACACAATAAAATTACACCCATCCACCCATCCATCCATCCATCAAGCCACACAATGTCTACGGGTGGCGATTCGTCGATGCCGGAGATGAAAAATGTGTTTCTTCGTCGGAGCCATGTGAAGTGTAACCTTGGTTACCGGTAATTTCACGGTTACCATAACAACTCATCATGGCGTGTAATGTTGATCTGAGCCTGACTGGGTAAACAGTGTTATCGGCATCATCCAATAGAAACTGTAGTTCTCGCTTAAGACGTATCCCAGGATTCTTTACAACTTGACGACGCGGACTGCTCAAATGAGATGATTTGGCCTGAATAATAATACAAAATCCATATAGTTGTATAATCATATAACATTAGAAAGAATGTAATATTGTAAATGAATTGAAATGGGATTTAACGGCCCACATTTCTGCACCAACCGGACTAATGTAGACGGGCATATGTATGCCATGCAGTGTGCACGGGCATGGTGTCAAGAAGTGTGTTTGGAAGGAAAGTTAACCCAAACAGCTGCCGTATGGTCTAGGGGTCAAATGTTCTTTTGCGTTCACCCAAACATGAACACGGGACTTCGGTTTTACGTCCTGCCCGAACGACTAAACACTGTTTCTTAACGCTGTACTACTAACAAGGGAGGACCTAGGAATTTTCTCGTCAAACAGCAGTAACAAACCTGAGACCTTCTGATTCCCGAGCTAGCGCCTTCACTGAGTCACCGCGACTCCACGTTATATCATTGGTCAATAAATGCTAGCTAAGTAAATTGTGACTTAATTCATAAACCGCCTACAAACGTTTCTGCAGTAACAAATAAAATCCATCGACTCGGTGGGCCGGGGTACAAAACCACACGTGTGCTGATAAAACCTTCAGAAGCTTAAACTGTGCAATTCTACTGTTTTTCTGCTATGATTTTCTCGGCATTCTAAATATATTATAATTTTCCAAGTCAACAGTGGTGTTGAATCTTTCATACCTTTTTAAATTCATTTTGCTCTGTTCTTTTCGTTAATCGTTGTTTTGGTATTCCTCTACGACCTGGCGACGTTGTTTTCTTTTTTAGAATGGAAACTAACTGAAAATTTACAAAATTATAAATTAAACTTCTAAACCTATATAATTATGTCTGACTGGTTACACCCACATTTCCCTGGTCGTTTCGATGCAACAAAAAACACATACCCTGGCATGATAAGCAAAATCATTAATCGGTTTTTAAATTCTTAGTCCTATTTACGTAGCGTACATGAAATTTGAACATTTTACAATTACTCTATTGAACTAACGTGCAGTAAGTTTAGGACTACATGTACTTTGTTAATGGAGCCTCTGTATTGTCCCCCACATCGAAGTAAGGTTCTGGTTCGACTCCGGTCGGCGAATCGGGACTTATGCAAATGATAATTATTGTCTATACCTGTGGACTTTCCGGTGGTTCGGCGATAGTTCCCCTGTCTTTTGGTGGCTTTCTTCCGAAATGAAGTCGTCTTCTTACTTTCGAGACAGAAGCTGTAATCAAGAGAGTTTGATGTAGGTAAGTAATTTAGAAAAACGTGCCAAGTTCGATACTTGGGAAATCTATGCTTTCCGAAGTCAGGTAGGCTACCGGACTGTCAGGGTTAAAAAGGTTTTTTTTTCACTAGAAACCGGAATCAACATTGACAATCATTTCCCATGGTGCTGTTGTATGGCTTGGAAAGACTCTATCCATCGTAATATTGGACGCCTCTTATAGGACAAGGAACCTTCATATTTAAAGAAGTTAAGTCTCTAACCCAATATCATCCAAAGTCTTCGACATTGAAAACACGAATTATTTGTCAATTTAAATCAACATTGATGTTGTGATCTTACCGGGAAAAGATGGGCTTCTGATATCCAATATTTAAGACAAAATAAACATTTCACCACATTGGTACACGAATCGTGTACTATAATGTGTTTCGCCGCCATTTGTAACAAGGGACTCGAAGAATAAGGCTAGACATATTCCACCACAGAAATATATTCCACAAGTCATGTCAAACGGTGAAGCTATATTCTTAACGTACGTAACTAACGTACGAAAATTAAATGGTAGCTGGCTTTTTTTTTTCGCACGTATACAGTGAATGGCCATTTTTTAAAATTACGTTAAAGTTTTAAATTTTTGTTTAGAACTGAAATAAATTAACTTTTAGTCAATCCCCACGCTAAAAACATTAACAGAATTGATTGTGTATATCTGAAATAGACACGACCGAAGCACAAAATAGTGCCAATATGCCGACGTCAAATCTAGTGTTGTAGATGATGTTATATTTCTGAAAAATCATTGGCAGAAGCGATAAGACGTTCTGTACGGATTATACAGTTCTTAAAGGCTGCAAGAAGGCTATTGTTTACAATGTAACATTGTGTCTTGTAATGTTGATAATGATCATAATGATGGTGTTTACATTTGTTTGTTGGTGTGACCTCATGACCTGTGACGTTTAGATAACGTCATATGGATATCATGGCTATTCACTGTGTCAGAGTCACTTCTCTGCAGGTAGGGTGAGTCTGTCGTTCAGATTGTATTCTTATATGGCGAGCATGTGCAATAATACTACCGGTGTAGACTAGAATAACCAGACGCTAGAGATTGCCATTCGATTGAGACTTCTGGCGTATTTTGCATAACATAATTGATTTGAAATTAAAGTAAAAACGGACCCACTTGTGTCAATTTCTAGGTCACAAATATTAGCGATTTAGCTCCTTTAAATCTTACGAGTCTTAGTGTTCTGAAAAAATTAGTAGAAATTTTATATTTCATAGTTGAACTCACAGACTGTGGTTTTGCATACAAGTTGACAATAAACTGAGGTTTAATTTCTGTACCAACAGGGCTAACGATGCCGGGCAGACGCCATGCAGAGTTCCATAAGGGAAATTTGACGCGTTGGCCTACTTTTATTTCAAAATGTCAGGGATCTTTGACGTGCTGCTAATTGTATACACGGAACCTCGGTTTTTCGACAGGTTCTTTCTGTCCATACCCTCCGTCAAAGGGAAAATAGACCGGGAAATGTCGAGGAACATTCTCGACAAACACAGGGATTGAACACGGGATATCCTTGTTATACCATACCTCTGTTTATTACTGGAGGTTCATCTTCTGTCTTTGTTGGTGTAAAATGACCATTTCTTCTACCAGCTTCGTGTCGTCTGGTATTTTTTCTGCCCACCATAGCTGTTATAAAGTCCACTGCATGTAACCCTATCAAATAAATACATACGTTTTTAGAATCATATACGTGCTCACATTATGAAGAAATTATACATTTCCAGTATACTATTCCTCAATATAAGAAATTAAGGACATGAAAAAAACGCGTCAGTGCTAAATTTCATTGTAGATCAAACACCTTGGATCAATGTTAACCTTAGGCGCGCGTGTGTGTGTATTGGGGGGGGGGGGTCGGATACGGATAGGTGCACTTTTCTGTTCGCCCTGACACGCTCAAAATATGATGTTTCTAATGTTTGCATGTTATTTCCGTTTTTTTCTGATAATCACCGGCTACTGAATATAACACCGTAAGGGTTATTCTTTGTAGTTACAATTCGTCAATCATAATCTCAAAGAATATATATTTTAATTTAAATATCACTTTAAAAATGCAGACACAAACTTAATAAAGTAGCCTCTATTAATTAGTAGATTATTCATTATTGTGGGATATTGACAGAATGCCAGTTTACTAGATCTATTGTATTACATTTACAATTACATATTGCCTGTTAGATAATATCTTACAGTTTGTTAATTATATACAGTTTACTACCTATGTATTATCTAATCTGTAAATCTTACAAATCAATCAATCGATTAAACATACCCACAACGTTAGATCTAATCTTCGTTAATCTCACGCGCTCTATGTCGACATAATCACCACACGTCAGATTGAAGCGAACGTTGCTATGTGACGTTTAGAATAAACGGATTATCCTCTCAATGAAATCCCCTGTGGTGTTTAGAATACCTAGCTGGGACTGTGAATAATAGTCCCAGGAATATAGGCAGGATTTACACAACTTTCCTCCAGATTTTACAAATATATCAAAGTTGAAATTCAGTGTGACAGAACAGAGAGTTCAGCAGCAGGATTTTTAAATAAAAAAATAAGATGACAGATGTCCAAGGTAAATTAAATTAACTGTTTATATTGATATATCTATATAATTACTATTTCTAACTAGACCTGTAAGAAACTCGTGATTAATTAGGACTATATTATTGCTAATTAATAACAGTGAAACAACAGTCATAATGTTGCGCCGACCAATATGCCTATACATTTGTACTTTGATTGAACAGACATTTCGGTAATGTAATGGCTAGGCTAATACCAACCATATTAAAACATACAAATCACAGGTTTTTCTAATTTTAATAATTGGACAGACCAATTTGTTCGGGGAATCTTGCAAAGGTAGCGCAAAATAACACCTTCGCTTTTGTACCTATTACACTAGTTATTATTAGGATAATGTAATTTGCAAAATTTGTGGTGTGGGTGCTAGTTTCGGTGGAGGTTGTGGGCAGGTGAGTCAGACTAGTTTTATACTTTAGTCATGCAGTGCATTAAATATTCTTATTGTCTACATTTAGTTAACGTGCTGTAGTCTCCCTGGGATTTAATAATTAATAGCTTACACCGTAAAAACCTGTACTATTTGTGAACAAATTACAGCCGCTATATTATGTTATACGATACCATTAACATGTAAATTAAATAATATATGATGGCGTCTTGTTACATACACCTATTGTTTAATATAATACTTTGTCTTTGATCAAAGGTGCGAACAACCACACGCTGGTGGCATAATTATAACAAACAGACTGTAAATTGTAATTGTAGACTATAGACGGGAATAGACGCAACTGGTGGCATTTTACAATCGAGCTGTAATTTGTAGACTATGAGGGAATAAGTACTGGTGGCATAATTACAAACAAGACAGGGTGCGCAACGTATTGGAACTGATTAGCATCTATGCTCGGATTCACACCCCACTATAACCCTTCTCTCTCCCCCATCCATCTCCGCACAAGTAAAGTTTTGCTAGAATTTCATTCGAATGTTACCAGCGGGAAAAGTCGAATTATATAGTTCTTAAGAAGAGTATTACTAATTTAACATTACGTCAACCCAACCCAACCCAACCCAAACCCTTGTGTTAAATATATTGTATTTTAGGCGAAGTAATCCATTTATTATGCCTCAAAGATCTTTGGGTTTACATAGCTCTAACTTTCTCCCACTCGCATAAAACCAAATCACATTTCACACTGTAAAACATATATTTGACATTTTAAAATCTTCTCCTTTCTAGTTGTCAAGATCAATAGTCCTACACCTTATACATTAAATAAGTCAATATATCCTCAGCTAATCAAACGGTATAACCCGACTGTTTGATATAGATTGCAAACAATGTGGGTTCAAAATTGTAGCCTACATGCTGCCTAACAGGCAGGTCACATTGCAGGAGAACTGCACAACAAAATACAAACTGAATAACCTATAGGAACGCGTTGTAAGAGCACAATTATTAGATATAAAAGTGATGCAGATAAATAATGCGGGCGGTGAGGGTGTGTGGGCGGGGGGGGGGGGGGCAGTGTCACTAGTTTTAATGTACAAAGTTTTAAAAGACACTATTGTTAACAATATTTTTATTCAGGATATCTGAATCGGATAAATGGAAGTTAAAAATAATTTATTTACCTATTTATTTATAGTAAATCAAAGAGGAGATGGCTTCCCAGAAAAAGGTATAAGTAAGAACAGATTTAGCACTGCATGTTTTTCTCACGTCAAAAAGCACCAAACCTCACCCAGTTGCACTTGATAAAAAAATATTAGATACCTTCTAGTTCCCAAAAAGCTATTGAAGTTCCAAATTCTTCAAATACTGCGTTCACGAAGAAAATGAAATGAAATGAAATGGGGTTTAACGTCCTACTGTTCTGCTCCTAACCTGGGCTAATGAAGACGGGCATAAGCCATACAGTGTGCTATGAGGGAAATTTTGCCCGGGCAGCGGCACTACGGCCTACTCTTATATCGAATTCCAACTGCCAAGGGATCTTTTACGTGCACGCCAATGTGTACACGGGACCTCGGTTTTTCGTCCCATCCGAACGACTAGACAGCTTTTCTTGTCAGCCCCTCCGTCCTGCATCACTGACAAGGGAGAACCACGCCGGAAAATCTGGATGAACTTTCTCGGCCAATGCAGGGATCGAACACCCGACCTCCAGGCTAGCGAGCCAGCGTTAACGAAGAACATTGGGCATGCAAACTGTTCCCATCTGCATGTAATCGGAGATGAATCACATGCAAATTCTCCCAACAGTACGGTGAAATGCACATAAATTATCGAATCAGCATCAGATTCGAAATGCACATTGTCCACAAATTATCGAAACAGTATGTCATCAAGAGTCTGAATGCATACAAATTATCCAAAAAGTAGGATCAGAGTCGAAATGCACAAACAAATTTCCAACAATACTTTATGATAGTCGAAATGGACGCAATATCAAAGCTCTAAATGCAAACAATTATTCAGTATAGTCGCCCAAATGAAATAATCTCGAAAGAGAACGCAATATGTATGAAACGTTGCGCTTTGTCGTACTGACGGAAGGCGATTTCATATTTTTTTTAGCGTTTATTATTGGATGATAATTGAGTTGTATTTTGGCGATCGTTTCACTTCGTATTATACAATTCTCAAGCGCCAATGGTTTTAGGCCTGGTCCTATTGGTTCTTCCGCAGCACCTTGTCAAATATCAATTCACTAACTGAATTCAACGTCACTAACGATCAGGTTATCAAAGCACCAAGTGCAAATCACAAACCACAAAGTGCACATCACAAACAACACGTTATTAAAGATGAATTTATTCAAGAGCTAAATCTGCCTAATGCAGATATTTTGTCGGGCCTCAAATGTTATATAACTCATTAAAGATACATTATGGAAAATTAGATAAAGAGCTCACAGTTCTCACTATAACAGTTAAAAACTAGATGATGTAAATGGAACATGCTGAAAATTTCTGTCAAATTGCTTCACTCTAAGCCGAGAAAATCTTATTTTCAAAATCACTGTAGCCTCAATTGTCATCCCTGTCACGATAATTTACAAAGTCTCGATTATCCATTTTTGTGTTTAATCATCAACGGACGTTGAACAGCAGATCGGATTCAAATACAATGAAAATCAGACACATAGTAAGATTTACCTTTTGCATAATGCATGTTTAATTAGTCCTTTATTTACATCGTTCGAATTGTTGGGTCATTATTTTTTCATTTATACTGGTTTATGCGAGTTTAGAGACCCGTTATAAACTCGTTTATAAAAGAAGTCGAACAACACACACCAAAATGTGCATGTTTAAAGTGCGTATAGCCCTATTCTTTGGAACTTTAAATTAATTGAAAATGGAAAGGCCTAAAGGCACATGTAATATGAGTGTATATGAAGTGATTTACATTAGTTTTTCTAAAAAAAATGTTATTGTAATTTCACATCAATTTTCTGCGGTGATGTACGCGAACAGCCCAACTTGAATGACGGTCTGTTGCAAGTGCTTAGTCCATTCTATATATACACATTTTTTAAAATTATTGTTTTGTCGCTTGTGAATCAGCCATTTTTAATTGCTTCTTAGTTGACTACTGGGATATTATGTTTCCTTGTTCATTACAAATGGCACTCGAAACCATCATGACCATAGTGAACACGACCATCTGTATTTATTTTAGAATGTTCATTGTTTTTTAAATATTGGATTTTAAGATCCCATATTTTCACGGCAAGATAAATCTTATTTTCGAATATTATGGATAGTATAAATTGAGTTCTAGGATTATCTGAAATTGAAAGAACTTAAAGAACAGTTTAGAACTATTATATTTCAAATAATCTAAAACATATCCGTTTCTATTTTCTAGCCGAATACGAAAAGATCCGGAATCAAGGAAGGTAAGTTTTAAAATCAATTAAACTGAACGGAAATCACATAGACATCTTCGGTTTTGCTACTTTGCTAATATCTCATTTTGACATTCCAGAGCAGCTAAAATTTCTTCTAAAATAAGCAACCAGTCCTCAGGTCGCCCACTGAGTAGGAAGCCGGCGAAAACTTGCTTGGCTGATGGTTGCGCTCTTTCTGCTGAGCACAAAAAAACCTACTAGGCTTACTTTCTTAGAAACATAATGCAAAATATTGTTTTACTGATTTAAAAATTTCCTATATTTCAGACAGAGGATAATTGAATTATCGAAACCAAAAAAAATCCAAAGAAAATGGTGGACCAATGTCGGGTGAGTAGGCTACAATTATATACATATAGCCAATGTTTAATTTATCAGCAATGGATATGCTACATATTAATAGCTATAATACGATCCGCGAATGTTAAACCGGCCTATAATATTCGATAATAATATAGTCAAATGTTTTTCTCTAAGCTTATATTTAATTATATTCTTAGTCCAGATGTATTGTGGGGAACCCAGGAGATGATGTGGCCCGTAAAAGATACAGCGAAAAGGGCTGAAGCATCAAGGCGTGTCAGAGAATTAGCGTCACCAAAAAGAAATTTTCAAGCCAAAAAGGAAAACAACAAATCAAATGCGTAAGTTTTAACCAACTAAAAAAACATTACGCAATTTGAAAGTAATAATTGATAATTCTACATATATTCCAGCATGCAAAAGTGTTGTTTGTTGGGGTTTTTTTTCTAAATGACAGTAGTTAGACCAAATTCAATCCCCAAAAATATTTATTACTTCTTTCGCAGTTCTTAATTTTTAAAATTAAAATAAATATTCTCTCTTTTTTTGCAGACCTTTATTTTTCTATAGTTGCGGTAGGTCATCGCCAATATTTGATATAGCAGACGGGGCTCTGAAGGTGGAGGCATCCGCTAGAATAGAACAACTAGCTAATCCTAAAACAGATTTCTGTAATCACAAGGATGATGTGTAAGTTAGACAACTCTAAAAACCGGGGCCCTGTTTCTCGAAATCTTAACTAAAGTTAAAATCCAAATTTTAGTAGATACTTCAATTTTGATTGGCTAAGCACTAAAATCAATCTAATATTATCCAATCAAATTACTAAAATTTGGATTTTATCTTAGTTAAAATTTCGAGAAACAGGCCCCATGTTGTTTTATTCATTGGTAGTGCTCTTAAGAAGCGACAAACTTCTGTTTATCTGCGTGTCTTCCATTCGACGCCCAGAAAAACAAAAACAATTGTAAATTGCAAACATCCATGTTTCATTATCAAAATCAACTAAATTGGTAAACTTCCAATTTTCTGTGTTGTGACTTCCGCCACGTTACATGCTGAACCGGCTACTAGATAATATTTGCAGCATCTGTGAATATTGGCTAAATAATCGCATTACCAGATGTTACCCCGCATAAGCCTAAATATTTCAAAATTAAAGAAATTATTTTTATACCCCAACAGAGCTCAGTTTTTCTACAGCTGTGGTCGCACAAGTCCACTAACGGTGCCAGAAAAAGTCCAAGGTGCAGAACGACCAAGAACGACCATGCTAGCAGCTCACAAGAGTCCACATCTTACTGCCCGAGAGATCCAGACCATCATTCCACCACCAGCCCTTAAAGCTAAGACATCAGAACGAGTAGAAGCCTTAGCTCACCCCAAAGACAGACCAGTAGGTCCCTACAGAGAATCACAATGGATAGTAAGTATAGAGAGTGAAAGGATTGGAAAATGACATTTTTAAAGCTAGTGACGTATTTAGGGAGTTGCTTAAAAGCACTTCTAAGAATTGTTCAAGAATAAAGAACCATCATAAATACAAGTAAAGTCCCCTATACACTTTGAGCATGTGGGGGGTACACAGAATCTACACACCAAATTTTCAAATAATTATATTTTAGGGGCTAAACGTCGAAGACAGGGGCTCGGTGGACCCCATCATTGCCACGGGCATATGGAGTCCCCGTCCGACCATGCTTACATCGCTTTTTGCGCAACCGAGATGTGGTGTGGGGACGCTGGCAACTGGTTAATCCGGCGCTGCGTCCCGGGTACTGCCAATCTCCCCAAGACACAAAACAACTGGTGTAATGTTCAGCAGTGTCACTTAATTAACAATCCGGTACAAGTTAGTTTTATCAAAATACTTTTCTCCACAGGTTTCTGAATCGGCAAAGAATGCTGCTGCCTCAACAAGAAGTATGGAATTAGCTCGCCCGAAAGGTTTAGTGGAGGGATACCTTCCACATAAAGAAACATTGTGGCCAGTTACTAGAGCAGCAAGGAGAGCCACAGCCACTAATCGCTTAAATGAACTTTCCCAACCAACAGTCAGAAACTCTATGGATCACTTGCAGTTTAATCCTGAAGCTTTCATAGTGAAACCAACAGCGTTGAAAGGCACTTGTCCGCGCAGAGTAGACGAATTATCGCAACCAATTCAAAGATAATTTTTACAGTAAATTATATTATTTATCTAGAAGACAATCAAATTAGACAATTTATAAACTAAGCCATAGTAGTTGAATTTTTAAATTAAAAATTCGAAATAAAATAGAGTTTAATAAGGATTTCTTCAGTGCTTCATTTATTTTTTTTCTTTTCTTTTTATATATATATTTTGATGAAAAACTGCTAAATTCAAGCCTCTATTAATAAAAAAGTTTCAATCTGATTAAAACACAGATCCTATTTCGTTTCGCTTCTTATAATTCAAAATTTAGGTTTACTTGTCTTCACTACACTAGGACCTGGAGGAGTTGTTATCATTGACGTGCAGTGGATGATATGAGGGATTAGCCAATGAAATAGTCTGTTACGGCGAGCTTTTGGTGTCAGCTGCACGGAACTAGAAACATCAATGCTGGTTGGTTAATCAAATATCTGGCGTCATACGGTCAAAAGCCGTTCGTATGACCTCTGACGCGACCTTCCAAAACAACTGGTTAGATCTTCATGTAGTGTAGGCCAACGAAAGTATAAAAAACGAAACGAAATGTATATCTGTACTTTAATCAGATTGAACTATATTTTATTAATTTCTACCATATGCCCAGCATTGATGTAATCATTCTTCGGGCAGGTATACGTTATAAAGTCGATTACTTACATATTTATAATCTTTTCACCCGAATATTTTTGACCGATGCTTTACAGCCTATCACATTATTATCTATTCCATGTTTTATGTGAACTGTTATAAGTATTCTCCTCTCAATATTATGACACCACTTTTATTAATTCTGAAAATTGTTATGGGGTTCAGCAGAAGTTTGGTGATAATTACGTGTTTCGGACCTTGCGTTTTTTACGACCGAATTCTTAAACTAGTTTTGTTTTCGTAAGTATTTTTATTATTTATTTTTTTATTTGGGGGGGGGGGCTGGGTAGTCAATGTTTACGGTCAAAACTGTACATGGTGCAAACATTCTGCCAACTTAGATGTGGTTAGCCTCAGTGGATCTAATTATTAAATATACAGTGGGCCATTTTTGAAGAACAGGAAGTCTTTTACGGATGGGACAAAAAATAATCTCAAATTGCCCATATCTCGGTTACTTCTCAACGGATCTTCATCGGGTTTTCATTTTTGGATTCTTTGGACGAATCCCATAATATGAGCTCTGACTGGCGGTTTTTCGGAATTCGGAAGTTCGCTCGATTAATTTTAGCATCAAAGATTTGCGAAAGTTTTCTTCAGCACTTTTTTGATATTCAAGATGGCGTATCTCCGTTAGTATTTGAGGTATCAAGTTGGAACTTAGCAGGAATACGGAACACATTGATGCCTCATAACTTTTGTGGCGACTTCCGGAACATTCCGGATTTTACTGAGGCCTTCCGATTTTTTCCGAACATGAATCGTTCTCTCCATTTTAAAAAAAAAGACTAAAAATGACATATGGCGGCCACATAATTTTCTTTCATTTTCGGAGACCTTGTTCAATAACATTTTCAACCGTTTGGCCGCCATATTGGATTTTACAAAAACCCTTCAAATTGATATTCAGCTTCCATTTTGATTCCGATTTTCAAAAATTTTTTTTTGGTTTGTAACCTAGTCCAAAAGGTAACAATTTTTAGGGAGCCGATTTTTGAATTTCGATTTTGTTTACTTCCGGTTTCACTTTGAATTTGGTTCGACTTTTGGCCTATCTGGTGACCTAACCTTTCGGAATTCGGAAGTTCGCTCGATTAATTTTAGCATCAAAGATTTGCGAAAGTTTTCTTCGGCACTTTTTTGATATTCAAGATGGCGTATCTCATAACTTTTGTGGCGACTTCCGGAACATTCCGGATTTTACTGAGGCCTTCCGATTTTTTCCGAACATGAATCGTTCTCTCCATTTTAAAAATAAAGACTAAAAATGACATATGGCGGCCACATAATTATCTTTCATTTTCGGAGACCTTGTTCAATAACATTTTCAACCGTTTGGCCGCCATATTGGATTTTACAAAAACCCTTCAAATTGATATTCAGCTTCCATTTTGATTCCGATTTTCAAAAATTTTTTTTTTGTTTGCAACCTAGTCCAAAAGGTAACAATTTTTAGGGAGCCGATTTTTGAATTTCGATTTTGTTTACTTCCGGTTTCACTTTGAATTTGGTTCGACTTTTGGCCTATCTGGTGACCTAACCTTTCGGAATTCGGAAGTTCGCTCGATTAATTTTAGCATCAAAGATTTGCGAAAGTTTTCTTCAGCACTTTTTTGATATTCAAGATGGCGTATCTCCGTTAGTATTTGAGGTATCAAGTTGGAACTTAGCAGGAATACGGAACACATTGATGCCTCATAACTTTTGTGGCGACTTCCGGAACATTCCGGATTTTACTGAGGCCTTCCGATTTTTTCCGAACATGAATCGTTCTCTCCATTTTAAAAAAAAAGACTAAAAATGACATATGGCGGCCACATAATTATCTTTCATTTTCGGAGACCTTGTTCAATAACATTTTCAACCGTTTGGCCGCCATATTGGATTTTACAAAAACCCTTCAAATTGATATTCAGCTTCCATTTTGATTCCGATTTTCAAAAATTTTTTTTTTGTTTGCAACCTAGTCCAAAAGGTAACAATTTTTAGGGAGCCGATTTTTGAATTTCGATTTTGTTTACTTCCGGTTTCACTTTGAATTTGGTTCGACTTTTGGCCTATCTGGTGACCTAACCTTTCAATGGCCCTTGATCTTCGTATATATGACCCTTATGTCTACTAACAATTAATATCAAAATGTTCGGCCTTGAAGTATAACTTCCGGTTGTATTAAGATTTCTAAATGACAGGTTTTTCAACTTTAATAGGTATTGGATGTTACTATACTCCATAATTCATGGTGTAACTTGATTGTTGACGTGACCTGACGCACCGGAACACGTCAGTACTAGTTCTAGTTTTTATTAAAAGCAAAAGGTTGTAAAGAACTCCTTATTTTGCTCCTGTAGATAATAATGTATAAAAAAAAGATCAATTTATTGAAGAATAAATATTTTTATACATGACTGTACTGATGAATTAGTGTATGAATAATAAATATTATTTTATATGATAGTATATTGAATAATAAACATTATTTTACATGATAGTGGATCGAATAATAAGTATTTTGTAAGACAGTGTATTGAATAATAAATATTATTTTGTATGACAGTGTATTGAATAATCAATATTATTTTGTATGACGGTGTATTGAATAATAAATATTATTTTCTAAGACGTGCATTGAATAATAAATAATATTTTAAATGACAGAGCATTGAATAATGAATATTATTTATTATTTTATATGATTGTGTATTGAAAAAAAGATATTATTTTATATGATAGTGTATCGAATAACAAATATTATTTTATATAATAGTACATGTACTTAACACCCGGTAAGGGGAATGAATGCTATTTATAATAATATAAATGTATGTGTAGTATAAATTATATGTATGTCAAATCTGGTCACAAACTGTAAATAAACTAAATACAAATAACAAAAGCAACATTTGAGTAAATGTGAATAAGGAACCTTACAAAATAAACCAGTGGCAGTATTTCTAAGCAATCCTGGCAGTAAAACCTATCTCTCTGCTGTAAAGTATATACAGTTCTTACAATAAGACCATCGAAGTGAGAAATTGTAATGAAACAAAGTATTAAAGGCAACAAGAACTCTACCAGTTGCAGATTCTATATGTTTTACTCTAGTATTAAATTAGTTTTAGTAATGCAGAACCTGAAGTACAACTCATTTTAAAATAACATTCTAGATGTGATGTAATCAAGATAGCTGTAGGTCACTGTTTATTAACAAAACCAGCTACTCTTCGTGCACTGTACCCATTGTTACAGGTTACAATAAGAAAATCATTGGACTGAAGACTATCATACTGCAGTGTATGACATTTTCATCAAATTCCTCCAGAAAGATGATTTCATGTTTCATCACCAATAACCATCACATAATAAGGCATGTGACCCTTCTCTTTATCACTCACAACTGTGGAATTGCAATAACCACTGCAGTGACAACATGTTTGATTTTTCACCACCCCCTCCCACACTTCACAAATCCAACAAAGCCAAAACCTATGCTCATTAGGTGAATAATGATTGCAGCATTAATGACATTATAAAAAGTTTTTACACATTCGAAAATAAAAACTCAAATTCTCTAAAAAATAAATTACTGTGAGAATTCTTTATTTACAATAATACACTTTGTACAAAATAATATTGAACCCAATAAAATAGATTAATGAAATGATACTGATTTTATTTACTGAGCACTGTTCCATTTAAAAATATCTGTAAGAGTGATAACTGTCACATTTTAATATTGACAGGACCTTGATGTATTTTGCATGTAATTTTTTTAAAAATAAAAGCTATTGGCACAGAGTTTGATAAATATTTATAATTTGTTGGTTGGGAGTGTCCAAAAGGTAGTGTCTCTTCTCCATCCTTCAGAATCAGATATTCTTAAATGGAATAGCCCTACGAATAAGACCCAATGATTGCCATCATATATGGTAAGATGTGATATACATGTATATATCATATTTCAACAATTTATAGTACAAAATGCTGCAATCAAAATTCAAAACAAAATCCAATGTAGACTCTATCGTATTTGATGAAGAAAAATTATCATATTAGAAACTGGGATTAGACAAATGTTTTAACTTCTTAAAGATGTATTAGTCAAGAGCTAAATCTGCCTAATATAGGTCCTTTTTGCGGTTTCAAATGTTATATAAATAATTATTTAGATATTTATTCACACGAAAAGCCATTAAAAAAACCTCTCCACTACCAGATGGCTGAGATATTGAGTGGATTAGACAATGTCTACCATCCACCATATCTTCACTTAACATCAATATGGACGCCACTCACAGAGGCTGCTAATTAAAAGGACTGAAAAACAAGATTTTGTTTATTGTGGCAAAGGTACTTGACAGTCAAGAGCATTTAGGCTATTTCTTTTTAAAAAAAACTTCCATTCCAACATTAATAACTTTGCTCAGAATAAAGTAATTTGACTGAAATTTTCAATATATTCATTTCCCATTATATATTTTTAAACTATTATAGAAAGAACGACCAGCTCTTTATCAAACTCTTATATAATACATCTTTAAATTTAATCATAGATTTGTCTAGGACCTGCACAGGTATAATGTAAAACATTAATGTACATTTGACGGGGCACTATATTCTCTGTAAGTGCTTGTTAATTGAATCAGCTGTTGGTTGGGGTCTTTAGCAAAAAATCAATGACATGATAGCACATATAGGTGGAGGCCACAGTTCACTGGATCTAATCAAACTTTGTACTTATTGATTAACCTGAGATAATCTGGAACTAACACCCAAAGATTAACAAAAATATTGTATTTCACAAAGGATTCCTTTCCTTCCTTAATACAAAACACTCCGCCCCCCCCCCCCCCCACCTCCACAAACAAAGTCAACTGAGAACCTGGATATCATGAATTAGATTGTTCATCCCCACCTGCTCTAGAAGCCAAGTAATCTTCGTATAATCCAGGAACCTTTTTCATGTTTTCAATTTTTCTTCGTATCTGTTTAGGTGTGTGTTGGAAAATATTTAAAGGATCTCTTGCCATGGCCTGTAAAAATAAAGCAAACTGTACAAAAAACTGATTCAATATATCTTTATACATAACTTGTTTTCCCTGCAACTGCATGCCTTAACCAGCGGTTGCCAGGTAAGATACAGCCACATATTGCAAGAGATGGATAGAGAACAAGCTTAAAATGACAGTGATTTTTTGTACAATTAGGGGCCATAATCCAGAAAGTTATGGTCTGAAATGCTCAAATATCGAAAGGGACAGAGATCTTTAGGATATAAAGATATGTTTAAAGTTTAATCAAAATCGGATAAAAATTGTGACCTCTAGAGGGTTCACAACCTTGATCATTAAGGGATTATAAAGGGGAGCGGCCATTTTATCAGACCATCTCGGTCCAATTTTCACGAAATTCTAACTCAACCGTAATTATGGTTTATCTGTGATGTCTATGAACACTTGTTAAAATCAACTAAAAACTGTGTCTTCTAGAGGATCCATAAGCTAAAAACGTGATTGTTCGTACAATCAGGGGCCATAATCCAGGAGGTTACAGTCCGATATACGCTAATATCAAGAGGAACCAATATCTTTGGGATATAAACCTATATCTCAAGTTTCATGAAATCTAAGTCAACCATCAATATATTAGAACATTTTTAAAACCAAATGAAAATTGTGACCTCAAGATGGTCCACAAGCTAAAAACACAATTCTTTGTTCAATGATTATTGGTTAGAAGTGCATTCATTTTATAAATGATTAATTTTGTTTAATATCTTTGCATGAGTGATCAGCTGATTGCTTAACTTTACATTTACAAGAATCCAACATCAAAACAAGAGGGAGATATTACTAGAACATACCACATAATCATCACCATGTCTATCCATCATTGTCATACAAAAGTTAGCAATTTCAGGTGTTGTCCATACAGATTTGAAACGTGGTGTATTGGCATCTATTTCTAACGCTGAAAAAATATACAATTAAAAATAAATAACTAAAATTAGCTTCATGTAGAGCTGGGCAATATTGTCTTTTTTTTTCGATATAAAACCATCACAGAAATAAAAAACGTCAAAAATACTGTTTTCAGAAAAATATTGAAAAACCGAACATAATGATATTTAACATAAATATTGAATATATGTGTTTTTTCTTATGTTATTTCCCATGTTTTAATGCTTAATGATGAATAAATACTGTTATAAACACCCAAGTTTTCATTCCATGAAGTTTGCAAAGCCTGTGATAGAGCTTTGTTTATGTCAAGTGACTTTTCCACTTGATGCCTTAGAATTATCCCTGCTTCTGTTCAATTTCAATTGTTTATACCGATACTTGGATTTTCCAAAGAGATCATTGATTTTCTGATTGGAATAATAAAGCTTTAATAAGCATAGTACTTATATTTTATGGTTAAATTACTAGTCTTGTATTGTAAAATGCACTTTGAAGAAGGCATACGCTTGAATGAGAAAAACGAGTTTGCAAGGATAAATGAATAGCATTAAATATCGACAACATACATCTACATTGACAAAAAATATGATGTGAGTGACCAGGAATATTTAATGTTCTCTCAAAACATGTACTGGTATTACAGATCTGGGACTACTAAAGTATTAATGTATTAAATGTTATATACAATACCGTTAACAACTTGTGGCTTTGTGACTGTTGGTTGTTGTTTACTTGATTTAACTTGTTCATCTTCGTCCTTCAAAATACAAATTTAATACATCAAAGACGACACATTGGCCTAAAAATAAGAATAATAATAAATATGGCAGAGACTTTTTGTAGTTCCCTGCATCAATAAAACTTGCTCACAGCTGTCTCTGCAACAACAGTGACTGAAATATATTGCAGTTTCTGCCCCAACACGGACAGGATATACTGGCTGACTACCACACCCTTACAGACTGCAGAACTTAAATCAGTACTGTTTTACATGTGTTCTAATCAACTGGATGCAATTTCATATCTTTTTAGTTTAGATGTATAAAACACTGATACATGTAGCTACCTTTGGTTTTCTGAATGGTAATGTTTTATTGGGATCATAAGATAATCCCATTTCACTTAAGTTGGTTTTCAACGGTTTGCGTTCATCCCAAGCTTCTCTCATTGGTTCACTGAAAAAATATCACAATGTAAATGAAATGAAATGGGGTTTAATGTCCTACTGTTCTGCTCCTAAACTGGGCTAATGAAGACGGGCATACCCCATACAGTGCGCTGTGAGGGAAATTTTGCCCGGGCAGCGGCGCTACGACCTGCTCTTATATCGAATTCCAACTACAAAGGGATCTTTTACATGAATGCCAATATGTACACGGGACCTCGGTTTTTCGTCCCATCTGAATGACTAGACAGCTGTCCTTGTCAGGCCCTCCGTCCTGCATCACTGACAAGGGGGAACCACGCTGGAAAATCTGGATGAACTTTCTCGGTCAATGCTAGGATCGAACACCCGACCTCCAGGCTAGGGAGCCAGCATCTTACCCACTTAGCCATGTGATCCCCCGAATGGAAAGAGAGTAGAGACAATCAGCAACATTGATTTGAATTCGAGTTTAACTACATGGAATGTACTAGCTACAATTGACACATTGTTTGTGGCTTTGCACAAGTTAAAATAGTATAATCAGTAATGAAACCATTTCTAGGAATATGCAACCCTGGCTTTTAAGAGAGTTACAGGCAAGTCCTTAGAACCATCCCATCCACTACGTTGACTGGCGGCAAGAGGTAAGACATCAGTAATAAAACCATTTCTAGAAATACGCAACCCTGGCTTTTAAAGGAGCTAAATTGCTATTCTTTAGCACCTAGAAATGGACACAAATGAGTCGCAACACATATATAATAATGTAATATGAAGTATATAAACTGATTTACATTCAATCATTTCTGTAATTTCTTATCAGTTATGTTCGGAGAAATATGTGAAGAGTGCATATTGAATGGCAGTCTTTGACATCTGGTTATTCCAGTCTAATCCGACAGTCTTCCCTTGTGGGATATGTTTAGCCCCGTTCACCGAATCGCTCATTACAAATGTTGCCCAGAAGCATTCTTGCATGCGATTCGAATGCCAAGTTAAAAATTTTTATTGTGTCTTCAATATTGGACACCAGATGCTTATCTTTTCACTATAAGATAACAACATCAATGTTGCTCTAAATTGACCAATAAATCAGGTTTGCAATGTTGAAGATTGTAGTTGATACAGAGTCAAAGACTTACTGCCTGAACTGTCGTAAATTCTAAACGAATTTCTTCGATTGTGCACAAACTACTTAATAATTGTTATTAAAAACTTGCCTATGTGTTTGAAATCACCTCCCACTAAATAAAATCCATTGCACAATAAAATTAGATATTAGATATCCATACCAAAAAAATAAAAGAAAAAAGTTCTCTCTTGAAAAGTCAACGTTTTGGCAAGTTTTGGACTGTGTTCATCACAAATTTGCACACGTCACGCAATGAGCTATACCATCGAAGATGTTGAAGGGGGGATAAAGGTTGGCAAATTTTGACGATCACAAGTGTTGCAATCAAAATAACTCATATTTCATGCGAACTAAAATTCAAAGTGTTGATTGGCTGAGCTGAGGCATGATCACGATCGACGAAATGCCAACTGAAAATTCCATTTTCCATGGAATTCGAAATGGAGTTGTACTTGTTATTAATACATTGCTTGTGTTACCGATTATAAAATTTTAAACTGTTTTTGCATAACGGAAATAATATACGAAGTGAAATAGAAAGAAATGGATGGAACTGCTATCTGTTGATAATTAACCAGATCAGATGTGCGGTTATACGGTCTAATTTGTTGATGTAAATATAAACAATGTCTGGTATTTATAAAAATAAAATAACGTTATATTATACGTATTAACCAAGTTAAGTAGTTTATTCATAATCGAAGAAATCCTTTTAACATTTACGACGGTTCAGACAGTAGCAACACTTCAGTCACTTGTCTTCAACTTTTGGCCTATTTTTCCAATCGTCACCCTGTCTGTGACTCCGTGGGTAGTTTTGTTTACCATCCGATTGCAGGTTTCTTTAGTTTATTCTTCCACGCCTTCTTTCTGTTTTTAGTGTGATCATACTTCCTTCTCATGCGCTGTCTTCTGGTACTGCCCATTTTATTTTGATCTTGCCAACGAACAGAAATTTACAATAAACAAGAAAACACGTGTGTTTTGACGGTTATTCCAAATTTTGTAATATTATTGATAAGTCTGAAACGATGCGATACATTACACACGTTAATATCATTTACTTTTTTTAACATGTCATTGGTGGATTGGGGAAAGTTCTATAAATATTTCTAATTATTTTCAGGCTACTGAATAAAACAGTTCGTAAGAATCGCAACTAATCTTTTAATTTCGTTTTGTGGAAATTTTGAATTACAAATATTAAGAAAACAGTTTAAAAAAAGACACGGTTTTCGTTTCCGTAATTACATTTATTATTATTGTATATTTTATAATATTTTTTAATTGAGGGAAAATTTAAATTATACGACATTCTATAATACGTATTTATTTGCTTTAGAAGTGAATATATATTTTAATACGAAATCCTCCTTCATGTTATTTAATGCGTCAAAGTTCAAGGTCGAAAGTGGAATTGCCAAGTTAGTTTAGTCAGTGTTGAAATGAAAGAAAAGAATGAAGAATTTGGGTTTGACTATATGCCCATTCCAAGGGAGGATTTAGGAGCTCCTATTGAAACCAATTATGATAGATTCATTCGTAAATCCAAAGAGAATCCGTTTGTACCTATTGGTGAGAAATGTTCTAAAATGTAACATTAAAAAAAGCCCTGACGAATTTCGTTGTCAACAACGATCAACATCCAAAGTCGTCGACATTGAAAACACGAATTATTTGTCAATTTAAATCAACATTGATGGGCTTCTGATATCCAATATTTAAGACAAAATAAAAATTTTACCAGTCCATTGGTAACAAACGAATCGTGTACCATAATAATGCGTTTCAGTCCCATTAATTTGTAACAAGGCCAAGGGACTTGAAGTTGAACTTGAAGAACAAGGCTAAACATATTCCACACGGTGACGCCATTTGATCAAGATTTCTGGCGTATTTCACCAAACATGATTGATTTGAAATTAGAGTAAAAACGGAAACAATTGAATGTAAATCACTTTATATAAATTCATATTACATTATGCGACCCATTTGTGTCAATTTCTAGGTCCCAAATATTGGGGATTAGCTTCTTTTACAAAGACAAAAGTCTGTACAGATAATTTCAATAACTTAATAATATCCACCAATTAAAGACAACTTCAACGTACCGGTACAAGAAATAGAAACCATAGTATTGGATCTAACTAAACCATACCCAACTTAAAGGAGCTAAATCGCTAATAATTGGGACCTAGAAATTGACACAAATGGGTCGCAGCGCATGTAATAATGTAATATGAATGTATATCAACTGATTTACATTCAATCATTACCGTTTTACTCTAATTTCAAATCAGTTATATTCGGCGAAATACACCAGAAGTCTCAACCTAACGGCAGACTCTAGCGTCTAGTTATTGCAGTCTACACCGATAATATTTATTGGGCATGTTCTCTAGATAAGAATATGACGTCACCTTTTGACATGACTTGTCGAATATCTCTAGCCTCGTTCTTCGAGTCCCTTGTTACAAATGGCGCTGAAACGCATTATGGTACACGATTCGTGTACCAATGGTAAACTGTTTATTTTGTCTTAATATTGGATATCAGAAGCCCATCATTTCCCGGTAAGATCACAGCATCAATGTTGATTTAAATTGACATGATATTTGTGTTTTCAGTGTTGAAGATTTTGGATGATATTGAGTTAGAGGCTTAGCTACTTTAACATACATAATGCAAGCGCTAAATCTGCCTATTGCAGGTCTTTTTTTTAAGGCCTGAAATGTTATCTGAATTATTAAAGATACATTATGTAAGATTTAGATAAAGAACAAGCCATTCTTGCTATAATAGTTCTAAAATAGATAATGTAAAATGAATAATTTGAAAATTTCATTCAATTTACTTGATTGCGAGCGAAGATATTAGCCTTTGAAGGTTTGGCAAGAAGTGTGCAATAATTTCAACCACCGTACCGGTTGTTCGAAGCTAAGCCTCGCTCCTCCATTTTTAGCTTAAATCAAAATATGGCTGAACTCTGTTCTAATCTATTTAATATCAGAGAAATCCGATGCCATTGAGAGTTGATTATGGCCTTGATAAGTTAATTAATGTCTAATTAATAATTTAGAAAACATTTCCGGCCTAAAGAAAGACCAGCAATAAGCAGATTTAGCTCTCGCATAATGTATGTTTAATTAGACATTAATTAACTTATCCAGACCATAATCAACTCTCGATGTGAAAGCTAGCCTGCGATATTTATTGGATTAGAATCAGATTTGCTGCTAAACTTTCATTCATGATTTGGGAGCCACGGTGGCTAGGTGGGTAAGGCGCTGGCTCGCTAGCCTGGAGGTCGGGTGTTCGATCCCTGCATTGGCCGAGAAAGTTCATCCCGATTTTCCGACGTGGTTTCCACTTGTCGGTGATGCAGGACGAAGGGCCTGACAAGGACAGCTGTCTAGTCCTTCGGATGATACGAAAAACCGAGGTCCCGTGTAAACATTGGAATGCATGTAAAAGATCCCTTGGCAGTTGGAATTCGATATAAGAGTAGGCGATAGTGCCGCTGCCCGGGCAAAATTTCCCTCATAGCACACTGTATGGCGTATGCCCATCTTCATTAGCCCAGTATAGGAGCAGAACAGTAGGATGTTAAACCCCATTTCATTTCATTCATGATTTAATCATGAAATGGATAATCGAGACTGCGTTTAATTTAAGTTAGTAAGATGAAGAAACCTATTGAATTTCGACAATTTTTATTACATGTTTGTGCTTACTTGTAGAGTTTTTCCCTTGCACAATTTGTATAAATTTAAATTGTTTGCTTTGACGTTTTATAAATCCAGCTTATAGTTTAGTTTCACTGTGAGCAATTTTCATTTCATAAAGAAGAATTTATTGAATTGACTTGATTATTTATTATTTCAGGGATGGGAGTTACCACATTAGCTCTCTCTTACGGATTGTACCAGATGAAGACTGGTGACAGAAAGATGTCGCAACGAATGATGAGAGTTCGTATAGTTGCACAAGGAGCTACAGTGGTTGCCTTAATGGTCGGAGTGCTAATGGGAGTCGGCAAACCGTCAAAATGATTTAATAAAAGATACATGAATTCTAGATCTTTTCATTTTAACATCTTTGATACTGAATACATGTGATTTTATTTCTGTATTCAATTTCAAATATTTTGAGACATTAGAAAATTAATCAGATACAATTGAGTGATTGACAATGAATACTGATTTAATTTTATGGCCTTAAGATCTTTCGAAATTCGTAAAAAAAATGTCTTAATTTGATGACTTTCGAAATCTTTAAATGTCTTTGAGAAAATTAGCTAAAAAAGGGTAACTTTATGTGCAGGATGTTGATTATTTTCATGTATTTTATTATAAAAGTTAAATATGAATGTGTACATGGTCTGGAATCTACATGTAATTTATAAGTACCTAATCGTTATGTCATGGGTTTTGTTTTAAGAAAAAGAAAAAAACAATTTGCCAGAAACAAACTAGTTTTTTTAAATCTGCAGTTCAGGCATAAAGATTTTATAAAAAGTAAACAAAAAAAAAAATCTTTTTCACAGAGATAAAGATTTTAACCTAATTCAGTTATTGTTATGAAACCTGATTAGGTTTAGGAAAGTATTATGTTATGGATTGATGTACATTGATGATATTTTGAAAGTGAAAAGTGCGACAAAAAAATGTGAACTCCTTGTGATAATTGTGTTCAATAAACATAAAGTAATAATTACTGTAATGTTCATAAATGTTGTTAACCCTTTAGCACTTGCTAAATGTTCTTATTGACTACCCAAGTTCCTTGAAGAAAATTGGAGAAAAGTGAGATATTAATACCGGTACAGTCCGAAACTGCTGTTCCTAAGAGCACCTCAGACCATCTGAGATATGTGAATACCATTCTATACTGTAACCGTTTATTATTCCGTGTTGTCGCAACAGCTGTGTACATGATGGGGTGGTCTAAGGAGCCCAAGTTAGTGTGGTTTAGGCAGAGTAAGTACTAAAAGGTTAAAATATCAGAGCACATGTGATGTTGTTGCAATATGTTTATTTCTAAAGTTATACTAATGTATTTAGTGTATTACAATTTCTTCTGTTCTTAAGATATGCAATTTGTTATAAAACCAATTGTACTATTTCTTTACTTGAAGGGTCATGCCATGACATTAAGAAATGATTTGAGATAATGAACTATCTATATTTGAATTATATACATTACAATACTATATATGAGATAAAGCAATCTTATGATGACTTTTACCTCTCGTGTGCAGTTCATTTAGCACACAAAAATGTTTTAACACTGATTGTGTGCTAAATAAAAGCACTTCTGACATAAACTCACTCACAGTATTTTTGAATTGAGCAAGAAACTACCAGTGTTTGCCATTGTGAAAATGGATGGTAGATTAAAATTTGAATCATGATTTAAAACACATGTCATATTATGATGAAATGTGTGTACATATTGTGTATTATTTAATGTGTGAGTTGAGTATAAAATAATAAATTTGCTATATGAGTTTTAAAATAATTGTTGTTTATTCTGTTTTAGCCACAGGTCCTTGTAAAATAAAAAATCTTTTTCAAAAGTAACATTACATATGGGCAAAGTGTTCAGACCAAAAGTCTATTTCACCTCACTTCATTTCTTATCAACTCAAATGGCCAACAAATTATTAATTACATGTTCTCTGTTAAAATAAAAGAATGTGCCTTTTCCTCTAAATTCCATGGAAAAGTCATATTTTTGCGGTGGAAACAGTCTTATTAGCAATTCCTAATTAATACAGTGATCCTCGAGAAAAAGCAAGTAAAAATTTGTTGGACGGAGTTGATATCGATTAAAACTAAAGAGAAAGGTAGGTATTATTATATTGCGGGGTGTCTTGTGTGAAACACTGTTTTAACTATGACCGGTCCCATCTCAATCATAGATCGTATACTGACGGGCCATCTATATTTCAAACATAGTCAAGACACCGTCTCGAAAAGAACTATGTCAAATCCGACCACACCTTCATCCTTCATACACGTAATGAAAGTGGTTCAACACAAATCTCTATATGTACTCTTCAAAAAAAAAGTAGGGGATATTGAAATGCAAATACCTATGCAGGTTGTGATATGATATATAGTCATGGACACTTGACATGCTTTGAGAGTATGTTCACAGATGAAGAACTTATCGCCCCAACAGAACCACTGAGCTGCACATGCGACACGCAATAGCGCCATACACGTGGGAGGGGTTTATTGTCAAATTTGACACTTCAGGGAAGGGTTGATGAAAACTGCCGCCTGCTGGTTTATCTATCCACCTTTGCTTTCCTATCGGTTCTTGCATAAGATTTACTGTTTAGCTTATTTTTGCTTTAGTGTGTTACGTTTAATTTGATCGGGACACGTGTTTGTCGACGTCAACGTCGACCGACAACACTGCAAGAATTGGCCGTGGCACTGCAAGAGGAGTGGGTCAGATTACTCCAAATCGTGATTGGACGGTCGATTAGGAGCATGCCACGACGAATTGCTGAATGTCTGAGGATTGGTGGAGCAATTACTCATTATTAAGACACAAATCAAAAACGTCCATTGCGAGTGAAATGGCACCGTCAGATAAGCCGCCCATATGAACTGTTTATGGCCTATTATTAACATACACTGGTTACCTCTAATAAAAACAGCAATGCATTTCCCCAGTTTTGTATTGTTTCTGAATATCCCATACTTTTTTTGAAGAGTGTATTAAAGATACATTATGGGAGATTAGATAACGAGTGGCAGTTCTCACTATAATAGTCAAAAACTAGATAATGTTAAGGCAATTTGCTGAAAATGTCATTCAAATTGATCCACTATGAACCGAGAATTAAGCAATTGAAATTTCCGCCTAGCCTCGATCACCATTACTAAAGTCAGTACGATAAACAGCATAGTCTCGATTATCCACTTAATCATTAAATCGCGAAGGAAAGTTATGTAGTAAACCGGCTCATAATCCACTAAAGATCGCAGGCTAGCGATGCCATCGAGAGTTGATTATGGCCTGGATGGGTTAATTAATGTCTAATTAATAATTTAGATAACATTTCAGGCTTAAAGAAAGAACTGCAATAGAAAGATTTAGCTCTTGCATAATGTATGTTTAATTAACTACCAGGTACTTCAAAACCTGACTGAGTTTGATCGTGAACATGTTATTCATAGACTAAGCATAGATAATCAGTTTGATTACTCAATACTTTTGAAAAAGATAAATGTGCAATTAATTAATATTGGTCATCTGTTTATTTTGTGATTTCGACGGAGGACATTAGCCTCACTGTTGGCCTGTTTCAGTTCTCATGGACCAGGTGGAATGGAGCTGACAGAAAGAGTATACATACCTACCCTGGCAAATATAAAGGTCGATGCCCTCTAAAGGTGTTCTTTCCTTGCACAGCTCTGTTTTACAATTGCTTACCATTAATAACATGTATTAATGTTATTATTTTAAAAAAAAACCAGAGTAGGAATATCCTCCAACGTAGCCTTCACTTTAGTGGGATGTCGATTCGGATCCGAGTTCAAGAACTTATGCTTGTATAAGGCCAATAAGTTCATACATTATTCTGGAGCAATGAGAATAACACTGCACATTATGTACTGCCGGTTCTGTATGTTTTTCGTTCTCGTCGTTTTTAGCCCAGTTGTTGCAGAAAAGTAGGACGTTAAATCACATTTCATTTCTGTTTTCCGTCCACATGTATGAATGAATAATTTCTCCTAACTGAATCTGTCGTTGCCAAACTTGTTCTTAAATGTGCTTCTAAAACCTGTAAACTGGACCCTATTCCTACCCGGTTCCTAAAGGATTGTCTTACTGAATTATTGCCAGTTGTTACAGAACTTATTAATTCTGCAATAAGGGAGAGTGTGGTGCCTGACATTTTTAAGTCTGCTGTGGCTACTCCATTGATTAAGAAGGCATTTTGAAAAACTACCGCCCAGTTTCTAATTTAAGATTTGTGTCTAAGCTATTTGAGAAAGTCATCTGTCATCAAATCGTTGATCACATTAGTGACTACAATCTATGAAAGACTTTCCAATGTGCGTATCGCAAACACCACAGTACCTAGACGGCTCTTCTAAATAGTGCACAATGATATCTGTCTTTCAAGTAACGACCATCAATATGTGCTGGATCTGACCTAACCGGCCGAAATAACACTATCAGTGTAAGGATCTAGAATTCGGTGTTCCACAGGGTTTGGTACTTGGACCGGTCTTTAGTCTTTACACTAGGTTCGCTCTTTTATTTCACCTCTACGCGGATGACACGCAACTCTATGCGTGTTTCAGACACGCTAGTATCGATAGCTTCAATCTTAGTAAACTAATTGTTAGACTCTGCATCAACGACATAAAACTATGGATGAAGACAAATTTTCTCAAGTTGAATGACGAAATGGTAGAATTCATGATAATTGGCTCGAAAACGCAGACCCATTGTAATGTACCCAAAGACATTCGTGTTGGTGATACACAAACTTCTCCTCTGCTTCCGCTCGAAACATCGGAGTATGGAATCCCAAATTAAACACATGTAAGATGGGACATTACTCAGCAACATTAGTTGTTACAATCAAGACCATTGTGACCCACTTAAAGACGCATTATGTAAGAGTTAAATCACTACCCATCGTAGGTCTTTCTGTTGGCCCCGCATGTTAATAAGGCATTTATTTATATAACAAGCCTATACTCAACTCTCTAGGACATCGGATAGTTAATATCTAAATGAATTAAAACACTCTCGAGATTTAAAAAATTAACGGTAAAATGGTTAATCGAGGCTTAGTCTCGACTGTCAAGTACCGTTGCTAAAATAATGAACAATCTACGCTAGATCTTGCCAAACCTTAAACTCTATGAACACTTTCATTGCTTTTTTACTCTGTGAAGTTAACCGTCACAACCTCCTAAATAAAAGTAATGTGGCAGCCGATATATATTTGATATAGTCGTTGGTTACCTAGTCATGCTGACATGGCCTGGCTTATCGGGCCCCGTAATTTTTAATCCGCCTCTTCTGCATAGTAATGGGGGGTTGGGGGGCCGAATGGTTTAACGCATGTGCTTTAGATCACAGGGTCTGCGATTGAGTCAAGTGGTGTGATTTCGATTCTCCAGGGATAAGTTCGTCTACCCAACCTCGTGGATTTTCTGCGTGTCATCCGGTTTCCTCCCACTGCTAAAGACACCTTAGTGCAAGCGAATTATTAAAATAAAATGAACCATATGTCAGTTCGAAATGGCCCAGTTTGTGTAGTAGACGTTAACCTCACTAATCGCTCTCTCTGTATATGGAACCATTCTGATATAGTTTCATGTGGACGTATTATGCCGTGGCCCCTGTTCGTCCATCCGTCCACAATTAGTTTGTGGATACTCTACAGGTCACAATTTTTATCGGATTTTGACGAAACTTGAAATATAATTCTATTTCTCAAGGATCGGCATATATTGGACCATAACTTCGTGAATTATTGTTCGAAAAAATCCCGTTTTTAGCTTGTGGACACTCTATAGGTCACAATTTTCATTTGATTTTGACGAAACTTGAAATGCATGTTTTTAAACCAAATATCTCGGTTCCTTTCGATATTTGCGATATTTCCTGAATTATGGTCCCTGATTGTATGAAAAATCACGTTTTTATCTTGTGGACACTACTCTGTGGTCACAATTTTTATCCAATATCAAAAAACGTTTAAATGTATCACCGTTACACCCTAATGACGGATGAGATCGAATTTCTTGAAATTTGAACGAACGCAAATATAGTTTAAAAGATGTTGACTTAGCTACTTTAAAACATATCTTTATATCCTAAAAACCTCAGTTCCTTTCGATATTCCGACCATAATGTCCTGGATTATGGTCCCAGATTGTACGAAAAATCTCCTTTTTTTTTTAGCTCGTTATCTATCCATCTCTTGCAAAATGTGGGTTATCTTGCCTGGCAACCGCCGGTTGCTTTGAGTTGTCGTACGTTATAAATTGAAGAAGTTATTAATAATAGAATATACGTTATAGAATGAATATTATAAGACTATTTCTAAGTAAATATTTTGACATCAATAGATGCTAAATAAACATTTAAAAGTATTATGTACACAAATTGAAAGTTAATTGCAATACATAAATAATCTCTCTTATTTTAAACATGTGTATAAAAATTTCGATCTAAATAATAAGGACGAAATATTAAGCCAGACAAAACAAGTGTGTCTCCCAAATAGAAAATATTTAAAGTTTTTGCTCGTATATATTTTTCTTCTAGACTTCCTGTTACAACAAAGATGTTAAATTAAATTTGTTTCTTCTTATCTTCGACAATGGAAACCAATAAACGGTAGGTTTCCATGAATCCTTTTCTGGCTCCAGAATTGGGGGCTTGGACCCCTACTAGGTACACTGGTCTATTTTTCTTGACGACATCAAGGTTCATATGTTGATATAAAGCAACTGGTGACACTGAATCAACCTTATCCTGGAATTAAAAAAAAGAGCTGTGAATTAGGGCAATTTTTACGATCGTGTGTTTAAACGAGAGTTAGAAGTCTCGACACTTACATCGATGACAGACCTATGATCTAAGTCGCATTACCCCACCTCAAATTCACACCAACTGCAGATCAGCAACGATGGATAGGTAGACGTGACGTAAAATATTCTGTATACAGTCTTATTTGAACAACCCCAATATTGTAACTAAATACGACCTACTAGAATATAAGCAAATCACGTGACATCAAATTAAATTCCATGAAAAAAATCTATGAAGTACTAGAAAAATATATAAAGGTGTTTGAAGTATATCTGGATAAAAAAAATTATTTCCTTTTTCGTGTAAATGGGTATATAAACAATCTGATTAAAATACCGATCTATATTTCGTTTCGTTTTTTATACTTTCGATGGCACTACATGCAGATCTGACCGGTTTTAGCGATAGGTCGCGTCAGAAGTCAAACGAGCGACTTTTGACCCTATGACGTCAGACATTTGATTAACCAGTCAGAATTAATGTTACTGGTGGATTACCCACAGTTCCGTGCAAAACACGCCTAAGCTCGCCGTAACAGTCCTTTTCATTGGCTATTCCCGAACATCATTCAGAACACGTCAATGATAACAACTCTTCCAGATCCTAGTGTAGTAAAGACTAGTAAAACGAAATTTTGAACTATAAAAACGAAACGAAATAGGATCTGTGTTTTAGGTATATAAAATCAGTAAAGGGCCTCATTCTTCCCGGACCAGTTGACGTTATTTAAACAATGCACGCGCCTTCGAGCCAATGATTGACGCAGCATGATGTGATGTCACATAAAGGTCAGTCATCTTATACAGAGGTGTAAGAAGATTGATCAGCGAAGGTCTCCAAATTGTCAATGCATCATTTAGCGGTGTGTTCTATTTAGATTCGGAGCGAAATTTAAGACAAATCTGTCAACATGTTGCTGGCTCATGGAAGGATAACGTTGCCAATATTATTTCAATGTTCACGGTGCAAAATACATAATATGTCAGCAATTCAAAATATGTATTTTAGTTTTAAAATTTGCAATTTCCATTGCTCCACAGTACCAATGTCACAGTGTTAAAATACAGAATACACTTTTCAATAATACTAAATACAGTATAATAATTATTTTGCACATTACACTTCTCCATTCTGCATTTTGCATAATAGACAAATGCATAATGGAACTTAGCATATTAGAACGTATACCTTATATCGGGATCTACTCTATGTAGATCAATGTTTGGGCCAGAGTGGTATATAAAGCTTTAAACAACTCTTCATGTCCGAGATTTTAAGTTGATTCGTTCACACTGGGTTTCGAAGGTGACAGCGATTGTATGTTTTAAAGTTTAATTAAATTGTAAATCCTTTACCCTTTTTGTAGCTATCAAAATTAACGGAATGCCTGCAGTTTGTTCGTAACTGAGAAACGTGTGAAGTTCTCTTCTGGCTTCATCAAATCGTGCTGGCTGGGATGAATCGACGCAATAACAAATTGCATCTAGATTTAGAACAAACTCTTTCCAATAGCCTCGACAATTAGACGATCCACCAACTAGAAATATAGAAAACAGTACAAACGAATTACATGTATATCTGTAATCCCTGGAAGCAAAATGACCATGACAATAGTTTGTAAATACTTTATTGAAATAAAGCAAGGGCGAGGCGATTCATAAAGCAAAATTTCTTACCATCCCACATATTGAGGTATATTTCTCCCAGAGTAACTGAATTTACATAAAATCCTACAGTAGTTTCTTCTGTGGAACCAAGACGACGACGTCCCTTGCAGAAACATCGAGCAAATCGTGTCTTCCCTGCACCGTCCAAGCCAAGAATTAATACTCGTCTCTCCCCTGGGTTAGGCTGCAAATAAACAATAATAAAATCACACCATTGCAAACTACGGGTTGGACTGTTGTCTGTTCATAATCCGAACCGGAATTTCTTTATTTACATTCGAACTATGAATAGCATCGTATTAATCTTAGTGTTCATCTCCCAACTATATATTACTCTTAATAAAATTATACCAATATTTCACGAACAGCAAATAGATTATATGGAACAGGTTTGGTTTTGCCCAAATCCCAAAGGCAAGGAACTGCGTCAATCAAAGATACGTTTCGGGGATAGTTCTTTAGATCTACTGTTTGTAACTTATTTTGCAATGCCAAATTAATATTTTGAAATTTCATTCAAATTGCTTTCTTTTGAGCGAAGTTATGGATGGTTGTAGTTTTGACAAGATGTGTGCATTGATCGTAACCATCGTACTGGTCATTCGAGTCTTAGCCTCGCTTCTCCATTTTTAAATTAATTCATTAAATGGCTGAACCGTTCTGCAATTAGTGTTTCTTTAGGCTTCAAATGTTTACAAGACAAGCTCAAAATCAACTCTGTAGATCCTCGGATGGCTTGGATACATGTTGAATTTAAACAGTCGTTCATTTAATAATTAAATCAATAAATGGCTCACCAAGCTAACGTTTGCCGTTAATCACTGACGTCAAACCCGGAGACTGCCGATGAAATAACTGACAATCGAGGTCACCGTATAAGCCATTGAGAATGTTACTTGCTAATCGAGCAATTCTCGGAGACGGTGCGGAGACAGTTGATATCTATTTCTAGTCCCAAACTTTCGTCTGTAGTAACTTCGTTCAGAATAAAGTAATTTGACTAATTCATCTATTTTTGAATTGTTATAGCAAGAATGGCCATCTCTTTATTAAACTCTCATTCTTAACTAATATATCTTCAATAATTTATATAACATTTAGAATTAGGGCCCAAAGAAAGACCTGCAATAGGCAGATTTAGCTCTTACATAATGCATGTTAAGGAAGCACCTCAACAGTTTTTTGAGAATTTGTTTTTAGCCCCCCCCCCATCTTTTTTTTATAATACCAATTATTATGTCAGGCTCTTATAAATTGTTTTAGATTATCAAATTTTAATTTTATTAAGCGTTTTTAAACAAACGAAAATAAATAGAATCTAGACCTACGTCCAAATCTAACAATACTTTTATTTTTGCAGTAGTAAATCTACACATTTCAATATTTCATTCTTATTTTATTTAGTTTTCGGAAAAGTGTGCATGTATTAAAATGTCATGAAAAGCCGTAGTAATTATTTCCAAACAGACCTAGACATTATTTTTAAAATGTTGGCATTACCAATTACAATTTATGCTACGTATTCGGTAGAAATTTGCGGGCTTTCCGTTTTATCCTATTATTTTATGAATCAGTTGTTATAAATTGTAAACTTACAATATTTTTTATTTGTTCAAAATATTCATCTTCCGTATCAGATCTGAAATATCTCCATGCTCGGTATAATCCGTAGACTACGCATACGCCTGCTACACCGGTTGCAATATAAATAGCTGGCCTTTGAAAAAAGTAGCCGAGAGCGACGGCCATTCTTATAACAATGTGTTTCCATAGATAGAACAACGTCACGTGATTATCACATAACCACCACCTCGGTATAGTCAATATTTTGGATTTTTTACTTGAAAGATATACAAAAACAAAATAATATTTGAAACAGGATATATACATGCCTTTTTTTTATCGACAACATATGTCAGGTATAATGGTTGAGAGTTGATTTATTTGTAAGTCACATATATTTCATTGGTTCACATTTTAAAAGATATAATAAAAATAAATAATGCGTTTTGGTTAAATACTGATCCAACGGAATTTGTGACAATCCATAGGTTGGTTATCCAGTCATTTTTTGTAAAAAAACAAAAAAAGCAAAGCAGCGCCAGAGCAGAGAACTTCCATAGAGATAATCTCAAAATATATGACCTCACATTTCGGTTACATCTTTATATTACGTAATTAGCAAAGCGACTTATTTATTAACTTTATTTGGAGGTTTTAGTAGTATCTTGATATAAATAAGCCCACCAAGGTACGAGGCTAATGGCTGAAATCAAAATTCTTTCTAACACAAAATGGAAGTTCAATGTTGCTGTGAGTTTCTTGATGAAGTTCAACGGGTTGGTTTCTTTTTCGGCACTAGGTGAGCTTTACATCACTAGGTCAATAACCTTTTGTTTTACTGTGTTACACTTATATCGCCTGATTTCGTGTGAAAATGACCATTTGCTTTCTGCAATTACCACCTGGTAGTTGTATAGAAGATTGTAATTATGATATTTAATATTTGGTAAGTAAATGGCTTAAATAAGACAATGATATTTGTGTTGATAATTTTATTACGCATCATGTTTGCGCTGCGGTGACTGATGACTCCAGCTGTTGTTATGTTGTTTTACCACAGTTACAATGTCACAATAATAATTTGGCCAACGAATCAGATGAGTCCCTGCATGGGCCATAGTTTGCAAATCGATATAGTACTAGTAGCTCCTTCAAAACTGAGAAATGTAAAACTTCTGAAAATTGTGTGTTGCTTTGATAAATTTTAAAATCCATAAGACAGGCTAATATAAATTCGAGGAGTAAAAACAAGTAACTTAGATTAGTTTTAACTGGGCTATATGTCTAATCATATTCCTGAAGCAAGGGCCCGAGAAATCCCTCTCTAGCCATTGCAGGATTGACTTTATGATACTTGAGCTTTTGAAGGAGTGTATCTATTCTTCCCATTCAATCAAATCTATCCCAAGTACAGCAACATGGCAGCCCTTCGTTTGCCAGGATCTTCCCTAAAACCTTGGACAGTGATTTAAGGTATTAAAAACGGTGAAAGTACATTGTTCGTCTCCAAACAGTATTGTTTACATGTAACCGTTTATAGCCTCGTTTGTCACGCAATTAGTTTTTCTGCAATATTCTGCAATGCACCGGTTAATTGTGCGTAAATATCTCGTGAGTTATGACGTAACGTTATGGTGGAGATCTGTTTAAACCCGAATGACATTGTTACGTAATTAGGCACTGGTTGTTAATCGGACTATTGACCAGTCATAATTTGGAACAGAAATTTGCTTTCTTTACGGCAGTGCTTGAGTGGTATTAGGTCTAATCAAACGAAACACTGCAAGGAGTATGATGTCTAATTCTAATATGTTTTGAAGGAGGTATAAATCGCTAATATTTGGGATCTAGATATGGATACAAATGAATCGCAACATATTTATGTTTAATATGAATTAACATTCAATCGTTTCTGTTTTTATCTAATTTCAAATCAGTTATGTTCGGCAAAATACGCAAGAAGTCTCAATCGATTGGCAATCTCTAGTGTCTGGTTATTCCAGTCTACACCAGAAGTATTTATTGCGCATGCTCTTCAGATAAGAATATGAAATCACCATTTGTCATGACTTGTGGAATATGTCCAGCCTCGTTCTTCAAGTCCCTTGTTACAAATGGCGCTGAAACGCATTCTTGTACATGATTCGTGGACCAATTGGCAATGGTAAAATGTTTATTTTGTTTTAAATATTGGATATCAGAAGCCCACCTTTTCTCGGTAAGATCACAACATCAGTTTTGATTTAAATTGACAAATAATTTGTGTTTTCAGTGTCGAAGATTGTGGATGATTTTGAGTTAAAGACTTTAAGTGAAGCCATTCAAGCCCTTTTTACTTTCACCTTGCTAAATGCCCTTTGTTTATTAATATTTGTTAGACAAATAAACATACCCAGCCCAGTGTATCGACACAACTTTAGCATACATTCAAATATTGGTTATATCAATTAAGCAATAATATTCCCGGACATGACAGTTCAGTTTGATTTACGATGCATTAAGAATGCACCATCATGGTAAGCTGTGCACTTCTCACCTTTTGTTCAGCTGATTCGCAAAAGATGATTTGTGCCTGTGTTAACTAGGATTGTATGCTTAATAGAGCTTCCTTCAGAAGCTAGAAATAGATTTTGACGTTTAGCTGCAAAGCATTATGGGAAATAAGGTCAAACACCTTTTCTCAGAGTTGAACATATAGGAGCTTACTCGGTAGTCGGAACATGTATGTCAAAGGATGGACAATGGACAGTTCTTCACAAGTTCCCTTGAATTATAATGTCAACTGCAGAGGCGTTGCCAACCAGCATGTACTTAATTGGGGTTTGGCAGGGACAATAATTTATTTTGTCGCTGAGCGTGCAAGGTAAAAGTAGAAAGAACAACTGAGGGGGGTTAGCCCCAAAGTTTTGCTTTGTATTTACACAATAGACAGTCTGAGGCTATTATCAAACTTAAAACATGGCACCATAGAGATTCAAATAATGGATAGTTTTCTAAATGAAATGAAATGAAATGAAATGGGAGTTTAACATCCTACTTTTCTGCTCCTAACCTGGGCTAATGAAGACGGGCATACGCCATACAGTGTGCTATGAGGGAAATTTTGCCCGGACAGCGGCACTACGGCCTACTCTTATATCGAATTCCAACTGCCAAGGGATCTTTTACGTGCACGCCAATGTGTACACGGGACCTCGGTTTTTCGTCCCATCCGAACGACTAGACAGCTTTCCTTGTCAGCCCCTCCGTAGTTTTCTAAAACAACAAGCCATAAAATAATGGCTGCATGAATGCATGTGACAAAACACTCCAGTCATACAATGCAGGCATACACAGACAGTCCAAAATATTCGACATGGAGACGATACGTTTATATATAACACAGTCGAAAACAAATATTAATAATGAGAATATATGTGATAAGCATTTGGATACTGATTACATTAGTAATGTACTCGATATGGAAGATAATAGCCATAAAAATTGTGATGTTCTTGATATGGGGGAATAATAGCCGTCCAAGTTATGATGGAAAGGCTACTCACGAGAATGATTTAGATATTGATAATATTCTTAGTACTGTGGTTAATATGGAGGGTAGAACTAGCCGTCCAAATTTTGATTTAAAATTAAATATAATATACTCTGATATAAGTGACAGGACACAGGATCAAAGGCACAAACGAATTCACGAAATTCAAACTCAACTGTCATTATGGTATAACGGTGATATATTTGAATGTTTTTTAAAATCAGATAAAAATTGTGACCTGTATAGGTTCCACAGGCACAAAACACGTTTTTTTATTCAATCAGGGGCCATAGTCCAGGAAGTTACGGTCCAATATGCACCAATATCGCAAGGAATCGAGATCTTTGGGTTCTAAACACACATGTTCAGTTTCATCAAAATGGGCTAATAATTGTGACCTCTAGTGTGTACAGTCAGGGGCCATAATCCTTGAAGTTACGGTCCCATACAAGCCAATATCAAAAGGAACCAAGATCTTTGGGATATATACCTATATTTCAAGTTATGACCTGTAGAGTGTCCACAAAGAAGGTGTGAAAATGTGGGAGTATAAAAACGTATCATCGATCTAGTGCCGAACGTACTATTAAACGGACAAGTGACATATAACGGACAGATTTCAGTGGAATTCTTTATGTAGGCAAACACGTGAAATCAACATTCGGTCATGTGACATTTCGGTAACTATGAGGTTTTAAAGTAATTTCATGTTCTGTAATTTAATTTGTTCAGAGAAGAAATTATCATCTGTTAAAACATAGATATTTTTATCCAGTATATAGGAGAATGTACGCTTTTCTTAAACAATAGTCTATTATTTATAAAACTGTCCATTATTTATTGAACATAATGGACAGGTTTACCAATAATATTAATAGACACCTATTAGAGCGGGAGCCCAGGGGGTTAACCTAGCTGAAAAGTGTACCAATTTTCTTCTATATGGTATCAATGTATGTATATCTGGTATCATCAGAATGTAAGTCTGCCGGGTTTCTGGTGGTGGGTGTGGGATTCCCCGCCCAAAATGCCATGCCCCCCAACTAGTCTAGATTAGCTCAAAAGTGTCCCACATGAAAATCGCACAGCAATGTACCGTACATCTTCAGGTATTACAAAAACACTCTGACAGACATTTCTAGCAGTGGGGTACCCCTGACAGAGCTATGTAATTGCCAGACATTTGTAGTGATGGAGTAAGTATCCCTGACAAGAGTTATCTAATATTTAGACAAAAGCTAGGCTAGATTAGCTCAAATCTGTACCTCCTTTAACAGCTTTGGAGTTGTTCAGTACCACGAGAGGAATCATGAATGACCACTGCCAGGTATACTCCACCACTACAAATGTCTGGCAATTATATAGCTCTGTCAGGGGTACCCCACCACTAGAAATGCCTGTCAGAGTGTTTTTGTAATACCTGAAGATGTACTGTACACAGCTGTACAATTTTCATTTGGTACACTTTTGAGCTAATCTAGCCTAGTTGGGGGTCATGGCATTTAGGGCGTGGAATACTACACCCACCACCAGAAACCAGGCAGACTTACATTCTGATGATACCAGATACATGTATACATTCATTGATACCATATTGGAGAAAATTGGTACACTTTTCAGTTAGGTTGACCCCCTGGGCTCCCGGTCTATATCTGAAAAATGAACATGTATTTTGGGTTAGTAGTCTCAGTGTGGGGAAAAAAGGTAATTTCATGAAACATTTCAGAAAAAAATGAGTGGGGGGGGGCAGACTACTTCATTCTGTCCCATGGGACACATATCTACATCTATTCTGGCAGTTTCCCAATAGTCCATAGGACGGTATAGATCAGTGTTTAAAATGCTGTATGTTAATAACAATTGGAACTCAGCCAATAGGACCTGCTCGTACATGTAGATCACATTGTCATAACACTGACATTTAGATCAAAACATACAATTTGCTAAAATCTCAACGTTTACATAAAATTTTTAACCAAGACAAGTTATCATGACATCCAGTGAAATCTACAATTTTTTGTTGACCCACATCAAAGATATCAACCCATTTTATGTCTTACTACTTATCAATGGATTAATTGGTCTATACCTGCAGGTCATCTTCACAATGTCAAGGGTGAATTAGACCAATACATTACCCTATAATTTCTTCCTATACAAAAGGGGTCATATTAGATCAATGGTAAGATTTAAATGTCGACATCCTGAAAGTTTTTCTTCAGATTTTTAAAACTGCAATTGTGTCATACTTATACATGTTTGTAAAGGTTTTGTTGAGGAATTTGTGAAAGGTGTATAGGCAAGGGTTTTTCCAGCGTTTACCATGAAAAAATATTAAGCCAGTTATGTGTATTCAACATTTCAAGCCCATTATGTTTGATCAGTAGTAAATCCAACTCGAGTTTTAAAAAGTCTTAAAACAGTCTGTGTTTTCTCCGGGTCCTCCGGTTTCCTCACACTGCTAAAGACCCCTATGCGCAAGCGAATTATTGTAATAAAATTGAACCCTGTGTTAGTCCTGAAATGACCTAGTTTGTGTCGAGTGAACGTTAAACCCCATTTCTCTCTCTATCTTTTCATTGTAAGCATGCGTGTACATGTAGGACGAGACATGTAATTACATTTAATAATGATATTATCTGGTCACATACTTAATGTATTCATTATCAGCTCTTAAAAAAAGTATATTTATATCAAAGGTTTTTTTTCATGAGATGTGTACGGCTTATTTTAACTTTGTTTTAGTTACGTGTAGTAAACATAGGAGTTAAAATATGCCTAATTATTTTAATGGTACAAATAAAACAATTCTCCATCCATGTAGACATTACCATAAAAGAACCGTTGACATTGGGACTGAAGAGTTAGCCCTGTTTGGTACACTAGTTCAACCAGTTATTAATAGAATAAGGAATTGCATCATTGAGAATTGTTTGTAAATACATCTGCTGGCTCAAACTGGTTACTAATATTAACCTACATTGTAGGCATTCTACACTCTCAGTTGAAAACACAATGGTTACCTTGACTGGCTATGTTTAGTGGGAATAGTGCTGTTTCATGCTCTGATCATGAATGGTGATGTAATCTATCAACATTCTAGTGAAATTCATTGGATTAAAATATATAGCCTAGACACAGGTAATTGAACCCTGCTACTAATAATAGCATGGCACTGTTAAACTGACAGAAGTGTCTTGGATTTGTGAATAGTCAATTTCAGTGGATGTTATACTTTGAAAGTTGTACATCTAAAACAAGTATAAAGTTTTAACTGATTTTATGTTCCACTGAACATTGACATACATGTAGTAAGCCAAAAAAAAAATGAAATTACAATTAATAAATGAGCCAACTTGCTCCATCACTAACTGAAATAACTCATCAGATTAATTCAATTAAATACTTTATTTTTACTCAAATCAAACAGGTTTATATACTGTAGTGCCTTCATTTAAAACACAAAGTTTGTCACTCTACCAATAGATTATTGTTATTTAAAATTAAGAGTATGTAAAACAATATGTAATTCTTCGAAGTGTCCACTGTCATGTTTGATATATTCGGCCGAATTATATTGACCTAGTGTGTCCACTTCGCCGAAGCATTAGCCCAATTGTAGAATTCACGAGTCAATCACCACTCATATCGAGAAATTAAGTGATTGTTTGTAGACGTCGCTGCCATGTTTAATCATGTGATGGGAAAGGTGATGTAATTAACTGGTGAATCAGGTGAAGGATTTGTGTCATTTGACGGAATTACATTCGGCACCGATTGATCGTCTGAATTATTCAGATAGTCTGTCAACCGATTTAGAAAAATAATCTCAAATGAACTTAGGCAAGTATAAAGACATGATTATCTAGGATCTAACACAACATAGAATTTGGGCACTTGTGGGCTTGTGGCTAACACAAAATAGAGTAGAAAGTTTGTATTTTTCTTCTAAAAAGTATATCACATAACTTCAGATAGTAACTTGTACAGGACTAGGGTTTAGTTAACCATGAATTAACAGATTTTATTCACTAGATTATATCCAGGATTTGTCCTTAATATTTGACTTTGTTCAGTTGTATAGACTATCTTAATTTTTTGTTGTAGCTATATATTATGACAGAATATAATTGTACATGTATTTATGTGACACTTAAGGTTACCTTGTGAAATAAGTAGAGTGTTAATAGATTATGGGGATATTTTCCCTGATTAACCCCAATATGTGTACATGTATAGCACAGTATTAGGAACTGTTTTATACCAGGCCCGATAATTAATTTCCAAAATAAGATTGTTTGCTGTTAAAATATTATTATTCATGACGGGCCGATAATTAACTTCCAAAATAAGATTGTTTGCTGTTAATATATTATTATTCATGACGGGCCGATAATTAACTTCCAAAAAAAGATTGTTTGCTGTTAAAATATTATTACCGGGTATTCATGACGTTGTATGTTCACACCTTCTACTTTTTCTTAAAACAGGATATAAATTTGTTGTATCCTGTTGTACATAGATGTCCTATAAGTATAAGGAATAAATTATTTCTAAGCATCATGGTTCATAGAGTTTATGTGTAATATGTTTCAACTCTGTTGACCCAGGTTGACTCATGTACATAATAGTTATATAGCGATGACCTTTTCCTAGTAAGTCAGAGACAGCTATGATGGGCCTATTTAAAGAGCAAAATGTTGTCAACTTTTCATCAATATAATTTAACAAACATCAATCAGGATAAAAGAGAGTATAACCAAATCAAGACAAATTAGAAAGGATTGGAGGAACCACTACATATATGTAGGTAGACTGCATTTATACTGATAAATGAAGGCATAGACTTAAACATACATTATGCAAGAGTTTAAATCTGCCTATAATGATACCTACGTACATACATGGTTATTCACATATTGGTCCATCTGTTCACATTTTGAAATTTAGGACTTCAGTTATTGTACGAGATGGACATTATAACTCAGAATTAAATTTTCTTTTTTTTTCTCTATTTAAGATGCCTGTTATTATAGCACACTCCAATGATATAACTACAAACTATTCCAAATGAGTTCAAAAAATGCAAATACTATCCAAGATCCAAATCATGACAATGAAGCTTCAGTTTTTAGTCTCTACCGAGGCACTTTTGATCGTTACCATGGTGAAATAACAGATTACTCTGATATTCCACAAAACGTTGTTCACACGGAACCACCAAAGATCCAGCCTAGGAGGAGTAAATTTTTTACTTTAATTGAAGAAGACCAGGAGAAATCGGCATCAAGTGTTACACTACACGACAGAACCAAATCAGGTGGGTAATATTAGTTATATTATAAAGTTAAGTTTACTGTTCACTTTCAGTCGTCATCAAGTTGTTATGGGTGTCTTGCACAAGGTCTTTTTGTTAGAGGAGGGAGGTGTGGTGTGTGGATGGCTGAATAGTTTAACGTGTGCACTTTGGATCATAAGGACTGTCAGTGAATCAAGTGACATGGTTTTGATTTGCCACTTGTACTGAGAAGGTCGCCTACCCAACCTCCAAGCCTTAGATTTTTTCCCACTGCTAAAGAGCCCCTACGCACAAGCGATTTATGTTAGTAGTTTGGATACCTTGAAATGCAGGGCAGATAGTTACACGTTTAATAGTATGCTACTACCAGTTTGGGTATTATGAACGTGCTGGTTATAGTATGTCTATTTAAATCTAGAATATTTCAGATAATACTTTAATTTTAAAAATGAAAGTCATCAAATTGAATTCTGTATACATGTGTGTGTGTGTTTGCTATTGAAAGGTGACTATAGCCAAGGGTGAAATGTTAAGTAATTCTAATGACATGTTAATTTATTATAATCCCTTATTGTTTATAAAACTCTTATAGGTAGAAAGTAACTGACAATATGGCCTGTCTGGTGAACATGCCAATCGTATGATTAATCTATTAATTGTTTTATTTACCATTGTTTTATTTCTTATATTGTACATTATTACATCAATGCTTATTTATGTCAACACTTGATCTAGCCAAGTGATTAGAAGTAATTCCATATAAATATGTGATTATACTTGATACGTTAGTCATTTAGGTCTATCTGCATTAGGTACTAGTCGGTTATCCACGGTCACAGTATAGTCAGATCTCGATGATTAGCAATACAAGCTTCTGAGCAAGACATTGCCACATGTTGCTACATCAGTGAGATAATCTGTGTTGATCTGCTGCCATAAAGTTTTCCTGATATACTTACCTGAATCTCCATTCAGTTAACTGTAAAATATGACCTGACCAACCAGTGATACCCCTTAATTACATGTACCTAAACGGAATCTAATTTAATTAAGGATTATAAAGTTTAATGCGAATAACAACATTCAATAAGACAAATTTACCGGTACCTGTTAATTAACACAAATGGATCAATGGATATAATTTTTAATAATGACAAACGATCAAAGAAGATGAAATTTGATGAAATGTTATCTGCGACCACTTTATCTGAAATAAACACAAATGATTAATGAATAGCTTGTTGTGGAGTATTTACAATGAATTGATCAGATTTTAATAATCACAACACCCTAAAAAGATGAGATTTGATTGGTATTATAACGAAAAATGTTGATATTATGTAGATACTAGCAGGATACCCGGCTTCGCTCGGGGGTCATAACTCCAAAACCGGAAGTGGTGGACTAACGCCACCTGGTCTATGTTACTCCCCGGTCCGAGCTACCCCTATACCCCAAATTTCAGACTCAGGGCAGACCTAGTGTAGCCGCCAACCCCGAACAGACCGGCTTCGCTCGGGGGTCATAACTCCGAAACTGGAAGTGGTAGACTAACGCCACCTGGCCTATGTTACTCCCCGGTCCGAGCTACCCCTATACCCCAAATTTCAGACTCGGGGCAGACCTAGTGTAGCCGCCAACCCCGAACAGACAGACTTCGCTCGGGGGTCATAACTCCGAAACCGGAAGTGGTAGACTAACGCCACCTGGCCTCTGTTACTCCCCGGTCCGAGCTACCCCTATACCCCAAATTTCAGACTCGGGTCAGACCTAGTGTAGCCGCCAACCCCGAACAGACCGGCTTCGCTCGGGGGTCATAACTCCGAAACCGGAAGTGGTAGACTAACACCACCTGGCCTATGTTACTCCTCGGTCCGAGCTACCCCTATACCCCAAATTTCAGACTCGGGGCAGATGTAGCCGCCAACCCCGAACAGACAGACTTTGCTCGGGGGTCATAACCCCGAAACCGGAAGTGGTATACTAACGCCACCTGGCCTGTGCTACTCCGCGGTCCGAGCTACCACTATACCCCAAATTTCAGACTCGGGGCAGACCTATTGTAGCCGCCAACCCCAAACAGACCGGCTTCGCTCGGGACTCATAACTCCGAAACCGGAAGTGGTAGACTAACGCCACCTGGCCTATGTTACTCCCCGGTCCGAGCTTACCCTATACCCCAAATTTCAGACTCGGGGCAGACCTAGTGTAGCCGCCAACCCCGAACAGACAGACAGACAGACAGACAGACAAACGACAGTCACAAATATATATATAGATAAGTGATTCCACTAATATATGAAAAACCCTTAGAACAATGACTGTACAAATGATCAATGGTCCCCTGAAGGCCGACTATTTGACTTAGTGAGTAGTATTTTCACTGGATGCTATAGTGATTTAGAATGGCAGGATTTGTAATCCAGTGAAAAGACACTTATATCCAGAAAGGGTGTCTCAGCACTGATCACCCTCAATTGACAGGTTTTGTTATATTATGCTGCCAAATGACTTGTCAAATTCTGAAACGAATGGGAGACTATGCAATATTTTCAACCAATCACAACCCAATATTCATTAATTGTTAAATTTAATTCATCCATTTCCAAATTTGAAAACCTGATAGTGCACACTAAAACTAAAACAGTTTCATCAGAAAAATTTCACTATTTATTGATTAGAAAAGGAAAATCCAAGGACAAGCCATTTTGTAAGATGTGACCTTTGTTAACCTTTCAATTTTGTCTGGATGGATTGATATATGACCTAGTTGTAATCTGTTTGACAACAAACCATGACCCAGTCAAAAGACTAGGGTATGACATACTTATGAACCAAGACTTTCTATATTTACATTTTCCAAATGTTTCATGCCCAGAAAACATGCTCTCATTTGATTGGTTAAAGGTGTTCTTTGAATGATATACCAACCAGTCCCAACTCTTTTAACATATTGCATCATCACCTGATCACACTGCCTGTACATGGACAACTAATGAAAACCAAAACATTAACCCCAAATCCCCCTGTGTTGGAGTTTTATTGAAGCCATGATTTTAAGAGAGAAGAGATCACTGTGAATATGTTGTGAAATGCTGCTTGCAACTTGAATTACGATTTAATTTAATTTTATCAATTTTTTTTTTAAGTTAGTGATTTATCAGTTTTAATTATTCCGAATTTAACATTTAATGTGAAAAGAATCCGTGATATTATTCAATAGTTTTTGGATGAAGTTGTTAAAACTATTGAATAGATTTGGAAAAATTAGTTTTTAACTTTATGAAAGTGATGACTACTGCAGCAAATAAACTGAATACTGGATTGATTGTGTTAATTGACAGAGGAAAAATAATTTATTTAAACAGTTAAGTACTATTAATAACTTTCATTTCATGTTGTACTTGCTTGTTTGTGAAATAGATCAAGAAGAACTATCTACAGAACGTTTTCTTGCCTGATTCCAATTTAAAAATGCATTATGTAAGAATTAGATAAAGAACTGGTCGGTTTTACTATACTAGTTGATGAGAAATGAATATATTGTAAATTTGAGTCAATTACTTTATTCTGAGCAAAGTTTTGAATATTTGAATTTTTGACAAGATTAAGTACAGTATTATTGCTTCAATAATAAATGTAGTCTCGATAATCCATTTTAACCATAAATTAATAAATGGTGCAGGTGTTCTAATCCATTTAATATCTCGGTCATCTGGTGGTCGAGAGAGTTGATTATTGGCTTGTCATAGAAATAAATGTCTAATTAATAATTTATTATTTATGGTTACTTATGGTTGATTTCCAGACCAGGTTCTGTACAATCCTCTACCCTGGACTCATAGTAATTGTATGTTATTCTGGTGAATTTAACCTTGTAATTAATTATAGTAGGATTCATGTCTTTGCCAAAATTTGTCCAGTCAGGATTTAAAGATGTTATATAACATTTATATAACATTTGAAGCTTGAAACTGAAATAGACAGCTTGAGCTCTTACACAATGCATCTAGTATAATGAAAGTTAATAGGCCTTAATGACTGTAGTACTTCAGTCATTATGAAACTAACATGCATGTTATTTTTGTTTCTAGGTAGGAGAATTTACTTGGACACTGGGGTTGCCACCTACTTCAAGCTACTTTTCTTCGATTCCAACTGTGTCCAGGTTTCTTTCACATGCACCTGTACCTAAGTTTATTGTCTCACCTGAGTAACTAAGCAACAACTTACTGGTGATTCTGATGACAATTTGAAATCAGGCTGAAAAATCGCAAGGTTCTTCTCGGTCCACCTCAGGATTCCAGCCCAGAACATTATAGTCGAGAGACCAGTGGTTTATCGCAATGTTCACAATTTGATTAAATCTATGTTTGCATACATAACATGGTATTTTATGTCAAAATCAACAGACAAGTGACAGTCTGAATGCGATATTGACTAGTATAACAATAGAAATTAAAATCAGTATTGCAACAACTCATAGATTGATAAATGTATATTTTCAGGTTCTGGTACACTCCAGAATAATACTAGTCAAGAATCCCGACCAGAAACGGACCATAACAGAATTCCTGGTAAAATTTTACGAGAACAGTATGCTAATGTTGGAGAAAAGGAAGATGTTCCTTATTATGATCTGTCAAAGCCCAGTATAGGGTCAGAAACATCGGATGCCATTCTCAAATTATTTGATCAGGCTCACAAATCATCACTTTTAGTTCCACCGAACACTCACAGACCCTCAATGTCATTGCCTGTTTCTCCGAGCGGATCACCAAAATTACCCAGAAGTCAGTTCATGCGTAAGTTATCCTCCAGTAATATTGTTGCACTTGCTACTATGGGTGTAGTTAACACACCATCACTTTCGGAGGATCAGACAATAATAACTCGACAGAATGATAATCAAATGGCGCAGAAAGAGGTTACACCGATAGTGATGTCAACCGTCACACCCCCGGTCGCTGAAAAGAAGGTGGATGTTCCAATAGATACTATTCCGGAACAGAATACAATTGGTTCAGATTTGAATTATGTGACGTCCGGATTTGGTAACTGGTTGAAAAAGAGAGTGAATGTGAAGAACAGAGACCTAAATGCTTTTTCACCCTCCTCAACTTAAAACATACAACATGGGCCTGTTTCACGAAATGTATATTAAGTTGTATGTAAGAGTTATATTGTAAAATGTTTGATTTAAGTGAATGTGTGCTTTGTGAAATGGGAATCTGGGGAATAGTTTAACTATAAATACATTTGTGATGAATTCTTTTTTGTGTTTATTAGGATTGAATGAAGTAAAAAGAAATATCTATCCTATGATATTCCTGTAATTTAAATTTCAGTGTTTATGCATTTTATAAACATAACAAGAATCTGTTTAGATTAGATGCCTGTGATTTGAGGTCACAGTCCATGTGTTAACATAGCTTTTTGTGTACTGTAACCGGGTAGTTTAAAACAGTCAACGGATTTGAGTTATGTGTGGTGCAGTCCTCCTGCACTTACTATTATTAGACAATCATAATAAAGTGTAAAGTGTTATTTCTTCATCTTTTTGTCTAAGTCTAAGACACATATAAGACGCACATGTTATTGAACTGAAAAGACTTGATGAAAGGGTGCGTCTTATACACAGGAAAATACGGAAATAACCCAGAGAAAAATCTGTTCCTGTGTTGTGAATATGATATCTAGTGATTTAAAATGTGCTTTAATTATAGATCTTCTTTATGTTTATTATGTTTTTTTCCTGTGTATATAATATTTATATACTAATAGTTCCAGTATTTTACTATGTTTTATAGTTTCTTCAATATTTTAGTTTATCCATGTAGTGTTGAATTGATTAAGAGCAATCTAGTAATTGACCAGATAACATACATCTCCTGGATTATTTTTAGAAATCGAACATGGAAGATGAATCTCATAATTCTGAAATAGTAAACAGTACATTTTGTAGACAATGGTGTTATTCTCATTGAAAAAAAACCCAGTAATAAATAGTCTCCCAACAGGAATATGGATACGTGGCTATTGTTGTGGTATTGAGTTGAGTTAATATACCCTATTCAACACATCTGATACTAATGATTATGGGAAGGTTAGTTACAGTTAAACAGATATATGTCTTTATTTACTCTTTAGGATGAATGATATTGTATTTGTATTATGTTTATAAAGTTACCCTTTATCTCAAAAACAGTTGAAAACAGCTGAAATATATTCTGTCAGTTAATACCAGTTTAATAAGCCAGGTTTCTAATTATTTATATGGAATACATCACTTGTTTGTTAAACATATAATAGAAGGTATTGGACGAAATGAAATGAAATGGGGCTTAACGTCTTACTGTTCTGCTCCTAAACTAGGCTAATGAAGAAGGGTATATGCCATACAGTGTGCTATGAGGGAAATTTTGCCCGGGCACTACGGCCTACTCTTATATCGAATTCCAACTGCCAAGGGATTTTTTACGTACACGCCAATGTGTACATGGGACCTCGGTTTTTCATACCTGGATGAACTTTCTCGCCCAATGCAGGGATCGAACACCTGACCTCCAGGCTAGCGAGTATCACACAATATGTATAACAAACAAGTGATTGAATTCCATATAAATCCAGACCAATGACCATATTATTTTTTCGCAATTAGAAATAAATACTTAAGTAGCTGTACACTAATTAATGTTTATATTTTTAAAAGAAGCTGAAATACTGTGTACCAGTATTTAATTATTAGTTAAATACATATTCAAATTTTTTTGTCTATGCAATCATCTTGTATAAAAAATTTGAATAATTCCTTTTAGTTTGGTAACGTTTTATCTATAAATTATGTATAGATTTACTTCCTTTTATAGAATAAATTGTTAAATGTACTTGAAGTTACAGAATTAAATGTAGACTTGAAATGGCAGAATTGGAATTTAAATGTGCTTGAAATTGTACATTTGAATGTATTTGGAATTACAATATTGAATGTTAAATGTACTTGAAATTATATAATTTAATGTTAGAAATATGATAACTGAAATCAGGAAATGGAATAAACACTGAAATATGTGGTTAGAAAGGAAATTGATTTAATGTTCAATAGACTGGACCTTACAGACTTGGTCGTTACTGTACTTAAAGTTTCCTAATTAAATGTTAAAGTTACAATTTCATATTTTCTAAGAAAGTCAAAACATAATTATTTCTATGTCTTTGGCTCAATAGGTTGTCAACTCACTATTATACGATCATAGGTGTCATTCTCACACTTAAAACTCATTTACACCGGAAATAATAAAAGAATTACTTCCCAATTACCTCCCTTGTTTTCTATTCTCCACCATGGAGTAGCTATCTTCAAACGTTGGAATTTGAAGATGAAAATGATATTTTTGCCAATTTCTCAACTGGCAATAGTGAATTATAGGATTATTCTTTAACAACGTAGGACTGTTTATAGATAGCATCTATTTTAAGGCTTTATTTTAATAAATTTTAAAAATATGAAATTGCAACTTTAAAAGATCGCATGAAATCAAATATTGAAATAAGCACTAAACGTTTGATCTTTCCAATTTTAATTATTATTGTAGAGGTTCAGGTACTATAAAGATATTAAGGAGCTAGAGATAGCTGTAATTTGTGTGTATATTATATATACATATTGTATGTAATTTGTTCTCTATTACAATAGTGAAATAATTATTGTTAATGAACTATTAAAATATATTCAGTGTTTGTTATTGTTATTTTCAGGAATGGGAAATAAATAAAAACTGCAAATCTATTCATAGAGACATTTGTGTTCCTTCCCTTTTTGGGGTGACTAGAAACAATATTGATACAGGTCACAAGGCTCCCTACATAAATATAATATACCCATGCCACATTTCGTCATATTATTGCGTTCAGCCATAGCCATATTATCCATTGCAGACTTGGTGCAGGAGAAACTAGTGAACAGACAATAAACAAGATGTAAAACAGGACTAAAGACATAGTTAGAAGTGATTTAAGACGTGGAAGAATAATTGCAACTGTGATCTGTTAACAAGGTGACTATGTCATTGACTCATAATTTCCACAAGAGCACTCCCTTATTTCGAATTGAACAATTAAAGGAAACTCTTAACCTTTGAAGTTTCGGTGTCAGGAGCTACAACCTGCATATTAATAATAGTCTGAAATGTCTGATTCTGACCGTAGCAGTTTAGTCAGAATTAATTTTTCTGAATATCCAGACTTTCTTGAGAATTTTTACCTGGATTTAGCCTGGATTGTTGCTTGAATTATCCATATTCTTTGCTTACTGTGTGAAAATAGGGGATAGTCAGTAAGATCATGGATGTACAATGCGCCTTGTGCACTTTCCTTAAACCGACGATAAGCTTATGCCATTAATGACCCTTTAATCATACAGTTCTTGCAGCTTAAGCCCCTTTATATATACTAAACAGCAAAAAAAACCAAAAAAAAACGTCGGTACTTTAATCATATCATTCTAGAAAACGTCCGTACGATTTCAAAATCAGAGAGGCACTTTAATCAAATCATTCTAGAAAACGACTTACTAAAGGGATCAAAGCAATTTTCTGTGAACAGTATGTTGACACATTAGTGATTAAAGCTACGTTCCCAGAAAATTATTTATCGGGTGGTTATTTCCAATTAAAGTATGGCAATTTTGGTATATATGGAAAGTAGAAATATCCAATCTTACTAGAAAAATAATGGATTCCCTGAAAAACACTCATGGAGCACATACAGGACAAAAATGTACGGGTTTCCCTAATCGACAGCCCGACGATTAAGAGTGCCTGCACGCGTGGCGTCGAAGGTTGCACGCGGAGATTGAGCGCTTGAAGTACTTGTTGATAAACTTTATGAAGAGTTAGACCTACAACACTTTCTGAGATAAAAATTACGGAAAAAGACGCGGACAGTGGATAATCCGAGAATTTAATTAGGCTTCGATATTTGTAACAAATAGTCAGCGATAAAGGCAACATCGTCTTGTGTATACAAACATGACTTGTTTTGGTTGATTTTTTATAGCCGGCTATTCCCTGACAATTGCAATGTTTTGAGAAAGATTTGAAGCAAAATTATGATAAATTAATTAGTTTGAATATGTTCTTAGTCCAAATATATCATCAAATCGCATAGTTTGTACCCGGAAATGTATCTTTAATTCATCACAATTCCAAGACATTACGAGAAGGTTTAGAGTCTGTACACAGTCTATACATCAGTATCTGGTATGTCCACCGCGAGTGTCAATAACAACAGCGCAGCGTCTGTACATGGAGTGGACCAGGCGATTGATGAACGCCATTGACACCTGGAACCACACTCTCAGAAAAGCCTGGCGCAATCCACCGGCTGTGTTTGGTCTCGGTAGGACGATATTAAGTCTCCTCTGAATTTCATCCCTAAGATGTTCAATCTGGTTCAAGTCCGGACTAAGGGCTGGCCAGTGCATAACGTTGACACCTACGTGCGAAATGTGGTATGACGTGGGGTCTGAGAGCTTAGTCGATTACACCCCAAACCACTATGCTTGGACCTCCCCATGAGTCTCGTTCCATGACATATTGGTCAGAATAACGCTGGCCACCTCGACGCCATATTCTGGTCCTGCCATCTGCAGTTGATACACAATACCGACTCTCATCTGTGAACAGAATAGTTCTACATTGCCCGTGTCGCCAGTTCTGGTGTTGTTGGGCAAACTGTAGACGTTCACGTCGAATGCGAGGGGTTAGGATCGGTCCACGGTAAGATCTACGGCAATGGGTGTTCTCTCTGGTGAGACGTCGGCGCATTGTGTCGGTACTGATGGGCCTTCCGTGTGTTCCCACTGTCTGACGTGCTGTCTCAGATGCCAGTGTGAAGGGATACTGCACGTGCTGTTGCACAACATGGCGGTCTCTTTGCCTTGTGGTAACCCTTGGTCTACCAGTTCGGGGGCGAGCATGCGTGGTGTTGGTGGCCCGACAGAGTTGCTGAAGCCTGTAGATGGTCCTAACATTGACCTGGAAGTGATTGACAACGGCTTGGGCAGTGTGGCCAGCGTCGAGTCTTCCAAGCGCCTGGTTCCTCTGAGCTGTCGTGAGTCGTGGCATGCTGCTGACGTTGTAGCGTGAATGATTCAACCAGGTATGGGGGTGCAGTTTATAGGGCTGACCCAGTGAACAGAACGTGCAGCATGAATTACATGAAAATCATGGAGAACACATTACCATCTCAGAAGTCAGGTTGTGTTTTTGAGAACATTTCCTGGGTTCATTTCTCTGTTTGGGAAGGAGCCTTATTGCTTAGGTAAAGTTGGAGATGTGGTCACAAATATACAATAAAAACATTTCGCAAGTTTTATGCAATGCGTCTATTCAGAGTAACATACTAACCTGACGTTTCTTTTGCTGCTTAGTATCGAACACTTTCAAATGATATCCCGTGTTTATCTCTCTCTATGAAAATATGACAAGACAATATATACATGTACACAACTATATATTGTCTTGTTATATTTTCTTATTTTATCATTGCTTGATAATGACCAGAGAAGCCTAGTCGAAACGTCGCTCAGTAATAAGCAGTAATTGTATTCCATAGAATTGTGACCTGTATAAACGTGATAGTCAAAATTAAAATCCACCGCTACCTTTAACCTTGGCTAAAATCATTTGACGGACCCCTTTTTAATCGGACTGAACCGTAGGCCAACTGCCGTTGATAATGAATTTAGGTATATTTGAGGGTGGATTAAACCGTGGAAAATTTGATATTTTCTAAAAATACAAATGACGCACAGAGACTCTAAACATTATGTTGTCAACTAAGTGTAGTTTTCAAATGAATGCATGAAATAGGGTTTAACGCCCAACTTTACTGCACCAACCAAGCTAATAAAGACGGGCATACAGTGTGCAATGAGGGAAATTTTGACCGGACATGAAAATTGAATTCCAACTGTACATGGGACCTTGATTTTCCGTACCATCCGAACGATTAGACGCTGTTTCTTGTCAGGTCCCCTGCAGAAAAATATTGAAATTGGAAAGTGGAAGATTGAATTTGTAAACCGAGCAAAATTCTGGTTTATTAAAAAAGAAAAAAAAATGTTTTTGTCGAGTATTTTATTATAATGATTATGTACATTGGTTATCAATTCCCATCTTTCAAAGAAGCGATCGATTACACCAAGTTATCTATATCGCCTTTACTTGTTCTAAATCAAAAGGGTTTCGAAATATTTAGAAAAAATATAACCAGCGCCGAAGAAATAAACATGCAACTGCATTTCTTGAAAACTAAAACCGAATACTTCCCCATGTTTCAGGAATCCCGTCATTTAATGTAGACTTATGCTTACTCTTAATTGTCTAACATCGTCAGGTTTCGAATTATACTGTGATGTATCAATGCAAGGTTAGAACGTTTTAATTTAGTAGGAGTCTTTGAGGTTTTTACAAAATTGCCAAGTACTGTTGCTATGATAATAAACAAAGTCTCGATTATTAATTTTAACGCAGATCTTTGAATCCAATTAATATTACTGCCACCATATGCGCATAAGTGTCTAAAAATAACATATCTAAAATAATATATATAACACGAAGCCATCAAAATATCTGTAATAGGCAGATTTCGCTCTTACATAATGCATCTTTAAATTGAAACATGAAGGTTTGGTACGATAATTTTCAATACTCTTTATCTTGCATTACATTACTGTGGATGAATTAACACGATGTCTATTGGGTATTTAAAGAAAGGGATACACATAAAAATGTACAAGTTCTTTGTCAATGCAATAGGTATATTTATGAATGTACTATAAAGGGTTAGTTTTAAATATAATACATAATGAGGTGAAAGTAATAAAATATAACCATCTTGAAAATTCAAGTGTTGAACCTGAAATGAAAAATTGGTCAATAAATTAAAGAAGAATCTATGTACCTGCTCGAACACCCTAGTTTTAATGGACTACACCAAGCATCAGCTCTTGGCAAGGGAGTGGTGACCACTGATTTTAATGGCGAACAAGATCCATTGGGCCACAAAACCCCATTATTTAGCCTATATCGTTAGAACGCTTTAGAGTCGATTTATAGCTCCCCTTTACTTAGCCGCTCGATCCTCCAAGCCCGTTGCTGGATGGGGTAGGTGGGATGGGGTGTCTAAGCGTTATGTTTTACTTCCAATTCACGCCATGCCCAAGAAATCATCACGACACCCTTCACGTGCCCACCTCATCCTGGGCATCCCGCCTCCCATATAAAACAATCCTGACAGCACAACACAACTCGTAAATGAAGGTACTAATCTTGTATTATCACCCAATAAAATATCGCTTTACATGAATTTGATTGGTCAGTTGTAAAGGAACTACTTTTTTATTTTCAAAGAACAGTTCATTTCTTATTAAAAATAACCTTTTTTTTATTATTAAAAATGAACTATTGTTATTCAGTTGACCTTGATGGAAACACTGGGTCAATATAAAGGACTTTGCAATGGTTGAATTACTGTCAAAAATGATGTATCACTACGCCGTAATGTTCAGTAAAAGTGAAATCTACAGCAAAGAATTATATTTATCTATTTGTGCATGTAAGAAGGGATTGGGTGATAAATAAAATCTCCTACTCGTCTTTTTTGATATTAAAAAACATAAACACTCGTTGATAAAGTAAAAAAAAAACTCGGCAGAGTCTCGTTTTTTGTTACTTTATCAACTTGTGTTGATACTTTTTGATATCAAAAAAGACTGGTAGGAGATTCTCTATTTCTATAGTGAGGCGTGACACGATGGCGTGGTACCGAATGCGCGTAAAAATTCTCATAGTGTGTCCATAGTATGATTATTAGGCCTACGGTACGACTAATGATTATCACTCCTCCCAGTTACCTGTTGATCTTTTTTCACAGACAAATCCTCTTTGAGATGTACACATGGCATCATTTAAAGTACCACTGTAGGTCACAGATACACAATCTTCATCTCTACCACCATAACTGTTGGGTTCTTGATTCCATGGACTGTTAAAGATACATTATGTAAGATTTAGATAAAGAGCTGGCCGTTCCTGCTATAATAGTTCAAAAATATATAATGCAAAATGAATATACTAAACAGTTCATTCAAATTACTTTATTCTGAACAGCCTATTAACCTTTGAAGGTTTGACAAGATGTGTGCACTGATTGTAACCACCGTACTGGTTGTTCGAAGCTTAACCTCGCTTCACCATTTTCAGATTAAATCATTAAATGGCTGAACCATTATAATCTACTTAAAATCTGACCTATCCGATGGCATCGAGACTTGATTAAGGTATTGTCATGTTAATAAATTTCCAATTAATAGTTTATAAACATTTAAGGCCTAAAGAAAGACCTACAATAGGCAGATTTAGCTCTTGCATGTGTGTATGTAGTATACCAATCATTAAGACATACCTATGCAACTTATTAATTCACCGATTCAACCAGCTATATAACTACCGAAGCCTTCTTTTAACACTGTACAACCTGACTGGCTTGTAAGGTCACGTCTAGTAGAGTTATGGAGTTTAATTACAGAAGAAGTTAATATTGAAAACTAATTAAACTGCCACGATGTGATCCCTACCAGTATGTTAGCGGCCAAGCGAATATTTGCTGCTGATCAGTTTGGACCACGGGGTCTCATCAGAATGAACCGTCTACAACCTATTCTTATTCTTTCTAAACAGCCCGATACCACCACGTTTGTTTTTATTGTATTTTAGTAATTGATAAAGAATCGCACATTAATTTTTTTTTCTTTTACCTCACCGGGAACTAGCAATTCAAATAAAAAAAAATACTTACATCAAACCGTCCATTCCTGGCCAGTTGTCATCTTCATTAGGATATACCCACGATCCACCAATCTCCTGATCAGATAATCCAATCCACCACATGTTAGGCCACGTGGTAACACCTTGTATTTGGGTAGCAATATATTGCTGTTTACAAAACAATGGTAGAAAGTGAATAGCAAAACTAGCAAAATTTTCATTAGCAAAATCGTAAAAGCTAGCTCTAAAATTGCTGCTGCCCACCCCACCCCTCCCCACCAAAATTTTGTTTAAATAGTTATCCATCATCATATGTAGGCTATGTCCTAAGTTTCAAAATTAAAAATTAAATATGAACAGAATATATCACTCAGGGGCTGGGTGGTCAAGTGGTCTAAAGCGTAAGCCTCGGATCATAAGGTCTGTCATTGTGCCAATCGGCGTGCTTTCCGTACGTGACAATAAAGGGGTGGCTGGGGTGGGAGGCGTTGTGTCTGCTCAATTCCTAGGTCTTCTTCGCGTCCCCAGGCTTCCTCCATTTGCCAAAGACCTCTACGCACATGCGGATTATTGAAATGGAATTGCACCATATAAATATATTAGGCCCGAAATGTCTTAATTTGTGTCGAGTGGACCTTAAACTTACTGCCCCACCCCACTCCCCGCAACCCTTCAAATAAATATAAAATAATACACACCAGTTCGTCTTTATCATTAACAGCCAGTAATTTACCATGTTTTCTCTTACAGATACTGGTACCTGTGACTTGATCAGCCAGGTCCCCAGATATATAGTAACAATTATAATTGTACAAAGTCCATTGATCTGGACAATTCTCATTGTCTGAAATATATCCAATTATATCAAATTATAGCTCAGTAATATCTTGAAAATAAGCTACGTTTTTTGATTGTATTGACGAGCTTTCTTTGCTGCTTTTATCTTATTTTGTAAATATTATAAAGTAAATGTTACGCCGAGTGGAGCTAAACCAAGAATATCTTTTCTAGGACATGTTTTAATCCATTTAGAACATCCAATCTATAGAGCGCACAAAAGTCTTAAATTTTGTTTCATTGTGATCATTGTGACCAATACGCTTGATAGCATAATGACTTGCCACTCCCTGTTTAACCGACATAAAACAACTTTTTGTGTGCATGTTACTTCTTTTATATCAAATTTCTTGCAAACTTTCTCATATTCGAGCGAACGAGCCGTCACAAGACTGGTTTGTAAACTGTTTTTGTGTGGTTCGTAAAATCAAGCGACGATTAAGAGCAGATAATTTGAATATGTGAATACCCCATGAATGAACCAAGGGTATAGTGGAGTAGAACGGAATTAGACCACTGGGCATACCGAGGAAGATGTATATGTAGGTAATAGCAAATATACTGATAAAATATTACCATCCATTGGTTTTTCACAAATATATCCCAATTGAAAATCGCTACATGGTTTATCTGTTATAGTTACGTCCTTCGTCAAAGCAGCACAATGTTGATTTGCTAATACATTCAGGGGACTGTGGGACCATTTCCTGTAAAACATTTTACATTATATTATATTATATAGATTGTTATAAAATCTGAAAAGGCACAATCTCCATAAAAAGGTAAAATGTGTATTTGTATATGTCAAGCCTCAAAGAGCTAGAATAAATCTATTTCGCTGGATCCGGTCGGGGTTCTTTCTTTTCTTTTGTCTCTTTGTCGGTAATGTCGGAAATAAGAATGTCACAAACTGTTTAAATGTAAATTGCACCTTTTAGTTCACTTGCCGTGGGTTTATTCCAAGGAAAATTGTACAAAAATGGTCCAAAAATTTTGGACCTCGCTTCGTTCGGCAACATCCTTGATTGCACCCGCGTTTTCAAAATTCCTGTATCCGCCCTTCATGGAAACGTGATAAATGAAGTAAGCAACGTTCATTTAGATAATATAATTCACTAAATTGGGTTGATTATTTTATATCGACCCGATAAAATATGTATTTCGACAAATTCTGCAATATCATTGGCTTTATCTATAGCCGTTGAGTTTTCAACGAAGACAAATTATTGTCATCCCACGAAACAGATCAACATATTATAAAATCCAATGAAATCGACAAATATTTTTTTTTTACTAGAATCATAGAGGTCTATTGTTATTTTAAATACTTACAGAAAAGAGGAATCCGCAGACGAACCGTCCGCCCAGACGAAAGTACCTTCCTTTGATTGATCATTCAACCCAATCCAGTAAAGGCCACTCGCCATTTTCGGTGTTTCTGATATCATAGACAGATACCTCTGTAATAGATTTAATTATATATATAGCAACGTACATCATGATTCTGATGGTTTTAGAAAGACTAAAACCGGTATTTGTCAGGGCCTGATTAGTCGACATAATACACACCCAACAAAAGACAGATCGAATATTTGATTCATACGCCTGGATGTAAATATAAACGTTTACCGAAAAATCTCATCATAAGTATATAGGTCATCCTATTTTAAAATTTTGACCACTCGTTGTCTAAGAGAGAGAGAGAGAGATGGGGTTTAACGTCCACTCGACACAAACTAGGTCTTTTCGGGACTAACATATGGTTCAATTTTATTTCAATAATTCGCTTGCGAGTGGCAAAGCCCAGCTTAATGCATGGGCTTGAGGGCCCGCGGTTCATGGCAAAAAGAGAAAAAGTTCAAATTCCATATGAGTTTCACGGTAATCTATCTAGCGGCGCGAGGGCAGACACTGAGCAATCACAGGGCCCCGCTCCGGTTAAGCTGGGCTTTGGCGAGTAGGTGTCTTTAGCAGTGGGAGGAAACCGGAGAACCCGGAGAAAACCCACGAGGTTGGACAAGCGACCCCACTCCTTTCCACATACAACCGAGGAATCGAAACCACTTCAGTTGACTCAATGATAGACCTTATGATACAGCGCGCACGTGCTAACCATTCGGCCATCGAACCCCGGTCGGTTGTCTAAGAGGACACTGTCAGAGATTTTATGTTAACACTCTAAACCTTAAGCGGGTCCCTAATTTGAACACCGGACTGATTTCGTTTTTGATCGGGGTTTGGGGTATTTAAAATTACATCCTATATTTCGAGTTTTTACCAAATAAATTTTTAAAAAATAAATAGTTTTTTAGGTTTTTTTGACACACGCCACAATATATGCATTCTCAGACGCCCCTCTTTCTAAAGACAAAAGAACCGTAGATACGACCTTTGCTCTAGTTACAATGTTAGCCTTTATTGAAATATTAAATATAGCCTACAACTTGGCGCCACAAGTTTAGAAGAGGGATAAAAATAAGTTATATTGGATAAGTATTTCATGAACGTGGATTTCTATTCTTGTTGTTATTCGATTTAGCTGTTTAGTTCAATGGACTGTTTTTAGGGATTGTTTGTACCAATATTATATCAATATAAAAACAATTACGAAGCTTTAAAAATTAATGAGCTAAAGGTATGGGGCGCCGTTTGTAAAATAATTATTTAATTTTTTTTATAGCAAAAAACATTAGATTTAACTCCGAATACATATATTTAGATAAATATTAGAACAAAAATGTCATATATGTAAATATCAAAAAATATTGTAGCTAAAAGTCGAGTTTTTGGTCTATGAAAAACTTTAAATGTTATATCTTGATTTCACATCGCTTAGTTAAATATATAGCTAAATGTGCTGTTTTTCGTAGGTATAAATGCTAAATAAACATTTAGCTAAATATATATAAACATTTAGCTAAATATATAAACATTTAGCTAAATATATAAACATTTAACTAAATATATAAACATTTAACTAAATATATAAACATTTAACTAAATATATATATTTAGTTATATATATAAACAGTTAACTAAATATATGAATATCATGCTAAATATATATGTTTAGCTAAATGTATAAATATTTAACTAAATATATATTTGTGGTCCCGCCAATATTTCTATTATCGTAAGCGACACAAAAAACTGCGCATAAAATGATGACGTGTACCCAACACGTGAGACTTGGCACAATAGGCCTACTAGCAATTAGAAATGGAAGCTGACCACGAACTTGTAACCCGAATCACGGGTGTAAGAACTAAGCTGAGCGTTCAGGTACCAGATAGTACTGTGTTGTGCAGTCAATGGAAAGTTGTACACTACGTCATCGTTTAGTGTGAAGTCGCTTACAACAATAATTATTTTACAAACGGCGTGGTACGGTTGCGCTTTGTAAATTTAACTATATGCTTAGCTAAATATATAATTATTTAGCTAAATATATAATTATTTAGTTAAATATATAATTATTTAGTTAAATATATAAATATTTAGCTAAATATATATTATTTAGTAAATATATAAATGTTTAACTAAATATTTTAACATTTAACTAAATATTTTAACATTTAACTAAATATATATTTTGCTAAATGTTTAAACATTTAACTAAATATTTAGCTAAATATTTATATATCATCAAATCTCTTGTTTTGGTCTTAATATTCAATGCTAAATGTTAAATATGAAAATAGAGACAAATCAAGAAATATTTATATATATTATGTTAAATATTGAGTTTTTGTTGTATTTTTAGTTTAAATATTAAAAGTGAAAAATTTGCACAAAAGTCGAGATATAACTATATATATAAATTTAAATTAAATCTAGTGTTTTTTGCTATAGATAAAGCTAAATAATTAATTTACAAACGGCGCCCCATATAAAGGAGGGTGGTATTTTGTCTGTGATATCACTTTCGATGGAAGCGGATGTTAAGCCCTATGAACGAACTAGCGAACATATAGTATTCTATTAGACTTACAGTTTCATCAAGGGACTCCAATTTCATTAAATCCCCACCAAGCTTCTGACAGGTTTGTCTCGCGACTATCCATGTCGACTTCGGTTTACTGTAAAATTTATAACATTTATGTCCGGCTCTTGTCCATTCACCACAACCCAGATCAGACGTGTCTGTCACTACAAGAAATGGTGAGTGTTATTTTTAATTTACAATTTTTTTTGTTTGTGTTTTGTCATACTTATATCGTCGTAACGGATCTAAAATTAATCAAGCAGTAGTAAGAAGTTGTATTTTAATCCCTCCAAGTGCCTGTGGCGTATGCCTCTTCTTTGATATAAAATTTCTTGCAATCTCATAGAATAAACCTACGTGGCCAATGAAATCACCAAGGGCAGATAATTTAAATTCGTGAATACCCCATGGATGAACCAATGGGAGTATACAGAACGACGTCACTGGGGATACCGAGGATGCTTAAAATTGGGCTTTCCTTTTTTTTTACATTTTATTTATTTTTTTATTTTTTTTTTGTTGACATTTTTGAAAAAACAAACTGCAATAATTACAATGACTGGACCTCACAACCAGCCACTGAACATATGTCTTGGGTGGTTTGGAAAGACTTGTTCAAGTTTATCAGGAAATACAATTAGTTTTAGAAATGTTCTGAAAGCCATTAGAAATGAAATGATATGAAATGGGAATTAGCGTCTGACTGTTCTGTCCATTAGATGTTAGCCAAGTAAATGAAAACACAAGGTTTTAGACTGATTTTAGTTTGAAAAGTTTGGGTGGGGGTTCGGAATTCATCATGGAATATAATTAGTTTCAGAGGTATTCGCAAAATTCTAAGTATTTCGAACGTTAGATGTAGAGCAGAACCAGGTTTCATAAGATGTTCCGATGTTCAGAATAATCAAAGGGGCCGTATATATTAGGAAGTGGGTTTTTTAAGTTATGTTTTCATGTTTTGTGGACCAACACACAATAAGATATTTAAAGGGCGTATGGCTCTATTCTCCGGAACCTTAAAGTAGACGACAATAGATCTAAAAGCACATATTGTACATAAAATAGGAATATATATTAAGTGATTAATTTCAATTTTTTTTTTTTAAAAATGTATTATAATTTCTAATGAATTATGTTCGTGGAAATGCGTGAACTGTCCAAATTGAACGACATTTATATAAGTCTCCATTCTATACGTTTGGGTATCATTATTTTGTCGCTTGTGAATCACCAATTACTAATTACCTCTGCATTGTCTTGTAGGATATCGAAAGCAAATAATACACGAATCGTGTACTGATTATAAAATGTTCATTGTGTGATAAATATTTGATATTATAGGATCCCATATTTTCACAGCACATAACAACATCAATATTGATTGAACTGGGTCAGTATTGCATTCTAATGCGTGTATTTAATTTCAAATATTATGAAAAATAATGAGTTTAGTTTCTTTGACATTATTTTCCGGACCCTCATGGTTGTATAGATTGGCGAGTTTCTGTGTATAACTGGTTGAGAGCATTTAAATTAATTATCAGATTATCGGTTGGCTTTGTGTCAATAAACAAGATTGACCAATTAGCCTTTAGTAGTGGCTAATAGTACTTAAACAAAAGTCTTACTGAAATCCTGTGGTTTTCTACAAACAAAATTACGTGCGGAGTTACAGTTTCTATCAGCGAATGTCCCTTCTTTTGTTATAACTGCACAGTGCTCTTCACCAGCAAGGTGATTTGGTTCCTGCGTCCATTTTCTACAAAAAAGAAATTACCTTTAATGATAATGATATGAAAATGTATCCCACGTCACATAATGGCAAGCTCCAAGCATTGGCCACATACTAAGTGACACAACACACAAACTGTCTAGTCGTTCGGATGACACGAAAAACTTAGATCCCGTGTACATATTGACATGCACGTAAAAGAACCATTGACATTTGGAATTCGAAAGTTGCCAATGCAGACTGAATTTTACAAACATTACGCAGGAGTTCCTTTTTCAAGTACATTGGCGTAAAAGGACCCCTGACAGGTGGAATTCGAAATAAGAATAGGCCGTAGCTCCACTGTCCGGGCAAAATTTCTTTAGGCCTGAAATGTTATATAAATTATTAATTAGACATTAATTAACTTATCCAAACCATAATCCACTCATGATGTCATCTTATTTGTCGGATTTTCACTGAATTGGAATTCAATCTGCAGGCTCAACGCTCATTGATGGTTAAATCCAAAAAAGGATTATCGAGACTATGTTTTTATCGTACCGCCTTTAGTAATGATGACCGAGGCTAGGCTTAAAATTCAAAAGCGAATATCTCGGTACATAGTGGAGCAATATTCATAATTCTCTATTTACGTTATCTATTTTTAACTATTATAGCAAGAACACCCAACACTTTATCTAATCTTCCATAATGTATCTTTAAGCAGAAAGTTGACAGAACCGACACATTTTGTTTTACTTGAATTACTTGATATGGACCTCTGGAATTATGGTAGGCTATACATGACAGTTGGCATTGATAGTAAAAGTTTCATCTGTTTTGATTTCAATGAAAAGATGTTTTAAAACGATTCATGCAACCGGAACTAAGTAGATGACGTAATTGTTTAAAATGGGGAAACTTACACTAAAGAAGGATCAAAAGCTACTTTCGAATCCCAAGCCCACTTTCCTTCCTGGGCGATATCATTTAAACCAGTCCAGAATAACGTTGTTGTTTTCTGCCATTGAGGTAACGACTTACTCAGAAAATCCTGAAAATAGGTAAACAGATTTACATTATCTTTATTTTTAGAGCCGAGTTCTGTGATTAATATAATAAAATATATATTACTAATGCGACAAAAGTGCGGGCAAATTCCGCGAATATTACAAGACAAAGAAGTATTATTGTACCCGATTTTTACCTTGCAAACGTACTCAAGTTACTGGCGTTCTTACGACAATTTAGAGTCAAAGTTTCTCAAAGAGACTACATCGTATAAAGTCACCCAATACTATGCCCCAATCTCGATCCGGTACTGCACTAGTGCAAGTTGCGCGTTTGGACCAAACAGAAATGCGGACAGAAAATACCACCTGGTTCAGATATAAGACTATACGAGTTAACATGATACTCTTTTACTTCATCGGGCTAAAAAAATGGTATAATGAATTTAAGATATATACTTACGGTGTCTCCCTCAACGTCAAATGTTAGCAAATGAGTGTAAACAGAAGCATCACCAAAAAAATTTATTCCAGAACAATTCTTTTTTGCTTGCGCCCATGTTGCCACCTGAGATGGATCTGAACTATTGCTGACGTAGAAACAATCTTGCTGCCCTTGCAACCAGAATGGGGGACAACCGACTGTAAATAAAAATAAATATTTTTAGAATTGTTGGTGGCAATTGAACAACTTAATGGTCATTTTTGCATGTGACTTAGGGTGGTTGATCGACCATGGTACCGATTTTGGACGACTTTGGTGTGATTGAACAAATTTATTATGATGATGCAGGCAACGGAAGACACTAGGATGTGATAGTAGAAATTGAAAAATCTTTTAGGCTGGGTTACAAATAAATTCACTCTGTCGTGTCGAAAGTGGAAGACTTCCGGATAGTTGTATTGAAAATGGATTCTGCTTCTAGAATTCAAAGACTTTGGGATATTAAATGTGGACACCATTAGCTTAAGGTTGTATTGAAACATTTGTCACGCAGAAAGACTTGCCCAAAGTTAATACTTACCATCATCTTTATAATCGGATTCACAAATATATGGGAATTTAACTGAACATTTTTGATCACTAAACGTTGCCTGAATGTTGATGGCACCACAATCTTCATCGTCACTATTGTCGGGTTCTGTGTCCCATTTTCTAAAAATAAAACCAATGTACGTTTATGATAACGTTCAAAACCGAAACCCAATATAACAATATAATACTGTTTCTACAGCAAAATGCGCTCACAGTGATAAAATTGAGGGGAGTGAACCCAATATGTGTAAGAATGCCTGTCCGTGGTCGGATTTAGTGATGTTTAATACTCATATTACCTTTCAGTCACACGTGAAAGAGATACTATGATAGATCCACGAAAAATATCCATGAATACGAGATCATATCAGGTGATTGAACACCATAATATAACACCGTTATATTATGTGCAATCTTACAATCAGTCACGGATTAAAAGGGATGGGTGTGCTGTAGCCAGGGACTCCAATATTAAAGGGCCCTCAAATTAGCGGTAATTGTTTTATATAAAGCATATAATTTATGAGATTATGATTTTATTTATTATGTTGTATATATTTGTGCCAAGTAAATGGACAATGACCAGATTATGTCCCATTGTACTGTTGATGCAAGGGTCCCAGTGACATTTTAAGCCAGCCCCCCCCCCCCCCCCATGCAAGATTAATCCGACCCTGCTTACAGAAGATATACAGTAATGGTACGTATGACAGGCACTACCTCAACATAAGACTGGATATGAGCACAACAGAACTCTATCGGATGACGGCAAGGTGAACCCCGGTATATATAGGGGTTGTGATTTCTGTATTGCCTACTTACATAACGTCGTCAGACGGATATTCATCACTTTCCCATAACCATGTTCCAGTTCCACCGTCCCCGTCAGGCTGCAGTTCATTTAACGATGTCCAATATTCATAACTGGGATATCCTTGAAATGTTGTCTTAAGGAAATTCTGAAATATGATTCGGACCATGTTTATCCACTGTCAAATAATACTCTTCATACAATACAAAGAAAAGTTTAACAAAAGTTCACTAGCTTTGTGAAGTTATCAAATCAGATGTTCAGGAGTTGTATAGGGTGTTCTAGAAAGTGCGTGTTTGGGCCTGGAATTCATGTGCCGAAGCAAGCACAAATATAACCCAAGGCCACAAGCATAGTTATTTATGGGTGATAACAGAAAATATCAGCTAAGTTCAGCGAAACTTCATTACCTTTGTGAAGTCCTCAAATCAGATATTTTGGCACTGTGTCAGGTGGTCTAGAAAGTGTGTGCCATACACGCCATATATGGAACTAGAGTTTGGAATTAGATATAACCCAAGGTCACAAGCAAAGCTACCCGGATGATAAACAAAAACATCCATACTGGTATCTGATGTTCCGGCGTAAAGAGTAAGTGTAGTTTGTCGGGTAAAAATCAAATGGAAAAGAAATCTCACCAACTCATCGACCGACTCAATCCTCAGTAACTGTGACTGTTTAACTTCGCATTCGTCAATAGCATGACCCCATGTTCTGTTGTCTCCGTTGTTAAAGTAATAACAATATATATCATTAGCTACCCAACCATCATCACAAGCTGGTGTTACATCTCCAGATACTTTATATACAGTTACATATACTGAACATAAATAAATAAAACAAAATAGTAACCATAAAATAGAACGGTTTAACTATTGTCTAGACAACAAAATATTTCGGCTATTTTGAGACTAACATATTGTCGTTATTTCTATGATTACGTGTGCAATTCGAGGAAGAAACACTCGGTCTGACTGTAGCTTGTTCAGCTAGTCTTAAGGTCCCATTTGCCAAGAGACCTTTGGAATGCTTCAATGAATTGTCCCTGGACAATGTGCCAATACGATACCCCCACCCACCAAAATTACAGTCTTCTGAATGCAACGGATCAAAGATTTAACTTGTAATATTTGTTTTTGTGAAATTTCTGACTACTAATAAAAGCTACACGAAAACGGAATATTATGTGTATCTAATCTGCATTCTCTTCTTGAATGAATGAACTGGGACAAAACTAAACCAACTATTTAAATCTGTTATGAACTAACAAAACGGCTTCCTTTAAATCTAAGGTTGTTTTTAGCTTTCTGTACATATCTGAAGATAACGGGCAAGTTTGTAGCTTCGCGGGTTTATTTATACAACCATAGCAACCCATAAGTCGAGCCTATTTCTGTTAGTACTTAGTGAAAAATTTGATAATTGCGTTTCAAATACTTTAATTAAGACGTATGCAATAGGAGTTAGTATTGGTGAAATACACAGTAATTGTCCATTAAAGCCCCAGTGCCATTATTGACCTACATGCAGTGCCGGATATACCTTCAAGCTTGGCAGGCTAAAGCCTATAGGAACTGAAGACCTTGGGGGCCTCCGGCAAAGGTGTATAGTATTTTTGACACTTTCGTGAGCTTTTCACCATCCCAGGCTTTGCTCGGTTGTGTTTCATCTGCCTGTTATCTTGAGGCTTGGGGAGTGGGTGGGGAAACATACGTGGCATAACCTAGTACCTCTTTTCATCTAAATCCAGTACTGCCTACTCCTACTTGGCATGTAAATGAGCCTCAAAGCCGAATATTTGTTTTTAAGGAAACGTAATATAATCAGTAAAAAGTATTAATTATACTTACCACAAACAATAAATAAATATTTTTTGAAACCTCCCATCTCATGGGCTGCTATAACTATGGTGAACAAGAGATATGAAGATAGACAGATAGCATGATACACATTAATGTAGATAAGACAGATATCTAACTCAGACCTTTGGTATTATTATCTTATGATAACATTTATTATGTTTTTGAAATATAAAATACACTGAAAAAAAACTTGTGTTGAAAGAACACAAACTTGTGTTAAATTCAACACAAGTTAGGTGTCTCTATTTAACAACACAAACTTGTGTTAAAACAACACAAAACTTGTGTTAAATGTTGAAACAACACAAAACTTGTGTTAAAATGTATCAAACAACACAAAACTTGTGTTAAAATGTATCAAACAACACAAAACTTGTGTTGAAACTTGTGTGAAATCTACACAATACTTGTGTTGAAACTTGTGTTGAAATTTCTGAAACTTGTGTTGAAATTTCTGAAACTTGTGTTGAAATTTCTGAAACTTGTGTGGTTTCATACAAACTTGTGTATAACCATCATCAAAAACTTGTGTTGTATTTTTCCCCAATTTATATCCAGCATAGCAACCTTTCTATGCAGGACCCCTCTCTTTGCTCTGTTAGACCTGTAAAGTTTGATAAAAGAAGGAAACAAAAAAAATTTTTGTAAGATTATTATTTATTCATAAAATCATAGGAAAAAGTAAATTAATACATCAAAACTAAATAGATATTTGAAATGTTAACAGAAAAACAGAGACTTCAATTCTAATACAAATTATGTTGTGTTATATATAATGACCCCTCCCCCCCCCCCCCCCACTTTACCCATCACAAAATATAAAATAGCTATTTAAATTGTTCTTTACCCCAAAACAAGAACTGAGAATATAAAGATATGTACACAGTATCCCTACCCCATACCCCAAAATATATAATTCAAATATATCTAAATTTAATAACATCCAAACTAAGCACTAATAAGATTAATTATGCACTAAATTGAAACAATTTCAAAAACTGAAAAATGCTACAAAATCACACTACAAGTGATTTGTGAGGCATCTAGAAATAACTAGCATACACAGAAAACTAACAAAAGAAAATTGCTCTATTTTGCAGGAGTAATAAAATGATGTAGAGCCTTTTCCTCATTAAAAAAAACCCAAACAAAATGAATATTTTATAAATAAAAGAAGCAAAGCATCAAGATTACAGGATTGAAATAAAAAAATATCATATGTACAAAAGATTTATATACAATCACAAGTCATAAGCCACAGTGGTTCAGTGAGCATAAGGCGTTGGCCGCGAAATTTCAACTGGATTTTCCGGCATAGTTCCCACTTTTCAGTGTTGGATATGGCAAGGGATAATTGGGTACAAGCCCAGAATCAAAAGAGAGAGAGACAGAGAGAAATGGGGTTTAACATCTACTCGACACAAACTAGATCATTTTGGGATTAACATATGGTTTAATTTTATTTCAATAATTCGCTAGCGCGTAGGGGTCTTTAGCAGTGGGAGGAAACCGGAGGTCCCGGAGAAAACCCACAAGATTGGACAGGCGACCCTACTCCTTGTCTACAACCGGGGATTCGAAACCATGCCAGTTGACTCAATGACAGGAGGCCGTATGATACAGCATGCACGTGCTAACCAATCGGCCATCCACCCCCACCCCCCAGAATTGAAACCAACCCAACTGCGTACACTTTGAAGAACCCTTGAAAATTGAATTATTTGAATCAATGACAGACCTTCTGATCAAATGTGTGCGTGTTAACCATTCGGCCCCCCTGGGTACCCTTTAAAGAACCCTTGACAGTTGAAATATTTGATATAAGGGTAGGGTAGAATCACTCTAAAAACACAGAAAAGCAGGATATTAAAACGTATTTCATTTCATAAGCAAGGGAAAGTCACCTTAATGTAGGTCAAGGTTTTTTGTAATTCTGGGTGTATTTGATCTACATTTGGTTTCTAGTAATGCCTATTAAATACTTTATGATTTCCGACCAAATTCTAAGTGATTTATATGTCAGTTTACTTGCTATATTATACATACATATTTGAAGAGAATTAAAACCTAATTGTGTTTTGGAAGAAAATTTAACATTAATAACAAAAAATAAATATTTAAAAATTGGGTCAAATGCATTCTTTCCCAGAAGTATAAAATAAATTGATGCTTGGGTTCTCTTGTTGTTATCATACACCAAATACTCTTTCAAGGGTGTTCCAGCCTAAAAAATAAAAAGTAGGCAATAAGAATACAATGTTTAAATAAACAATTTATTTTGCCACATCGAGACTGAGTCTCTATTTGGTTTCAACTTTGCGTAACACTTATTGTGTCTTGTCCACTTAAAGACCCAGGCAGATTATTATGCTCAAATCAAATGGGTTAAAAGTCAGAAAAATGAAATGAAATGGGGTTTAACGTCCTACTGTTCTGCTCCTATACTGGGCTAATAATGACGGGCATATGCCACACAGTGTGCTATGAGGGAATTTTTGCCCGGGCAGCGGCACTATCATCTATTCTTATATCGAATTCCAACTGCCAGGGGATCTTTTACGTGCATTCCAATATTCGTCTCATCGGAAGGACTAGACAGCTGTCATTGTCAGGCCAAGTCAGAAAAAAGTCTTGAGATTTGGGACTGAAGTCTCATAATAGGTCAACTATTCACCCGGTTCATACATGTATTGTCTGCAAATCCAGATTCCCTACTACATCATTGGCAGCACCTATTTACTTGGCAATGTCTAATTATTTTTGGACCCATTCTTATTTTATTTCCATTGACAACAAATTGGATATTACCCTTTAAAATCTATTGAAATCTATTTGAAAAGTAAAATATTGTCCATCATTTTTTTACTGCTATTTACTGTAATGGATGTGATTGGCAAAAATCAAGCATGCCAAGTACTTGAAATAGCTGAGTCCTAGGCATTGCCCCAAGAAGAATAACTAGATTACCAAGCAAGTGTATAGAACTAGTTGATGATTAAAAATACAAATATGTATGTTACTTACATTTTACCTGATTATCAAGCTCTGTGAGAAAAAGTTTCCATAATATGAATAGCCATTTTCAACTGTCTTGATCTTTCTGATGTAGTTAACGGAGAAAAAAAACATACTATGTATTAGTTGACTTAAATCGACTCGACAGTTAAAAGATGAAAGTTTTAATTTAATTACATTGTATTGTAATGTGTTGGTTTGCTTTGTCACAGATGAGACAAAATGAAAAAAATGAAATGGAATGGGGTTCGGCGTCCTACTGTTCAGCTCCGACTGGGCTAATGAGGTTGGGCATATGCCATACAGTGTGCTATGAGAGAAATTTTGCCGGGTACCGTGACCCTAAGGCCTACTCTTGTATCAAATTCTAACTGCCAGGGGCTATTTTACATGCACGCCAATGTGTACACAGGACCACGTTTTTTTGTTCAATCTGAACGACTAGACAGCTGTCCTTGTAAGGCCCTCCGTTCTGCATTGTCTTACTGCAAACCCGCGACCTTAAAATATGCGAACCAGTGTCTAACCCACTTGGTCACCGTAGGTCCCCACAGATGAGATAGTCATATCTACATGTATCTGGACATAAGTAAGATTCTGTCTGTGCACATACATGTACTTCACAGTTTTACTATACTAAACTGAATTTTAAATTCCAAATAATAAAATGAAATTAAGGTTTATGTCACATCAGCTCCAACCGGGCTATATTGTGCCAAACACATTATGGTGAGATTCTAAAATACCACAACAACAATCTTTTCTATTAGAATTGAACACTCACCCTCAAAAAACAACTATGAGAAATCATAGGTGCTCAAATCACCATTTCTTCAGCTCTTTTTTTTCCCATATTTGGGTTTTTTGACTTATTTTATTATATGATCTTTGATTTGCTATGGCATCTAATATGGAAACTGAAAAATATAAATATGTGACATGTAATTAACTGTTTAAGATACCTTACCATATACAAACTGTGTGATATCTAAAACCATTTGAATCCCGAAGATCTTACCGAAGCCGTGAAAATCTGTTTTAATAACCCTTGTTTGTCATGTGACTGGACTGTCACAGTAATTAGAAGAGAGCCATGTGGCTTAGTGTGTAAGGCACTGGCTTGCTACCCGAGAGTTTGTAGGTTTGCTCCCAGTGTTGACCGAGAAAGCTCATTTGGATTTTTTAGCATGGATTCCCTGTCTAGTCGTCATGGTGGCTAAGTGGGTAAGACGCTGGCTCGCTAGCCTGGAGGTAGGGTGTTCGATCCCTGCATTGGCCGAGAAAGTTCACCCAGATTTTCCGGCGTGGTTCCCCCTTGTCAGTGATGCAGGATGGAGGGCCTGACAAGGACAGTTGTCTAGTCATTCGGATGATACGAAAAAACGAGGTCCCGTGTACACGTTGGCGTCCACGTAAAAGATCCCTTGACAGTTGGAATTCGATACACCGCAGTGCCGCTGTCCGGGCAAAATTTCCCTCATAGCACACTGTGTGGTGTATGCCTGTCTTCATTAGCCCAGTTCGGAGCAAAATAGTAGGACGTTAAACCCCATTTCATTTCTAGTAGTTTCAATGGAACACAAAACCTGAGGTCCAATTGGCGTGCATTTAAGCCGATAGTATGGTAGTTGGAATTTGTTGGCTGTAGCACCCGTGTCACAGTTCGACTGCTAGTTTGTGATACCCACTCGATATAAATGAGTGGTGATTGGCTAATGAATTCTAAAATCAGACGAATGCTTCGGCGAAGCAGACAGCAGGACACACCACTCAAATACAATTCGACCAAATATATTAAACATGTTTGATTCGGGCGTATGTCAGTGGATAAACTAGGTGAAGTTTAGCGCCAATTGATTCAGCCGAATCCTTTGGCTAGTTTATCCAGTACTGACGATTTAAGTTTGTACTTTCTTTATATGCAAATATAACATTTGAAAGAGGCTGTAGGCCTACTTTCTTTATATGCAAATATCTTATTTGAAATAGGCCATTATTATGTGATTCCCCACTTGAATGTGACTAGGAATAAGGTCGCCTGTCCAGCCTTGTGGGTTTTCTCCGGGTCCTCCGGTTTCCTCCCTTTGCTAAATACCCCTAGGGTGTATTCGAAACAGTGTTCCGGTGCAGAGAACGGACGGAGAATGGGTTCTTGTCGGACTTGAGCAGTCTGGAATGCGTTCACGAACACGTTCCCGTTCTCAAATCCCACACTACCTCATAGCTGGTGTGAGGGAGAACAAACATGGTCGACGCATCGATAACTGCTGAGAAAACAGCATCATGGGTGCATTTATTAATTTAAAAGTTTAATACCGTTCGAAAATTGGATGTAGTATGTGGCCAGTATAACATCAAATAAGTTAGGTTGCCAGGCAACGAAACATATGCCCACAGCAGTTTAATCGTTTGCTCAGTCAACAGGGATTGTCGCATATTCATTCTTTTGTAGGTAATGTGGGCATTTACAAGAAAAGATTATAATTTTTGTCGTTTGTGGGTTTACAAAGGTTCTACAAACTGAAACAAGGGCCTTAATTGTTGAAATTTGACAGATTTTTTTGTTTTGTGTTTTACTAATTTAAATAATGCATACAAATCGGATGATAATTTTGTTGTCCGCGCGTTCACAAGGTTCCAAAAAGTGAAACAAGGGCCACAACTCTAGACATAATTCACGGAAATCGCAGAAATTTAATAGACGTCTTCGTTTTACTAATTTAAAAGATGCAAATGAATTTCACAAAGTGAAACAAGGGCCATAACTCCAGAAGAAACTAACGGAAATTATTGAAATTAAATAGGATTCATCTCATTAAAATAAACAACATATCAATTTCAAAATAATCAGGTCTGTAGACGACGGACAACCTACGGACGAGGGCGATGACAATATGCGACCACATTTCCATGTGGTCGTATCAAAAGGTGATGTAATCGTCATCCAAAGAATTGAAAAGGAGTAAAATGGAGTCATAATTTATCATAAGTATGCCTAATAGCGAAGTCAATACCAAACAAGTTATCGTAACAGATTGTATAAATTTAATTCATCTTGTTACCATGGATACCGTTCTCTCATGTTCGAGACTCATGAAAGTGTTTTCATGTTCTTCAGCCGTTCTCGAACCTGCGCGAACACTGTTTCTAATACACTCCTACGGTACGCGCAAGCAAATCATTCAAATAAAATTGAACAATATTAGCCTCAAAATTACCTAGCGCCAGTAAGTATAAAGGATCTATCCGACAAACACTAACAACAACTCTAGGTTTATGCAGAATTAATATAACACAACATACACAGATGGCAATAGAATGAGACAGTGTTCAGGAAAAGGGCGGAAACGGAAGAAGACTACCCGTCCTACTTGATTCTAGGACATAAAGCATGGGCCTACTTGATTCGACCTTGTCTGCGATATCACCTCGGTGGAAGCGGACGTAAAATACAACTAACCCATCATTGATTCGACCAATTTAATACAAGGAAATGAATGGCATAGTTTGTGTCAAGTGAATTTAGTGAATTTTAAACCCCATTTACTCGCCCTCTCTCTACAGAGATAAATACTTTTCCTGTTACATACAATAACAATTATTGGCCATTATTTAAAAAATATATTAAAAGGAAATGAAATTCTGTTACCTGTTTTTCTTTGTGTAGTACATATGCTAACATCAATGACTGGAAAAAAAATAACGAAACTGTAGAGAAACTTCTGAATCATTGAAAGTCTAATTATTATATAGGCCTACACATTGATGACATTGATATAAAAAAAAGGCTGATTTGTTTGTTGTTGTTTTTTTCTTTTACAGAAATATTAAGATTACATTTCAAATAAACAACTAACACAAAAGTTAGTATCTAGCTATAGTCCATGTCTGGATATACATTTCTCCTTTTTTTTTGGCCCGAACGTCTATAAAAATCAAAGATGGCGGCCAATAATTGCAACCGGGCATTACTATAAAATCAAGACAGATTCTTACCTGCTGGTCCTAGTCGGGGGTTTCTTGCAATTATAAGTATTTGAACAACGGTGTAGCGCCGATTAGCTAATACCCAGCGGGCACAGAACGTTGTGACAACGTTTTTCAGAGGTTGTATCACAACGTCTGAAATAAGTCAGCTGTAGGTTGTTTTGCAACAAACTCTTACGTTGTGACAACGTTGTACGGACGTCAAAGCAACATTGTCACAACGTTGTGTGGTGGTTGACGAAAAGTTGTGTGGTGGTTGACGAAAAGTTGTGACAACGTTGTACGGACGTCAAAGCAACATTGTCACAACGTTGTGTGGTGGTTGACGAAAAGTTGTGACAACGTTGTACGGACGTCAAAGCAACATTGTCACAACGTTGTGTGGTGGTTGACGAAAAGTTGTGACAACGTTGTACGGACGTTCAAGCAGCATTGTCACAACATTGTGTGGTGGTTGACGAAAAGTTGTCACGACGTCAGAATTTGTTGTTTTGCAACGTTGTGTGGTGGTTGGCGAAAAGTTGTCACGACGTCAGAATTTGTTGTTTTGAGGTTGTATAAAACCCAGTATAAGCCCCATCCGAACTCCCTACAGTTCTGCCCCTACTGGACTAACGAAGACGGGAATAGGCGGCCGGGCAGAATGGAAGTTAAATTAGGTGTGTGTGCGGGGAAGGGGGGGGGGCTTAAATGCCCGACAGATTTGGGCCACGGTTTTGACATAGTGAAACGATACGCGAAGTTTCAACACTCTCACTCAATTAGAATCAAAGTTATTGTGTCCCATCACAACCAATCTAATTGCTTCTTTCTGAATAAAATCAGTATCAATTAATAGGACAGTACGTAGTTTCAAAACATTCAATTCAAACGATTATATTACAGACAATATTAATGCTAGAGTCATATAACTTTGCAGTAATGGGTAAAGGTAATAGAATCTGATCATTAAATTTTAAGTAATGGTCATGTAATGAGTAATGGAAGATTTCAAAAGTAATGAGTAATGGAAATGTAATTAATTACATTCCGAAAATCATGTAATGGTCAATTACATTTCAATTACATTTAATGGCGCATTCTTTGAATGGCATTTAGTAATTAGAACATAATCAAATAACGCACTTTTATGGAATAACAATTACTATGGTTTATTTCACTGCAACGTTTCAACAAAATTTCACAAGTCGTTTTCAAGCATATATACACAAATAAATAAAATGAGAAAGATATGAATATATATATAAACATCAGTGCGAACTATCCAATGGTATGCATGTCTTTAAATCTGATTGATTAAATGCTAAATTAGCACTAATCTTTAAATAGTAATAAAATGTAATTATTTACTTTCAATGTAATGGGTAATGAATGATATTGCTAAAAATGAGAAAGTAATTTTAATGCAATTGGTACTGTAATAATAATAATAATTTATTATTTATAATGCGCCTATTACCAATATAAAACACTCAATGCTCAATGGCGCAGTTAACATTTTGTGGACATCACACATAGAAAATAAAATAAAATTAAATGGATGATAAAAGAACTTAAAAAGGCTTACAAAGATTATAATAAAATATGACATGTAATAAACAAATTTAAACTGTACATGTACTTAATTGGTCCCTCTTCTGTCCGGCTCATATTTTAGATGAGCCGAAACTGCTGTTATTATCTCGGCTTCATTGCAGCTCGGCTGACTGATCATTACACTATCTGAAGAATACAAAAAACTGTATATTTACTCTGTCAAATTTTGTAAATTATATAATTCAGTCCGATCAAAAAGGTGGTCCTGAAGCTGTAACAGATAATTCTGCATCCCATGAATTATGGACCAAAGGTGGCTTATTGGGTAAAACGCTGGCTCGCTTGTCTGAAGGTCGCATTTTCGATCCCTACATTTGCCGAGAAAGTTCAGTAGGCCTGACAAGGACAACTGTTAGTCGTTTGGATGGTATGAAAAACCGAGGCCTCGTGTACACATTGACGTGCAAGTAAAAGATCTCTTGGCAGTTGGAATTCGATATAAGAGTAGGCCATAGTGCCGCTGCCCGGGCAAATTTTTCCTTCATTGCACGCGGTATAGCGCATGCCCATCTTCATTAGCCTAGTCTGAGCAGAACAGTAGGACGTTAAACCCCATATGAATTATATTATATATGACCCAATAACACATTCTATATGAGACATCGCTTGTGTTATTACTTTCATATTCTCCATAAATTTGTACGTGTAAGAAAGGCATGGGTGTTAAATTACAAAAAAGATAGGTTGCCAGGCAACGAAACATACGCCCACAGCAGCTAAATCGTCCGGGCGGTCAACAAGAGTTGTCGCATATTTTTACTTTTTTCGGTAATGAAACATTTATAATACACTAAAATCTGATTAAGAGCAACAACTCAGAAAACCATTAGAATTTGTTTGGTTTTTATAAAGTTCTGCCCCATGCTAACGTTTTGTATACAAAACTTTTAATACTGTATCATGGATTTAGCTGTCCAAGTCATAAAGATAGGTTGCCAGGCAACGAAACATACGCCCACAGTAGCTAAATCGTCCAGGCAGTCAACAACAGTTGTCACATATTTTTACTTTTTTGTCCCCCGCCTTTCGAAGAAAGCAGGGGACTATTAAAATGGGTTCGTCCGTCTGTCTGTCTGTCTGTCCGTCTGTCTGTCCGTCACACTTTTTGGGACACAATAACTCTCTTCCTAATTGAGCTAGAATGTCCAAACTTGGTGTATGTGTTTATTAGGTCAATGCCTTGATGGAGTTCGAAGATGAGCATTTTCCGCTTAGGGTAAGCAGAGATAAGCAATTTGATTGGTTGATGCTTTGGGACACGATAACTCTCTTCCTAATTGGGCTAGAATGTTCAAACTTGGTGTATGTGTTGATTAGGTCAATGCCTTGATGGAGTTCGAAGATGAGCATTTTCCGCTTAGGGTAAGCAGAGATAAGCAATTTGATTGGTTGATGCTTTGGGACACGATAACTTTTAATTGAGCTAGAATGTTCAAACTTGGTGTATGTGTTTATTAGGTCAATGCCTTGATGGAGTTCGAAGATGAGCATTTTCCGCTTAGGGTAAGCAGAGATAAGCAATTTGATTGGTTGATACTTTGGGGCACGATAACTCTCTTCCTAATTGAGCTAGAATGTTCAAACTTGGTGTATGTGTTCATTAGGTCAATGCCTTGATGGAGTTCGAAGATGAGCATTTTCCGCTTAGGGTAAGCAGAGATAAGCAATTTGATTGGTTGATGCTTTGGGACACGATAACTTTAGTTCTAATTAAGTGAGATTGATGAAACTTGGTGTATAGTTTCATTACAGTAATACCTTGACTAAGTTTGATAATGAGCATTTTCTGCTCAGGGTAAGCAGAGCGATACGCAATTTGATTTTTATATGTGTCCTCTAATTATTTTCCTATTTCGGCGGGGGACATCAGCCTCACTGTTGGCTTGTTCGGTAATGAAACATTTATAATACACTAAAATCTGATTAAGAGCAACAACTCAGAAAACCATTAGAATTTGTTAGGTTTTTATAAAGTTCTGCCCCATGCTAACGTTTTGTATACAAAACTTTTAATACTGTATCATGGATTTAGCTGTTTCAAGTCATAAAAATTCATTGAAAATCAATATACTTGTTCGCCTCAAGATCTTAAACTCTGTGTATCAATCTGGAGTCAATCGGATATTAACTTTGGCCTCTAGAGCGTCCCCAAGATTTTTCAAAGTGATCAAGGGCCATAACTTTGGCAGTAATTATCAGAAATCTTTGAAAATCAATAGGATTCTTCGCCTCGAGACCTCAAACACTGTGTATAAATTTAAAGTCAATGAGATTAACTTTAGCCTTTAGAGCATCCACAAGGTTTTTTGAAGTGATCAAGGGCCATAACTCTGGAAGTAATTATCACTGAAAATGAATAGACTTCTTCGTCTCATGACCTTAAACACTGTGTATAAATTTAAAGTCAATCGGATATTAACTTTAGACTCTAGAGCGTCCACAAGATTTTTCAAAGTGATCAAGGGCCATAACTCTGGCAGTAATTATCGTAAATTGCTGAAAATCAATAGGCTTTTTCGTCTCATGACCTTAAACACTGCGTATAAATTTAAAGTCAATCGGATATTAACTTTGGCCTCTAGAGCGTCCACAAGATTTTTTGAAGTGATCAAGGGCCATAACTCTGGCAGTAATTATCGGAAATTGCTGAAAATGAATAGGCTTCTTCGTCTCATGACCTTAAACATTGTGTATAAATTTAAAGTCAATCGGATATTAACTTTGGCCTCTAGAGCGTCCACAAGATTTTTTGAAGTGATCAAGAGCCATAACTCTGGCAGTAATTATCGGAAATCACTGAAAATCAATAGGCTTCTTCGTCTCATGACCTTAAACACTGTGTATAAATTTAAAATCGATCGGATATTAATTTTGGCCTCTAGAGCGTCCACAAGATTTTTTGAAGTGATCAAGGGCCAGAACTCTGGCAGTAATTATCGGATATCGCTGAAAATCAATAGGCTTCTTCGTCTCATGACCTTAAACACTATGTGTAAATTTAAAGTCAATCGGTTATTAGCTTTGG